CTTGCTCTCTCATAAAGAGCCACTCTCCACTCTCACCTCCATTTCTGCTACTTTCCCACCATGTCTATTTGCTGTCTCCATTAATACCCTTCCTATTGTGTTTTTATACCCACCTCCTCTAGACTGTAAGCTCGTCTGAGCAGCGTCCTCAACTACCTATTGTTCCTGGTAAATGTTGTTATTGTCTCATTTGGTAAATTCCCCTATTGTTGTAAAGCACTGCAGAATAAGCTGGTGCTATATAAATACTACTACTACTACTACTACTAATATCTATAAAATACACAGAGTTGAGTACAATGCAGAGATAACCATACCACAAACAGAGGTTGGCACAACACAAATATACCTATACAATACACTGAGCTGTGTAAACTACAGAGATACCCATACAACAGGAAGACCTGAGTAAAATACAGACACACATTTTTCTTGTTTACCATGCTCTCCTGCAGGAAAAAAAAATCTTAGTGGTTTTTAACTACTGCCAATACACTTTTTTCCAACATAAAAACTGCCTCAAGTGCCCCTATAGACAAGCCTCTACTGGTGACCAAATATTCTAAAAACAATGATGTTGAAGTCATGGGCGTAGGAACCCCCACAAATCTGGGGGAGGGGTAGCATTTTCTCTTAAAGGAGCAGCATCTCAAATGCCTCTCTCACACTAGTTACAGACACGCCCTGTATTAAGTGAATTTCACTTTTTCCTAAAACATAATATTCTGTATTACTATTTATTCCATCACTGGGAGTATATTTGTTTGCACAGTTTATACATTTGCCAGAGAAGTTCTCATTCTCTAGGTATCTATTATTTTGTTAATGGATGGTGCAAAAAGGAGTAATGTATCAGACAACTGCACAGACGAAAAAGCATCTAAAAAAACTCTTCACAATCTTCATGTAATTTCATTAATTTATTTGAGAAAAAATTGCTGACAGTGTTAAAGGTCTCATTTTTACAGTCTTAGATTATTGCATTGCTTGACAAGAATCAGTTAAAAATAAAAGGAAAAAAAATGGTTTCACAGAAATTTTTAAGTACGGTATTTTCCTTTTCTCATATATGTTCTATATCAATGTTTTATATATTGTCCATGTCCGCAACAGTCCACACAAAGGTGAGATGGAAAGTTAGACAGTGGCTGATCTAACACATTTCATTATATATAATATCCATTTACAGCATGAGATGTGGCAGGGTACTTTGAACAAAAAAATTAGTATTTAAAGTATGCAAAGCGTAAAGTTTTGGGTTCAGGATTCACAGTCAAAAAAGGGAAAAAATCCCTTGAGTTTTCATCTTTCGTGCTTTGTATTTGCATCATTCCTTTCTACTGTGACTCCATTGGCCTTGGGATTGACCTCTTTCCTATTGCAGTCTTTGTCAATGTAGAATTCGGCTAGTACAGGGCAGTGCTCCGAAGCCACTCCACCCCAGGACCAGTTATCTGGGATCCACGGATTAGTGAGGCCTTCTCTTACAACTAAAGAGATACCTGAAATCAAAACAGAAAGAGTTAGATGTGGGAATCCCACCATTTAAAGGTCAATGTTTACATACATGCTGATCTCGCATGTATGCATTCATGCATCTATCTAAATCTTTATTGATTTGTTTTTGGAAGAATCACAATTAGGAAGAATATCGGCACGTTCAGTCATTCGTCTGAATTCCGAATATATGAACGGCACATTGAAAGAATGGAATAATGACGACTGAAAATTCTTCCATGTACAATTAATTTATTAGTTCCTATTTATAAATTAAATAATTGGTACCTTTATTTAATTTGGTATCCTTAAAGGTATTCTACAGTGCTAGGAAAACAAAGCTGTTTTCTTGGCACTATAGTCTCCTACAGTGCCCCCCCTCCCACACCCCGCCGCAGGGCTGAATGGGGTTAAAACCCCTTCAGTCACCTACCTGAATCCAGCGAAGATGTCCCTTGGTGCTGGGTCAGGCTCCGCCCACACTCTTCCCCTGCCTTGTCAATGCCTGCGCTCACATTAGGATTTCCCCGTAGAAAAGCATTAATCAATGCTTTCCAAAGGGGGAAAAATCGGACGCATGAGGTCCTCATTCAAAGCATGAGGACGTTGAGCATCAGATACCGGACCAAAGGTCTGTTTCACACCAGAAAGCCCTCTAGTGGTGTTCTGGTAGACAGCCACTAGAGGTGGAGTTAATCTCAGAAACTGGAATAATTACCACTGTAGTGTTAAGATACATGGAACAGTGCACCCAGACCACTTTAATAAGCTGAAGTGGTTTGGGTGCCTACCGTGTCCCTTTAAATTTTACATAAGAATACCAAATTAGGGAGCTATCTACTAAACTGATCCTTAATTTGGTACCCTTAAAGGGACATTATAGGCACCAAAACAACTTCAGTTTAATTAAGCAGTATAAGAGTATAGATTCTGCCCCTGCAGTCTCACTGCTCAATTCTCTGCCATTTATGAGATAAATCACTTTGTTTATGCAGCCCTAGTCAAACCTCCCTGCATTTGACGTACACAGCCTTCCTATACACTTCTCGTAAAGAGAGATCTAATGCTTAAACTTCCTTTATTGCACAGTCTGTTTAATTTAGTATTGCATATCTCATGTATTAGTAGTCATCTAGACCATACAGTAGTCTCCTCTGTGTGATTAAAGTTCAATTTACAGAGCAGGAGATAAAAACTTTTAAAGTAAGCTAACATCTGATTGAAAATGAAACCACTTTTTTCATGCAGACTGTGGCAGTCACAGCCAGGTGAGGTGTGACTGTGGCTGCATAAACATAAGCAAAAGTGATTTAAAGGGACACTATAGTCACATGAACAACTTTAGCTTAATGAAGCAGTTTTGGTGTATAGAACATGCCCCTGCAGCCTCACTGATCAATCCTCTGCCATTTAGGAGATAAATCCCTTTGTTTATGAAACCTAATCACACCTCCCTGCATGTGACTTGCACAGCCTTCCATAAACACTTCCTGTAAAGAGAGCCTTATTTAGGCTTTCTTTATTGCAAGTTCTGTTTAATTAAGATTTTCTTATCCCCTGCTATGTTAATATCTTGCTAAACCCTGCAAGAGCCTCCTGTATGTGATTAAAGTTCAATTTAGAGATTGAGATACAATTATTTAAGGTAAATTACATCTGTTTGAAAGTGAAACCAGTTTTTTTTTCCATGCAGGCTCTGTCAATCAGAGCCAGGGGAGGTGTGGTTAGGGCTGCATAAACAGAAACAAAGTGATTTAACTCCTAAATGACAGTGAAATTGCAGGGTAATGATCTATAGTAAAACTGCTTTATTTAGCTAAAGTAATTTAGGTGACTATAGTGTTCCTTTAACTCCTAAATAGCAGAGAACTAAGCAGTGAGATTTCAGATGCATGATCTATACACCCAAACTGCTTAATTAAGCTAAAGTTGTTTGGGTGCCTATAGTGTCTCTTTAAACATGGAAATCCCACATAACGGTACCAATTACACTAATGATGTTATCTACACATAAATATATAGCACTTTGTGTCTTATTTGTGCTTTGAGAGCGCTTAGGGATTGCCATTGCATTTATTAGAGGAAGAAGCATAATCATGCCATATTCTGCTTTTCAGGTTATCAGTCCTTCAACCAGACACAAATTGGGCTGAGAGGTATTCTACAATCTCTTCTTCCCATTTCCCTTTTTTTTCAAGGGGGACCAAACCTATTTAAAATTTGGTGAGCCAAATGCAAATGTTATAGCCCAGGCACTAATAATTTGTGGCAAACTTGGCATTCACTGTGTTACTTAGAGAGCGGCAGACCCATTGCCAGAGCAGAGACATAATCATTACCCAAGTTAACTTGAAGCACACGTCTCACTATAGCACCCAACTGAACTTGAGAGTAAAATTTTTCTGGAACTTGCAAGTAGTTATTATACAAAGTAAATGTATCCCAAACACATTCCATCAATACTACCATTACATTGTAACAAAATGCTTACCTGTGAAAACTTTTCTCAAGCTCTTGCTGATCCAGATGTTGTCGAGGGACTTATTCCCCTGCGGGTTACTTGTGCTGATGTTGGTGAAGGTGCTCGCTGGAAGTAGGTTTTGAAACTTCTCTTTACGCAGCGAATCAAAGTCACCGACATCTGGGGGGAGGCTAAAACCTCCTAAAATGATCACATCCTTCTCCACTAGAAAAGCAAACAAACAAGAACATTTAAATAAAATATTATCTATTGGAAAACAATATGGTGGGGTTGAGATTAAGATATAAGCAAAGTGCTTACCACAGACATTTACATGTAGGTGACATCTTAGAGCTCAAACGTATAGCTTCAGATAGCATTCTCACACAGACTTTGATTGTTCTCTACAAGTATTCTTGGACCCTTTTATTTGTTATTTTATCCTACTTCAACAAGAATGGAATTCCATGTATCTACACCCAGGCGTGTTACGTGTGCCTCTCATAACGCATATTTTTATTAGTAATATAACCCATAGCTCTTGGGTGCAACAAGACAAAACAAACCTTTTAATTCCACCAGCAATGCCAGATCAATAGTAAATAAATCATCATTCAGTTACTTGGAGCATATTTTTAATAAATGACAGGATGAAATGGCTAAGCTATATATTTCAAAGCTCAAAATTATGAGCAGACAACAAGGCTGCATTTATTTGTTATTTAATGGGCTTACGCAGGGGGCTTTACACAGTAGTTGATTAATTAATTGTTTACTAAATACGCACTGCATTTTAATAATACCATATGTTAGCCCTAATGTTATTATCGCTAAACCTCTATTTCTTTGCGTGATTTATGTTTTTAGTAGATTTCAACAAGTATGAAGCATATGATGATATTCTCTTGGGAAACATGTACATTGACAATAAAATAAAAACACTGTGATAGGAAAAATACCGTCTATGCAGAAGTTAGATTTTATATATATATATATCCTGATGACAGCCCCGGATGGGGACTGAAACGTTGATCCACTTTTTAATTAATTTTCAATAAAGTATGATATTTTAAAAAAGACTGAGTGCAAGCTATCTTCCTGATACTTTCGTATTTACAGACTCTGGTTTATAGCATCCGGCATTGGATTTACTTATATAGCCTGAGTGCAAGGGGAGAGAGAGAGGGAGAGACAGATATATTTCATATGTAGGTGTTTATACCCTGAATATAGTAGCTAGTTCTAATGGAATGCTTTTGAAATGAAGACATCCGAATGGTGCAATGGTTCATAACGGTATGTTCGAAATGTCAGCTTTGACCTGGCAATGCATTTCTTTCAACACAGCATCAGTTAACAGCCATTTAATTGGTTAGGATTGCATACTGTGAACCGAGACTACATGTGGATAGTACTAGCTTGACTATCTCTAAGAGTTTAGGTTTTGGCAAGGGGATAAAATGAATTAAAGGGTTACACTCATAATACTGTGGACTACAGCTATTCTCATTGTTAGGGTGGAAGATTTTGAATTACTGTGGAGCTAGAAATTACTGGTAAATGGTTTCTCCAGACCTTAAAGCACTTTAGCTTGCTGAAGTGCTTTATTTGTGAAAAGTGTGTCCTTTTTTTTTTTTCATTTTACAAAAAGTGCAGGTTTTAATAGAAGAAAAAATAACCTTGTCACAACCCCCGGCTGTTAATCAGACAAGTGATCCGGTTACTTCCTGGTTTGGTTAGCTAAGTGGAGCTAAATTCAAGAGAGTCAGAGAATCTGCCTTGCAAAGACTTTTGAGCTGTATTGGGAAGTCTGTGATTGGACAGACACAGAAAGTCTGGGCGGGGTTAGAAGGGGAGGGCTTGCAAAGGCTGCAGATAAGAGTACTGCAGCTTTTTTAAATGCTTTTTAAATATACCCCAAATAAAAAAAGCATAATTCAATTTACATATATTATTTGGGGTGTATCTACTAAACAGTGATTTTTTATTTGGACAGTGGAGTGTCCTATTAAGGCTAGGATTTATGGAAGTTACAGTAAATGATTAGAGCAAGGCTTGGAGTTAAGGGAGCACTACTGCATTAGGAATACAAATAGGTATTCCTAACGCTATAGAGCCCTAGACACCGTAATCCAGCGCCGGGCTCCCTCGGCATTGGTGACCTCTACTCCATCGACGTCAGCTCCCGAGTGGACCCGAGCAGAGGCGCGCACACATTCAAACCCACCCATAGGAAAGCAATGCTTTCCTATGGGGATCTTTTTTGACACTGGACTCCATGAGGACGTCCAGCATCAAATAAGTCCGATTTACTCCGTGTGTTTCTACTTTCATTTTTTTATATTTTGTATGTATTAAAGTTTCTCTGTTTCTCTTTTTCATGTGAGTTTGATCCTTAACTCTACGTTTTGGTAACTATAACCACCTCATATTTTGTGATTGTGGCACCCTGTACTGTATTTCAACCTTTGTGTTGTACAGTTTGCTTGCAGAGGCTGGATTAACCATGCAGTGTAAACATAGCAGTTTCTCTGAAACTGCTATGTTTTCAGCTGCAGGGTTAAAACTAGGGGGACCTGGCACCCAAACCACTTCATTGAGCTGAAGTGGTCTGGGTGCCTATATTGGTCCTTTAAAGAAATTAAGGAGTTTTCATATTGATTTCTTGCACTCCAGACACTGAAAATTACAACTGTTATCAAGGTAGAACTGCTGAGAATAACGGTAGTTGCATTCCAGAGTATCTGGAGCACACTATGTTTACTATGATTAGGAATTAGAGTTTCACTTCACATGTGGTGGAATGCAAATTGTATTATTCTAAGTCATACTTTTTATGGTGTGCAAACTATAGACAGGGGTAGAGTGAGCTATATTTGCACATATAATACAGTATAATGGGACAGCATCAGGAATATCAAAAACTACAGATAATAATTTGCATTCAGGGGATGTAGCTGAAAACAAGTGATAAAACAGACAAAACAATCCATGGAAACAAGGACATGTTTATAATTTGAAACTATGACTTTTACAAACTCAGTTATGGTAGATACAGTGACACTGATACACTCAGAGGATGAAGGAGAATATAAATACGGTATTTTTCCATGTATAAGACTATGTTGTTTTTTTGAAAGTTTTTTTTTAGTCTAAAATTGGGGGTCGTCGAATAAACGGAATGTCACAGCAGGGGTTAAAAAACAAAACACAGTTTTAGCTGTTAGAATGAGCCATTGGCTCCAAAGTAATATATCATCTTCCATTTTCTGATTTTAGATCTCTGGCTGAATTATATAAAAAAACCTGGGTTATTATACGTTTTATTTCCACGTTTAGGAATGTAGTGCATTCCTACATGTGCTGCCAAGTTATTATCAATCCCCTTACCAAGGAAGGAAACTCCTGGGGAGGAACAGCAGGAATAGCAATATGAAGAGAAAGTCTCATTACTTTATTTCAGTATTTATATCGCTTTCTTTGTGAAGTGACATATAAAAATTGAATGGCTGGCATGCCCCCAATTTGTAAGGGAAACAAATTTGCCAAAATGTGTAACTTGTAAGAATAGTACAGAGTTTGTACGCATTTTCTTCAAACCGACCAACAGATGGTATATAAACATAGCTGGGAACTCCCTTATTTAATAATCAATGTTTTTATCAGGAAGGATACTTTGAGATTGTTTTTTTTTTTTCCTGTGGAATAAACATTATTACTATTATCCAGCTCAACTGTACTTATTTCACAGAGTTTGCAGGGATAAAAAGCTGAGGTGATCCTGCTGGGAATGAAACACGGAACTGTGAGGTTTGACGAGTCAGTACATTAATTAATTGACCTATCATGTCAGCTCTATAAATGTTAGCCACAATATGTCTGCACATTACTGAAGGCTCCCTAACTATTTACATGACACAGACGTCTTAACAGTATCAAGACAGATATGTTTTTGTTTTTTTATTAATATTTTTTTTTTGGGTTTTCCAAAGTGTTCACATTAACATTCTGTTCAATGTAACAAAAGATCTCAAATGACGATTTTACAGAATAACAGTCTCGCAAATAGTGTTAGTGTTTTTCTACAGTATCAAAGTTCGCATTTGACAAAGTCTTTTGTAATAAGCAATACGTATACCATCTGTCACTAGAACATATTTGTGTTAACAGTTCAACATTTGGGGTTCAAAGATAAGGTAAAATTATAGTGTATATTTGGCATCGTACTTTTTGGCGTATGTGTAGTTCATTACAATGAGGAATGTCGAGTCATCGCAGGAGTGTGTTATGGTCACCAGTACGGATTATGTCGTATCAATAGCTGTATTATCTACCTCAGGGTGTGGTGTTTTCTAAGTACCTGAGATGTGTGATATTCGAGAGTTGGCTCTCTCACCTTTATCATCTACGTCTGAGCGACAGTGCGTGCGGTCCGGAAATGTCTGCCGTTTAGTGAGAATTGGTTTTTGCTAGTATAAAAGTGTTCCATGGTGCTCAAATGTGCGTGAATTTTGTGTCATTTTCGGACTTGGCGTAAATGATTTCCTCCATGTGTCTTACACCCTCTACCCTTTTGATCCATTCCCTAATGGACGGGGGTTCTATCCGTTTCCAATGGACTGGAATTAGTTGGTTTGCTGCCATAAGTAAGTGGGTAGCCAGGTCTATCCCTGTCCTCGCTGTTAGGGGGGTAAGAGAAAAGGGAGGTGATCTGCGGAAAAAGGAAACTGTGTTGCCGTGATTGTCTGTACCAGTGTGTAAATTTGTTTCCAGTATTTTGTAATTGTAGGGCATTGCCACCAGATGTGTGCGGTGTGCATCTGGTTATTCGCATCTCCAGCACGCATCTGTGGTGTCCTTATGTATTTTGTGTATTTTCGTTGGGGTGTAATGCCAGCGAGTGAGCCATTTGTAATGACTTTCATGTGTAACGAGATTCGTAGATATCTTGTGTACGCTAAGGAATATCTTCTGCCACTGGTCAGGTGTGATATCTACATGCAATTCGTCTGCCCATTTCCCCGTGAACCCTGGGGGCTCAGGGGAATGTGCTTTTTGTAGCATCGTGTACATAGTAGAGAGTGTCTTTTGCTTTAAGCTGTGTGAGATGCACAGCTGCTCGAAAGCTGTAAGGTCCCTATCTCCATCCGGCAGGAGCTTCAAACTCCTGATAAAGTGAGCTTTCTGTGTATAGTAGAGGTGTTGCATTCCTGTAGGTGATTTCGTTGAGAAGAGAGTGCTCTAAGGTACTAATTTGTGGTCTTGCACCATGTACTGGAGTCTGAGGTAGGGCTTGTTGTGACTCAGCTGATATGGCTTACCGGAGGAACCTGCTTGTAGGAGGGGGTTGTGAGTGAGCGGATAGAGTGGGGAGGGGTATGGAGATGGATCCCCAACCCGCGTAATGTTTGTCCATTCTCTCAGCGTGGTTGCAATGGTCGGGTTGTGTTTATGTCGTAGTAACATTTGGCCTGACTTCTGCCATGGTATTGTCAGGATGGGAGTTTTAAAGAAGGATGTTTCTATTTGCACCCACTGGTTTGGTAAGGAGAGAGTTTGCCAGTCGAGGATGCGAGTACGACCATAAAAATTACGTGACCATCACCCTAACCGTGTCGAAGAATTTCTTGGGGAGTACTATGGGGATCGCAAGGCATATAAAATAGAACAAATAGGTAAAGCATTTAATAGTTTTTATCAGAACTTGTACAACCTACCTAACCAACAAAATAACCCAGATTCATATTTTAAGAATAATAAATCTATGAAAAAACTATCTATGGAACAATTAAAATCCATTAGTGAACCTTTTTCAGAAATAGAGATCGGGAAGGCAATAGATACTCTAAAAAAAAAATAAAACCCTGGTCCAGATGGCTATTCAAATGTATTTTTCCAACAATTTAAAGACATCCTGCTAGTCCATCTAAAAGATTTGTTTAATAACATAGTAAAGGAAAAAGACATTCCAAAAGAAATGCTATATGCAAACATCATTCCAATTCATAAACCAGAAAAAACAACAGAATATATAAAGAACTATCGTCCTATTTCGCTGTTAAATACAGACATCAAAATATACTCAAGCATTTTAGCAAACAGGTTGCAAATCATTTTACCGAACTTGATCCATAAAGATCAGGTCGGTTTTATTAGAGACAGATACTCTACTAATAGCGTAAGGACAATAGTGGATATTATGGATGCTGTTCATGAGTCGGATGTCCCACTTCTGACCCTGTCAAATGCCTTTTCCGCGTCCAATGACAGGGTCAGAAGTGGGACATCCGACTCATGAACAGCATCCATAATATCCACTATTGTGGGAAGTCAGGTGGGACTTCCTGAGGGCGGCTCTGAGAGCCTTTGGATTTGAGGGCTGGATTTTAGATGCCATTATGGCTCTCTATGTTGCCCCAATGGCTAGAACTATAGGGAGGGGAGTTATATCTGAAAAAAAACATTATTAAATGCGGATGACATCTTGGTTACTATTTCAGACCCAGAAACATCAATTGAGGAACTATTAAAAGTTATATCAGAATTTGGCAAATATATAAACTTTAACCTAAATACAGATAAAACCATGCTTTTAGCAAAAAATTTACCTAAAGATGTGCAAGCAAGGATTAAAGCAAAATATGACTTGTAGAGAATAATATATTGCCCTTAATGAAACAAATAAACAACTAAAAGATTTAAGAAACGCAGAGATTTCATGGACAGGCAGGATAAACTTAATAAAATCCTATATAATCCCGAAATGGAGCTACATATTTCGTATGCTTCCTCTAAAAGTCCCAAAACCATGGCTTACAATGATCCAGTCTGCTTTAGAAAAATATATCTGGTTAAAAAAAAAAAAACTAGAGTCAATAGAAAGATATAAAATTAAAATTCTAAAAATGGAGTAATGGGTTTGCCTAACATGCTAGAGTTGTATGAGACATGCGCATTGGCTCATATAGTTACAATTTTGAAAGAGAGTTCTATGGAGGAAGCTTGGGCCAAAATAGAAGCAATAAGAATGAATGCCCCAGATTTATTATCCGTATTTTGGAAAACTAACAATAAGGATAATCTCTACACGGGTTTAATCATTAATAATTTAATGCTACATTGGAAAAACTGGAAAAAGAGACTCAAGATTGTAGACAAAATTATTAAAGACTTGCCATTAAATATCCTGACAGCTAATATTGAAGACTTAAGTGTTAGAACTTGGAAGGCTAACGGTATACATAGAATCGATCAGATTATGCAACAAAATCAGATTGTTCCTTTTGAACAAATTAGAAAAACTTTTTCCCTTCCATATAAAGAAAATTTTACATACTCAAGGATAAAGCATTTTATAAACAAACACAAAGTAGAAGAAACTTCAGAAGGTTTACAATCTTTCTTAAATATACTAAATATTAAGAGTAATAAAAAATTGGTATCAAGATGTGCAAACCTGTGCGATCTATTTAAAATTATTCCAGTCTTTCCAGCTCTTAATTCCTGGGAAAAGGACTTACAGATCAGTATCTCTAGAAAAGAGTGGATAATTGCAAATAATGCAGTAATTAAAGCCATACATTGCTTAAATATCACTGAGAGCCATTATAAAATTATTAATAGATGGCATTATGTTCCTAATAATTTATCAAAAATGTATCCAGATACCCAAAATACGTGCTGGAGATGCATCTCCTGCGATTTATAAGAGCCTTCAGATGGTGCTGGACTAGGTGGAGAGGAGTCCGTTTGGATTTCCATCATCGCCATTTTGTTTTCCGCGGCCTCCAATTTGCGGTCTGTAGTAATATCGAGTTAGAGAGCCCGATTTTGTTGCGGGTGTTCTCCTTGATTAAATGTGGGAGGAATTTTGTCTCTTAGGGTTCCCCATACTTGGGTAGAGTCTACGATTAGAGTGGATTTTCGATCGAGTTTTGGTTTGCTGAACTAGTGCACGTCCATTCAGCTCCGCAGTAGGCCACGCCCCAAGACAGATATTTTTTTTATTTTTATTTTTATTCTTTATTTTACTTGCATAGGTATTACAGACAGGCTGGCAATGCCACAATAGCTAGAGCTAGCCATGCGAACCACACAAAAAAAACATTGGTCTGGCATGCAAGGTCATAGCACATTTTTATTTAATGCTTATGTCGTAGATACTGAACAATACGTTTTAAAGTAAAGAAAAATAACTACGTGAGATAGTGTGGCATGTGAGAAAAGAAACTGAAGGATATCACAAAACTGAGGAACACATGCCTTCGCTACTAAAGATCCCTGAGCCCAACCATATGCTTAGCCAATCAGTGGAACAGGACGATAAAAAGAAAATAGCATAAGGAAAGCGAGTCAAACATGAAGAGACACCCCCAGTCCCCACCTAGAGACTACTCAATCCCCCCCACCAGCAGGACACAGTCCCTTCAAACAGATGTGATTCCTCCGGCATACCGCCAGACTGCCATCCAGGTTGTATAACTAGTTGATGCAGAGTGTATTCGGGTCATCCGCTTGTAGTTGGTATAGAGGAGCCCTACAGTGGTTCTACTCATATTTTATAGTGGCACAGCTGAAGGGCACTAAGTGCTCTCAGTTGTGGGGCTGTGGTGTCGATTCTTAGCGCCCGGGTCAGACCATTAAAGCCACAGGTATTCCAAGTGCTGGTTTCCATGGTTGTCCACAGAGGGCGCCAAGAGCCCCGAGGGAGGCCGCCTTCTTCACAGAGTGCTCGAGATTTAGAGCAGGCGTCACCGCCATCTTGAGAGGTGAGTGCGACCTGACATTATCTGGGCCCCAGGGTGGACTGGGATAATCCCCCCCGGCCCAGAGGGGGGGAACGGGGCTGGAGCCACGCAAATCAGGAGGTCCCTTCCATTGCCGACAGGCAGGATAGCAGAGCGGCGGCCGACTACTCCACTCACCACCCAAGCAGGATTGGTTGCTGGATGTTTCGTCACAAGGGACCAGGGTGCGGATTTCAAGCTCAGAAGGTGAGTTAGCACCCTTGGTTAGTGTGTGTTATCGCTCCTCAGCTCCAGACACCGGTCAGAACCCGTAAATTGGTCCAAATGTTTATTGATAATGGGAGCTGTTCTTCCATGTGTCCAGTCAGCACGGAAGCACACCCCATCCCCCCTTATTTTATTTTTTTTACATACAAAATTGATTTTATAAAGATGGAGGAGTTATAAAGGCACCAAACGTTGAATGTCAGTAATACAGTTCTGGGTTCTAGGATCCTGCATCTTGGGGTTTAAGCCTTGTTTATACCTCCTAATGTTGCATAAGAAATTCCAGGGATCTATTTCTGAAATGTCACTCTGCAGATATAAGAGACAGCACTGCAGTTTAAAGTCACAAATCATGTCAGACATAGAGGATAAATAGTCTGAATAAGTATTGGAGAATTATAATATACCAGCCCAGCTGGAATTATTCCTTCTCATTCCTCTCCTCTCTTCTATACCTATCTCATTCAGTCAATTAAAATAATGGTAATTTCATTAGTTAAACACAATGGTCAATAATGTTCATGAAAGATTCTCAGCACAAAATAATGCTTATTAGAATAGCATGTTACCACCCAACCATGGGGGCGATTTATCAAGGACAAAATCTGCGCTATTGTGGGGCAAAGTGCTAACCTACGAGCAGTCTCCATGTAAACCAACATACTATCTCAGTATTTAGCTTTTTGCAACCAAAAGAGCACCTGTTTTCCTATTATAAACCTCCCGCCACATCATCTCCATGGTGATTGCTCCATTTTTTCTAAGGCTCGCTGGGCATCATGGGAGTGTAGTTCAGAAATATCTAATGTATGCATCAATGCTTTAGTAAAAATCTATATTTATATAGAAATAATATTCAAACCACTGCACTAAAGATTGTTTCTTGTATCCACTTTGTATTTCGCTCGTCCTTGAGAGCTAAACTAATGCATGGACCCATCAATCAGATACAGTTAGTGTAGCATGTCTAAAAGACAGCAAGGTGCCCAGTGATTGATTGCCAGCACGAAGCTAGAAGGTTGTGCGATAAACATGCTTTCTGCAGGTTACCAGGAAGCATTCTTGGAATGGCTATTAATGGCAGGCTGGGTCATGTTCCTACTTCAAGCTTATGCTGCTTTGCATACCTTTCAGGGTTTCCTGCAGTGTTTGGCCAAAGGTTGCCAATTTGTGGCCGTCACTCTGGTGCTTTCCGGCTTCCCCAAGGTTAGGGGACAAGTGAATATTCACCAGTGTTACTTCATTTGTTCCGACCTGAAAAGGAAAGATAAAAATGGTTCTGTGTGAAGATGAACAGAGGATCAATTTTGTCGAGGAGGAAATATAATGTAAATAAATATGCACACCTTTAAAAAATATATGTATAAAACATAAACAGAACATCATACAACATACCGCCAATACCATCTTAATCAACACACACAGTTAATATGAAGAAAATATATAACAGGGATGAGGAATTCATATCGTCCAACGCCCAGGACATGCCTTGTTCCAGATGCCGGGCAGGCAAATAATATTTTTATTTAGCCCTAGGCTGGGGAGGCAAAGTCGAGAAAGGAAGTGTGTGGTTTAGAACTCTAAGTCAGAGCTCAGATGTGATTCCCAGGAATGTTGTAAAGTTGCCATTCCCGGCTCTCAGATAGATAGGTTTGAAGATTAGCAGGGTGGCGTGTGCACCAGTGCAAAGGATGTTGAGATGGGACTCCAAGGTAGTGGGAAGTAGCAAATGTTTTAATTTTCCAAATAGAGGCTTTTATTTATTTATTTTTATTTATTTTTAATATTAAACATCGGAATTATTTTTTTTTTAATTTTGTGGGGCTGATGCACACCTTGATTTTAGAAATACTAAGAATTAAATATCAAACTATTATCATGTTAATATAGAGGACTTGCTGGAGGTCCAGAGTAAGAGGGTAATTATCAACATTTGGTTGCCTTATCAGGGAAAGTTCCATGAAGTTTCGGGGCCATCAATTCTATTTCCCGCACTCAACAATGTTTAATGTAAGTGATGCAACACATTATATTAATGAATTACCTTGAAATGTGCAATGTAGGGATATGGATATATATTCTTGCTGCTGCCATTAGTTTGTTGGTTTTCTTGTAAAATTACATTCTTTAGTTCAATTCCAGCTGACGTGTCCCAAAGAAATCCAGAATATTCAGCTTTCTAAAATAAAAATACAAAAAAAAAAAAATCACATCCATCTTTAGTCTTCACCTAAACATGTTTGATTTTTCAGTTTCTATTGAAGTCTGCATTTTCTGCAAAATGAAAAAATAGGACACTCTCGACACCTGAAGCTTTTTAGCAAGCTAAAGTGCTTTAGGGGTCTGGAGTGTCCCTTTAAGGTGGGCCAGGTACACAATATACATCATTATTTACGTGGCAAGGCAGGTACACCAGATCAGTGTGAAACAGGTCACAAGGGAAACATAACCTGGAAAGTTTCTCCTAAACTGGGACTGGACTGACACATTTCTGGGCTACTGTGCATTGGAGGAGCCTGGTTGCCCGCCTGCTGCCTTTAGACTATGGCCCCATGCTGAAACGCTTGATTTTCCCCTGCAAAGAGACGAAAGCCGGGTCATTCGGTACTTGCCCTATTTGAATAATGATACCCCAGATAGCTTTGCCATGGAGCCCATTCGTATAACGAAAGACTATGTGAAAGACTTTGGCTCCATGGCAATTGAACTGTGTGTATGAGATCTGAACGCCATTCAGTAATAATGTGCGCTAAGATCTAAGCTATCTTGGGATTTGTTGAATGTACCTGTTTTATGCAATAGCTGCACAGTTATATATTTTTATGTATTTTATTGTCTTTTGCTACCATGTGTTCAATGGAGTTTTGCCTCTGTCCTTGGAGATAATTGGATTACTTCCCAATTATCTCCGGATAGAAGACTCTGTGGAACTGGTTTTGGGCAGAAAAGCCATGTTTCATTTGGTCACAAAGGACTTCGATCTATCTTTTGAACCAATGGACCAATCTGGATGATTTTGACATATGTTTGTATTTGGAGTATGCTGATTCTGAAAATGTAATTGTATGTGAATGTGATGTATACTTTTAAAGTTATGAATAATGTGGAAAAACTGTATTTCTCTGCCTGTGATAATTACATTAACCCATTATGTAATGTAATTGTATTACAGGCAGAGGGGATGATTTTGTGTGGGAGTGTCTGAGTGTATTGTACGTGTTTATTGGTTGTTTTCCAAAACCCTGTGGGTGGTACTAATGTGTAAGAATGTGTATATAAGAACAATAAACCCACAGCTCTGTCTGTTCCTGTTTTGACCCTCAACACGGAGCCTTGTCTCGTTCTTGGGGGGATTTATTGTATGCTGTTCCAGTTCGACTGCTAGGAGTGTAAACCTTTTGTATGGTTTTTCCTATTCGACTGTTTACAGCATTCGTATGTTTGAGAGCATTCGTATACTTCTCCGGTTCGGTGGATTGGTGTCTTTGGTAGCTGACTGTGTATCTGGAAGGGGAATATCCCCTTTATGCCTGGGGGTGCCGTTACATGCAGTATCTGTGATCTAACTGAAACACAGGCAGCCATGATATCAGCACTTTGAGTGGTTATTGTACAGCTTTACACTTATTATAAACCCATAAATGTTGTGGATATACCTTACCTTACATTTGTGATCTTGGCAAAGCTTTGTTAGGCCCTACGATCTGATTATTACCACACTTGCATGGCTATAAGCTATTACAGGAAACCATAAAATAACAGGGCCAAATCTTGAAACAATACACTGGCATGATCAATACGATCCCATTAAACTGGTATTAGTGGTAAAGCAGCTTCCAGTCAACTCAGCATCAACAACTTATAAATTGCATCTTATCTCACAAATGATGATTGCTTGAAATAGCATTACTGTAAGCCTTTGTCTTCCCGTGCAAGTTATATGCCATTAATTGCAAGTAAAAGCTTTTTATTTGAGCCATCTCATTGGCTCTAATTCCCCCATTGCATTGCTGATGAAAGAAAGAAATGGGGCAGATTTAATGTGCTGAGCAGACAGAGCCTGGAAATGATGCAGTCTGCATTTAGTGAAATAGAATGTTTACTATAGAGACATATTAACACTCTCTCTGTCTAACAATGTCCTTTTGGTACTAAACAACAGCTGAATCCTTGAGCGTAACACTGACAATGGGTGGCAAGATGAAGAGGTTTTCAATTCACTCTGCTCATAACATAAAATCCACAGAGTGCAACTATTTGAAAGTCAAACTAGCAGGGCCACTGATGAGTATAAGAGTTTCTAGAAATTATGTAATTTGCTCATTTAATTAAGGGTGCAGCAAATTGAAGTTTCAAGTTCTTATCAATAATTTAAAAAACACAGGAAATAAAATAAAAGGTACTCTTTTGGAGTTTGCGCAGCTAGCCCTTAAATCATTCTCTTGCTACAAGCTAATGAATACCCAGCTGTGTATTAAAGGGACATGATAAACACCACAATCACTGCATTTCATTGAAGTGGTTATTGTGCCTTCAGGCCATTGGCACTGGCTCATGGTTCAATATTACACAAATGTTGAATGGTTTCACACTAAATGAGGGTGCCTGCAGCTCAACCCCTACTGGAGGGTTTAATAGAAAGAAGTTACATTTTACTCAGATCAACTCATAACAGCGCTGGGTAACAGTGATAGACGGAGAGTGCTCAGCTGACGCTCTCTGCCTTTCTCTGGCACCTGTTACTGCTTGGATTGATATGAAAGTCTGAGCAGCAGAGCGAGCTAGTCTGCAAAAGACCATTCAAAACCGGTTTAACACTGAACAGTAGGATAGCACCAGGCGACCCCAGGCACCATAACCACTTCAAAGATATGATGAGGTTTGCTGATAAGAGTGTCCCTTTAAATTGACAGCCTTTGCTACTTGCATATGGTAATGGTGTTGAGAGGTCTCCTGCCACAGCCTTCCTCACTCTGTTACCAATAACTGTTGTATCTAATTAAACCAGTCAAATACATCACATAGGTATGCCATGTTACAATTCCCAAAGCCACCCTCATAACTTTGTGATTGCATCGTAGTTTTACCTACTCTCGGGTCTAATGCAAACTTAGCAAATCCTGAGGACACTGGTTCGTCACAGGCATGATTTCTTAACATATATAAATATGCAATGCATAACCTTTATAATGCATCAAAATAGAGGTAAGCCCCAACTTGGGAAGTCCCTTCATCTACCGGTTTTCCCCTTCCATTTTTGTATGTCACTGTTTCCTCTACAGCAGATTAAAAGAGGAAAACTACAGAGGATGTTTAGTATTGGCTGAGGCTCAGGGCAGTCCTCAGCTCTGTTCTCTCAGAGGAAAATAAATATAAAATTAATACAATTAAAATAACTTTTACTGCCAACATGATTGATAGCACTGATGGCCTATGTTATATTGGTAACAATTAATACAGATTTCTGCCACTAGGGGCCACTATTCTCAGAGAGTTGGGGTGCAATGCAAAATGCATATAGTGTTTGTGCTAACCCTTTAAATTGTATATTTTGCAACTCTACAAAAAAAGCAACACAGCATTCTCCCCATTTCAGCTTCAGCAATGATATTGTGGCCCACATTGTCATACACGCCATAACGACGAAACATAAAATGTTATTTCATTATAGAAATGATGGTTATCTCAACTTGATAGGGAGAGAGATAAACCAGGCCCAGGAAATTAATAATGGAGTTACAGATAATAGACGGTCATAAAAATTCACTGTCTTTTCAAAATCATTCTGTAATTAAATACACAGAAATAGAAATGAGGCAAAGAGACATAAATGCTGAGCGAGAATTTGTTCTTTGCTGTTGCACTGAGCGTGAACTGGTTTTAAGTATGGATATAAACTATTTCAGTGCAGTATGAGTAACTTATCTGTGATTACAAAATGTAATCATCAATACAATCATTTTCATTGTACAGTTCTTGTACAATATAATACCTTCTCTTTTTTTTTCATGAGTCTGCTTTACCTCACATGACTTTAAAATATATCTAAATTTTCCTTCTGGATTTGTCAGTTTGTCATGGCTTGAATATTCCAGATATTTCATTTCCATCCTAAAAATAATGAAGGAGTGTAGTACTTCTATAGTAACTATACAGGGAACAGAGTGGTAGAATATCATTTAGCTTTTGTCGCTTCCTACCGTTTACAATATGTCAAATGATGTACAGATTGAGCAAGGCCAATGAATCTTAAATCACTCACTATAACGGTATACTTTTGCTTAAACTTAGATCCATAAATCAAATAAATTAAACAAAACAACCACTTATAATTAGTGATGTCCCGAACGGTTCACCGAACGGTTCTCCGTGGATGGCGAACATATGCGCTGTTCGGTCCGCCCCCTATTCGTCATCATTGAGTAAACTTTGACCCTGTACCTCACAGTCAGCAGACACATTCCAGCCAATCAACAGCAGACCCTCCCTCCCAGACCCTCCCACCTCCTGGACAGCTCATTAAAAATGCAGCTTCACAATGAATGTAAAATGGATGCTGTCCAGGAGGTGGGAGGGTCTGGGAGGGAGGGTCTGCTGTTGATTGGCTGGAATGTGTCTGCTGACTGTGAGGTACAGGGTCAAAGTTTACTCAATGATGACATAGGGGATGGACCGAACAGCGCATATGTTCGCCATCCGCGGCGAACCACTCGGCGAACCGTTCGGGACATCACTACTTATAATCATTACGTTCTATTTTGGAATTTCTTATATTCAAATAACCAAATAGTATGATGTACTAGAGCTGTTTATACAAATAGCAAAATAGTATGAGGTACTAGAGCTGTTTATACCAATAGCAGAATAGTATGAGGTACTAGAGCTGTTTATACAAATAACAGAATATTATGAGGTACTAGAGCTGTTGTTTATATAAATAACAGAATAGTATGAGGTACTAGAGCTGTTTATACAAACAGAATAGTATGAGGTACTAGAGCTGTTTATACAAATAGCAGAATAGCATAAGGTACTAGAGCTGTTTATACAAATAACAGAATATTATGAGGTACTAGAGCTGTTGTTTATACAAACAACAGAATAGTATGAGGTACTAGAGCTGTTTATACAAATAACAGAATAGTATGATGTACTAGAGCTGTTTATACAAATAACAGAATAGTATGAGGTACTAGAGCTGTTTATATAAAAAAACTTCATAGTATAAAGGTACTAGAGCTGCTACAGAGTTGTTGAACTTTTCCTTCTTTAAATAGTCAAAGACCAATTACCGTATATACTCGAGTATGAGTCGACTCGAATATAAGTCAAGACCCCTAATTTTACCCCCAAAACTGGGAAAACTTATTGACTCGAGTATAAGACTAGGGTGGGAAATGCAGCAGCTACTGGTAAATTTCTAAATAAAATTAGATCCCAAAAAAATTATATTAATTGAATATTTATTTACAGTGTGTGTATATAATGAATGCCGTGTGTGTATATAATGCAGTGTGTTTGTATGAATGCAGTGTGTGTGTATGAATGCAGTGTGTATGAGTGCAGTGTGTGTGTGGGGGGGGCATTTTTATTATTTTTTTTAAATAATAATTATTTTTTTTACATATATATTAATATTTTTTTTATTATATTATTATTAAATTTTTTATTTATATTTATTTTCGTCCCCCCTCCCTGCTTGTTGCCTGGCCAGGGAGGGGGGCTCTCATTCCCTGGTGGTCCAGTGGATGGGCTGTGCAGGAGGCGGGCTGGACGAGAGAGGTTACTTACCTTTCCTGCAGCTCCTGTCAGCTCCCTTCTCTCTCCTCCATTCCGGTCAGCTCCCTTCTCCTCCACTGTAAGTCTCGCGGCCGCGCGGAGTGTTCCCTGCGGCTCTCGCAAGATTTACAGTGGAGCTGACAGGGGAGCTGACCGGAACGGAGGAGAGAGAAGGGAGCTGACAGGAGCTGCAGGAAAGGTAAGTAACAGCTCTCTGCCAGCCCCCAACAGGAACGCCGGGCTTGTAATGAGCCTGGCGGTCCTGGTCTGTATTATGGCAATGTAAATTGCCATAATACAGACATTAACTTGAGTATAAGTCGAGTGGGGGTTTTTCAGCACAAAAAAATGTGCTGAAAAACTCGACTTATACTCGAGTATATATGGTAAATGGTCAAAGACCAATTAAAAATAGGGTATTTTTCATTTAAATGGGGATTGTGGAAAGAAAATTAGACATTTTAAAATTAAATATCATAAAACATTTCCATATAAATATTCTAAGTCCAATTCTATATAAAGCACACACTTTTCTATAATAACCTATAAACAGAACCAAACCACTTAATCTCAATGAATCTATCATTTCAGCCCATCACTCTAAAAAAAGGCTTAAACACGCCTCTTGTGGCTGGCTTCCTGACATTTGATAAAGGCACTTGCGCTGCAACAACCAAGTCTGACTTGTTCGTGTGACATTCTACTCCATGAGGATGTCAAATGTCATCAAATGCAGCTCATAGGTATGCATTGGATTCAATACTTTCTTATGAGAAGCATTTGATTGGATGTCCACTTGCCGCACATGCACATCTCACCCGTAAGGGTTCTCTATGAGAAGCATTGGATGGGGCGATTGTGGAAACGGCACGCCGCGTGAGTTTTGGCACTGGAAAAAGAGACCATTTAAATTTAAAAAAGCCAAATTTCCAGATGGGACACATGCTCCCTGTGTGGACAAAAACAAAAATACTAATGTGGAAGAAAAATCACATGCCTTATTTGAAGGTAAGTGTATTTCCAATGAATGTCACACCCAAAGCCGTGACACTATATAGCAAATCCTCCTGCAGGGTTTAACAGGGTGGTCCACTCCTGTGTTCACCGATAGGTAAGAATTTAGATACAATGTCCAAAATCAGATGCTCATACTGTTGCTAATCCGTTTACAAATAGTCTTCTTCATCATGATTACAGTGTGTGGAGTTGTTCATAAGTGTGTATGAGTCTATGTGCCAATATACTGTTCTACAGCAGAAGAATGGAATATTTTTAAATGAAACAGTAAAGAAGAATATTTTGGGACTTTGTATCTATATTCTTATACTGTGGGCACCCATGAACTAAAAGGTGGGCAGAGCTCGGGTTGCATAATATAAAAACAACAACAACAACAACTTTATTCTCATTTTACTAATGTGGTCATCACCACTCCAGACTATTTTAAAAGTCAGAACTGCTGCCTGTCTGCTTTAAACAAATGATGTTACAGTCCCACAGAGAATAATGTCTCCATAAGTTGAGGGATAAATGTAATGATGGGAGGTGGGAAATGCTGAAAGCATTAACAATCTGAACACATAACTAAAAATGTCAGAGGCTAAAAAGGTATAGTATAGTGTAAATACTTACTAAGTTATATTGTATTGTTATTAGCTATGCTCACCTTTTTACCAATTGTAGTGCAATCTAATCTCGACTGACCTGTTTCTTCCAAGCAGGGATTAAAGAAATACTAATAATTCTACACCCGTAACTGAATTTCAAAATCACAAAACACATAATAACAATTAAAAAGAAAACTATTTCCACATACACGAACACACTATCTAAATATCAGCTCAATCATTATGAGTTGGCACTGCATTATAGGATTTTGAACAAACAACCGGATACCTGTCCTTGGCCAGTAAATAATGATAATAAAAAATGAGGTAAGTGCCAAAACAAATTAAAAACATCTTCCTAGTGAGATTTCCCTGAGTTAAATTTTTTTTAAAAATTAAAAAAACAAAACAAAACAGTAACTAAAAATAAAGACGTTGTGTACCTCGTTTAGGTAGGATGATGGCTTTTCGGATATGACACACTTCCAAGAGCCTCTGACTCCTTTCCACTTACGAATGTTGGGTAGGGATGGCTGATTTAATTCAGAGCAGAACTGCAAAAATAGAAAAAAATAAATACATGATAATAATTCTTATCAAAACTTACTATTATCCATAACGGCATTGTTCATAAATCTGTAAAATATTTACGGTTTATATGGCAGACATAGGTGGTATGTCAAATGTGTCCCGGAAAATCCTAATGAATTGTTGATATGTCCCCGTAACCCATATAGGTCCTTACCTGTCCTTTTGCATTAGTTTTGGTACCGGTTTATGTTTTTGAAGTTAAAGAGCATCCAAACTGACCGTCCCTTTATACAAGCCTTGTTATTAGAAATTAAGGTACAAGGATATCTATATATATCAGCACATTAAATCAGGGTTTAAAATGTACTTGCTACTAGCCATTGGAAAGTAAATAGAGTAGAAATTCACCCCTGGTGAGTATGCTATAGCTGGCAGTGGTGAGTAAATTTTAAGGCAACGGGTTCATATTTATATTTATCCAGGTACATAGACAGTAAAATGTTTAAGTTATTGATAATCCTGTTTTAGTACAGGCTTCAATACTGTATGAATCACAATAAAAAGCTAATGATCTAAAAAGACCAGCACTAGTCTCATGAATCACAGGCAACCAAAAGGCACCAGAGCTGTCAAGGCTTAAAGGAAAACTCCAGTGCCAGGAAAACAATTTGTTTTCCTGGCACTGGAGGGACCCTCTCCCTCTCACCTCCCATCCCAGGTAGCTGACGGGGTAAAAACCCCTTCAGGTCACTTACCTGAGACCCCGCTAATGTCGCTCGCCGGTGGTTTCGGGTCGGCGTCGCTCCTCCCAGTAATCACGTCAGCCGGTGGATGAGACTGATCCTGCCCGCCGGCTGAGGAAACCTAAGGTCTTCCCATAGGAAAGCATTGAAAAAGATTTTCAATGTTTTCCTATGGGGAATTGAGCGACGCTGGAGGTCCTCACACAGCGTGAGGACGTCCAGTGACGCTCTAGCAAAGAAAATCTTTGCTATGAATCAAGAAGTGCCCTCTAGTGGCTGTCTAGTAGTAAGGGTAGTGGGAGTTGGCACCCAGACCACTCCAATGGGCAGAAGTGGTCTGGGTGCCTGGAGTGTCCCTTTAACCCAATCAAATTGATAATTATTCAAAGAAAAATAATACCAGAGTATCTATGACACCAGCATAGACACTCAGTCTGGCATAATTGAACACTAACAATGATATAAAGTAACCTGAGCAAAACTAAAAAGAAAAAATAATAACATTTATTACTAAGCACCCTCATTAAAGTGTTACTATTTGTTGCTTGAATTCTACAGTACAGGGATTTGTGTACTATGTAGGCAGTGTTACAAGGTAGACAGTTGCTGCTGAATGGCTCATCATCAGTGAGGATACCAAATAGGTGTTTTTTTCTTCGTCACTCCAAACAATATGATAATGTCATGTTCTGCACAAGGTCAGTCTAAAATTAAACAAACTGCAAACACAGAAAACAAAAAAACAGGAGAAGGAAACAAAATAAGTCTTCAATCTAGATAGATGAACATGTCTCAATTGTAGACTCAAGATCACTAATGTAGGGGATTATCAGTGGGATTGGGTCTCATACACCCTAATAACTCTCCTCATATAGGCGAAGTAATATCCAACTTATCCAGATAAATAAATCTATATTGGCTCAACCTAATAGGACTAAAAAAAATCTTCCTTAAGGATACCTATAAATGCTGGTCTGATATGGAAGACTTGCCATAGGGCTACAATTATCTTGGTCACCTATGAAGGCAACCTACAGGATACCTATGTTAGTCTAGCCCAGGGGTCCTCAAACTCTGGGCCCCCAGATGTTGCTGAACTACAACTCCCATGATTCTTTGAATTACATAGATAGCCAGAGAATCATGGGAGTTGTAGTTCAGCAACATCTGGGGGGCCAGAGTTTGAGGACCCCTGGTTTAGCCTGTCAACCCTAGTTAGATCTACCCCCTATATAAATCAGCTGAACTTTCTGCTGCTAAATTCAGATCATATGTGACAAAAACAAAAACACCCTCAAGTGCTCAAAAGTCCATTGTCCAAAATAAAGTAAACCTGCCCGACGTGCGTTTCAGTACAAAATGGACCTTCGTCATGTGAATTCATGTACTGTATGTACTGCGTTTGAGTTCATTTTTAGACTGCACTTGCAAATGACATATGTTTTAATATCACCTTAGCAGGCAAATTTATACAGAATGTGTAGCACCTACAAGACTTCAAGTGGCTCACTACAAACTGATATTCCAGTTTTAATAAGAAGAGGGGATTTATTCACTAACAAAACAGAGAATAACTCTGAACAGGCAAAAGCTTAGATAAACTCAGTAGCTTGCCCTTCAGTTAGTTTCTGCTCAGGCCTCAAAAATGTTTATTCACTAAACTGTGATTTCTGATGAACTTTAAACTGACTTTGCTAAGTTTACATCAAAAACAACCAACTCAAGAATATAGTCAGTAGAACATCATAAAGATGTTGGCAAAGCTTGGGGCAAATTTTGTACCCATTGCCGTTACTTTTTTTTTCTGCGGGTAGTATCTTCCTTTAAACCAGAAATAGTTCTGGGTCAAGATGGATTTAATGCAGTTAATCAGGACTTTTGTTTCTCTTCTAGTTCTTGATTCTGTTTCAAGGTATTCTCTACTGCATTGCAAACTCTAGTGTGCTCTATTATGGTATAGAGTGAAGTAGCATCAGATATTACTAGGATGTAATCCTTATTCTATGACAGGTCCATAATATGTTTTCTTATGTTGGTAATATCTTTCAAATGTAATTTGACTTTGTTGACATAAGATTGAAGAAAATATTCTGACAGATTTGCTGTGAGAGGATGGATCCCCGAGACAAGGTGGTGGTGTGAATTTCTTATGTATCTTAGGTAAGAAGTAAAACACAAGAGTGTTTGGGCACATCAATTCGAGGAATTATTTCCAACACCACATATCTGGAGTGAATTCACTACTGGCAACTGTTGAAAACTGACAAGGCAACTGAAAATTTTAGGAAAAAATATCTGAGTTGGATAATTCTCCATTGTGATCACACTGGCCTACAATTTGCAATCGCAATTCCTTTGGAATTTTGAGTTTACTGACAAGTGAAGAACATCCTAGCATTCAATTACTATCAGGAACATTCAGAATTATTGTAAACAAAAATGTACTAGGTCACATACAGTAGAAGCACTTTATCATAGATAAACTATGTCAGTTATGCACACGCTTCTGAAATTAGGGGTGTTCCTTGCAAGGCAATTAATATAGACATTTCCAGGGCTTCCAGGCAAATAAATGGTGGACACAATTTTGTTCTCAATTCCAATGCAATTTACAGACTTTTTTATGTAACTTTCAATTGAGGAACAGCAATGCATGTAAAGAGATAACATGTTTTTTCCCCAATTATCTAACCCTGCAAATAAAAGAGGTGATCCAAGCCATTGAATAAAAATAATGAATTGGGTTCACTCCTGTCATGAAAATAGTTAATTATGCGTGCACTTCTGCTGTGTAATAGAATGTGCATGGGATAAACGATCAATCCAATGTACCATGGGAGTCTTAATGTACATTCTTGTTTGTTTACGCAAGTATTGATTTTACAGAAGTGCAACATGCACAAATTCAATGATGCTTACCACAAACAAATTACCAAGAAAAGTAAACACGTGCTCACAAGACATGCTCACAAAACATCAATTGCTGTATAGATGCCTATAGTTAAAGGGACACTATAGTCACCTGAACAACTTCGGCTTAATGAGGCTGTTCAGGTGAGAACTATAGCTCCCTGCAGCCTTTCTCATGTAAACACTGTATTTTCTGAGAAAATACAGTGTTTACATTGAAAGCTAGGAACACCTCCAGTTGCAGTCACTCAGAGTGAACCAGAGGGACCTCCATCCACTCAGATCTGCTGTCAGCAGAGCACAGGGCATCACTGTGCACAGCATCCTGTGATTCAGTATCTCCTCCCTCTGCATGCAGACACTGAACTTTTCCTCATAGAGATTCATTGATTCAATTCATCTCTATGAGGAGATGCTGATTGGCCAGGGATGTGTTTGAATCGTGCTGGCTCTGCCCCTGATCTGCCTCTTTGTCAGTCTCAGCCAATCCTATGGGGAAGCACTATGATTGGAACAGGCTTTAAGTGTACAGATGCCTATAGTTAATGGCTGGTGCTATAAATGTCAAATACCATGTCATGTAATCCAGTATTTACTGTATATCCAAAATATAATATAAATGTGTGTTAGATATGTTTTATTTTACAACTAGTCTTATCAGTATGTTGTTTGTGTACATGGAGAAATTGAGACTATAGCAGCATCCCCTAAATTCCTGTGAAGAGAATGCTGCTCGCGGTTGAAGTACTTTCTTAAAGACACAATGCGGATGTCATGTCACTTCCGGCTCAGATAGGTCCATGTCAGTTTGGCTTCCCCATTCACACACATTTTGGACCAATAAAATCACACATAATGCTATTTAAACTTATTTGGCCCCATTTACTGTGCCCTATTGTGGTTTATGTTCTCAGTACCCTTTAGTGTGTGCCTTGTTACATTGTTGTATTTCTGGCATTGACCGTGGCATTGTTCCTGACCCTGAGTTTCTCTTTATCCCTTGTCTACGAGGTTTAGTGGTCTTACTGTGTACCTGACTCCAGCTAGTTCCTATTTTCGCTGTCTCTCTGTTATCCTGACCTAGACTTGTATTTGACTACATTTGCTCTCTATTATATGTCAAACCCGGCACTCTAAGGACCAGTAATACATGTATTTCAGTCCAGTTTGTTATTGCTATCCTAGACTCTGCGTGTTTGGGTTATACCTCATGCCACTCAGATCTTTCATTCCAAATTCATGGTCATTAATGAGTATTGCCCTCCACCCTTTCTGTTTATTCTGCTAACTCCAGTTTTCTGGAAAAGTTTTTCACTAGTTGTTAAAAAAGTTACTAGGGGCAACTAGTTGGTGGTCCATTTCAATACAAAGATGTTCAATAAGAGATCTGGGCTCTATGCAGGCTATTCAAGTTCTTTCGTTATGATCTCAACCTACCATTTCTATATAAACATTGTTTCCTGAAGGTATTTCCACAAACATGGAAGCACTGTGTAACAAAGCATATTGTATACTAAAGTGTTTACGTATCTCATTGGCTTAATGAAATACATAGCCTACGAAAGCATTAAATGGACATTAAATAAAAAAAGTTTAAAAGCAAGGCTACGAGCTCCATTTTAATGAGGAAATAGGCAGGCGCGAGCAGCGAGCAATCAGACGCTTCCATTCGGAAGCGTCATTGCTCCCTTGTGCGCATGCGTGGCTTTGCCGCACATAATTTATAGGGTGGCATTCATGCCGCCCTATGAAGTCCTGCGCGCACTACTGCGCATGCGCGCGGTGCAAGCTGACTGACAGCTCAGCTCGCGATCTTTGCCCGCCCCCTCTCCTCTGCTGACAGGTAGGAAAGAGAAGGCGCACACACAGTGCCTTCTCTCTCCTGCACACGTCAGACGTATTTTAATACGTCTGACGTGTACATGGCCTTTTTAGGGCCATACATGATAGGAAGTCCCTCTGGTGGCCGTCTGAGTGACGGCCACTGGAGGTATTCCTATCAATCAATGTAAACACTGTATTTTCTCTGAAAATACAGTGTTTACATTAGATTGTCTGCAGGGAGCTATAGCTCTCACCTGAACAACTACATTAAGCTGTAGTTGTTCAGGTGACTATAGTGTCCCTTTAAGTCATGAAGTCAAAAACCAGCTCTTGAAACTTAACTGTTGTTAGGCCAGTATCTCTTCCAGAATCAGTTTGTAATTCAGAAGTGACTGATGCAGTCATGTGACCACAACGTGGTTCTAGGCTTGCTTGGTCAGTAACTAGTCCATTCTGCCTTTCTGCTGCATTATGGGAAGTTAAATCCAAATACACTAAGCCAGGGGATCTCATAGTTAAAATGCAGCATACATACATTATAGAATCCAAGGCTTTAATGCCTTAAGACCCAACAGTGCCTCAGTGCATCTCTTAGAACTCAAACATGTATCTATCTCCCTGCCTAGGTCCCTAAGGCAACAGAATTCACATGTATTTTTATATATTATGTTCTATCAGTTTCCAGCTACCCCCTCCACCCAGGCAAATATTACATTTTATGTAATTGCTGAATACAATAGACAAGCGGCCTTGTAAAACAGTACAGACGTTTATTGTGTCTGCATTATTCTGTACCAGAGACAGTAGCGCACCGAACTGCTATGTCTATATAAATCGAATGCACTGTGGATGGCGTTTCACTCCTCCATAAGCTATTCAGGAAAAAGTTTTGATTATCCATTGTTTTCTTTGCCATATATTTATTTCACCACATGCTGCACAAGTATTGTTACAATAAGCTACACAAACATTTGAAATGAAACAGTTTTATATCAGCTCATTCCAAACACATGAATCTTCCGCTGCCATTTTGTAAAGGGAAAGCATAAGTCGTTCTTTCATATTATATATATTCAAGCACCTCCTACTGATTAAAAGAAATGCCCTAATCAGGACGGATGGAAAGTTCATTTTTTATTTGCGCTGCGCCTTTTAACGGACTTCAGAAGCCCATGGCAGGGCAGACCAAATATGTGAATTTTGGATGATTAAGAAGTGTGTCTATTATTACGTCATCACACCTATTGCACTATGCATAAAAGTTACATCTTTGGAAAAAATTGGCAGAGCCTTCGTGATTACATCTTAACTTGGGGTGTTTATACAAAAAAAAAGAAAATCTCAAAAGTCACAATTCCACATTAATGTGGAATTGACTTTAAATTTCACTGAATTTCAGCATTAACTATTTCTTAATTTGATGTGGTAATCTAGGATGTTGGCAATAATATCATGCAGTCCCAATGCATACTTCAAACCATTTTTGGGGAACAAGCAAATTCAACATTCAAGCTAACAAAGGTTTATTATGCTAACAGCCAGTAAAACTGGCTATTGAAGGGGGTGAAGCTAAGACCAAGTACCAAGGGGCCACTTTCCCACCAAGCTTTACTTGTACAGATTATGTAATAACTCAATACCACAATGGTGATAAAAATTAAGGACTACGTGAGACCACTGCCCCATGACAGCCACTCTCTCGCATTAGATAATCAGGAACTGCAACATTTTCACATCCTAGACAAGTAAAATCCGGGTAAAGAGAATCATTCATGTGAAGGGGAAGCCAAGAACACTTCAATACTGGACCCACTGGCTTTAAGTTCTACAGGTGTGATCTTGTTTAAACAGAAAATCATACAAATAGAACCACCATAAAGCATGCACACATTTAAGTGAGTTAAAGGGACACTCCTAAGTACCAAAACTACTTCATCTTAATGATGTGGTTTTGGTATATAGATTCTATCCCTTTTTTAGAACAGTGCAAAACATTGCCACTTTCCTCATAATGACCTTTTAAAGATTCAAAAAAATACTATAGTGTCAGGAATATAAACATCTATTCCTGACCCTATAGTGCTGGAATCCATATATAGGTTCTGGCCCCCACTCTCCAGAGATTTCTCCCACACTGCCACAGTCTCAACGCGGCTGGTCCTGCTTAGCTCCGTGGTTGTGATCATCAAAGGACCACTATAGTGCCCGGAAAACATACTCGTTTTCCTTGCACTATAGTACCCTGAGGGTGCCCCCACCCTCAGGGTCCCCCTCCTGTTGGGCTCTAGGGGATGGAAGGGGTTAAACTTGCCTCTTTCAAAAGCGCCGGGCGGGGGACTCTCCTCCTCCTCGGCTGAATGCGCATGAGCGGCAGGAGCCGCACGCGCATTCAGCCAGTCCATAGGAAAGCATTCACAATGCTTTCCTATGGACGCTGGCGTCTTCTCACTGTGAAAATCACAGTGAGAAGCGCTGAAGCGCCTCTAGCGGCTGTCAATGAGACAGCCACTAGAGGCTGGATTAACTCTATTATAAACATAGCAGTTTCTCTGAAACTGCTATGTTTATAGAAAAAAAGGTTAATCCTAGCTGGACCAGGCACCCAGACCACTTCATTAAGCTGAAGTGGTCTGGGTGCCTATAATGGTCCTTTAATTCATCCAATGATCCAAAGCTCTTGGAGGCTATTGCTGGCCAACCAGCATCTCTTTATAGAAATGTATTGGATCAATGCATCTCTATGGGAAATGTTCAGCGCCTCCATGCAGAGTGTGGAAACGCTAAACGTCAGTGCATCAGAGGCTTCTGGATCAGAAGCATCTGGCAGGCAGAATGCAGAGAATGAGAAGCATTTAATTAGACCCGGATCAACACGAGGTTTAGGAAAACTTTGTCTCTCCAGATGTAATGGTCTAAATCTCTCCTGATGCTTATCCGGCATTATGACGGAAAGAGTACTATTGGAGATATGGTCCACAAATCTGTAGTGCCAAAGGCTGCCTACCCATGATCTACAGGTTTGATGTTCTGAGGAAAAGGGTAGTGGCTGCTGCAAGTAGTCTATCCCAATAACAGGATTACATATGAGCTTAATGGTGCTCTTTACTTTTTCATATTGAAGGAGGGGGCAGTAATCTAAAAGAGGAAAGGAACACTTTGACTTTAAACATAAAATATACAATTTTTAATGTTAGAGTATTCTTTTAAGAGCACCCATGCACATTAAACAGAAGCACAACAGATCATTATAGTAACATCAAATATTCACAGTACTTTTCCTAAAACTTCAATTTCCAGACACACATATTCTCTACATTTACTCTAGAAATACATGTTTGAATATATTATTTTTACATATATATATTTTTTAATGTTACAAATATCCTACCTACAAGCCAAATTTTAGTAAGAAGCAATGACTCTCCAACTATTATTTAAAGGCATAACACGCCAACTTGTTTTTAAGGACAACAGTTTATTCTGAGAAAATTTTCCTATAATCGAGAAACTCCTGTGGGGTTTGGCCTCCACTCTTACAAAGACTTTCTGAGTTGCCAATAAATAACCTTAAACAATACACACAGAAAAACACCTACAATTAGAAGGAAAAAAAACACAAAAACTAATTACTTAGCCGTATGAATGTACTCATCTGCTAGAAGGGGGCTTGAGTTGTGTATTGTTCATAGGACTGGTTAGTAACTAAATATGAAGTAAAAATGGTAAAATGTGTATGCAAAACAGTCGAAAGGGTTGGAACTCAAACTGACATTTTAAGGACCATAATAAGTTTGCATTAAAGCCAGCTGCTGAAAATGAAGATGGTGGCGCCCGTGGAGTACAGCTTCAAGTAAATATAACATATCTGCTGCATCCCCAGACCACTACACTCCATGCAACAATCTCACCATCAGGGGTCTTATTTTTTGACAAAATCTACTTTACATTTTGTGTATCTTTCATATTGTTTGTTATCTGCCTGTCGGTATCCCTACTACACAGGGCAATGGTTCATATATGCAATGTGTCTTATAGGGGGAGAGAAAATAAGTCATAACCACTTCCTATGAGATAATAGAAAACTTGCATGCTTGATGTGGTCCTCCAGTGTTTCTGAAGCGTTATCTTTAGTGATAAACCAACATATTCTGCAGCTTTGTACAATGGGCAAATACAAAACAAATAGTGTCAAATCTAAGTAGTGATACTGGAACCTTGAGTGTGCTCGTGAATAATTAAAAGAACACTAAAGCGTTAAGATTACAAACTTGTATTCCTAACTCTATAGCACCGTAATCCATATTTAGAGTACAGGGCCCCACAAAGTGCAATAAAAATAATAATAATAAAACAAAAAAAGAGATTTGTATTACCTAGACTCCCTCGGTGCTGCTGCCCACTCAGCCTAATGCGCCGTCATCAAGAGTTGTTCTCTTGGTGATGGTCCAATCCAACGCTCTTCATAGAGGAGCACTGGGGACTTATTGCGCATGCACAGCAAGTGCTGTGTGCATCCTATTAAAGGGTTCTCATAGGAATGAATTGCATACCTATGACAAAGTGTCACTTGATTATTGCATCGGACGCACCTCTACAAAACTACAATGTTTTACATTGCAGGGTTAAAACTAAAGTGACACTGCATCCAGATCATTTCATTAACATGAAGTGGTCTGGGTGCATTTAATGGTCCTATAAATGTATTATGTAGGGTTGTCTTTAACTCTACCTATGATTATATCCTCTGTATCCTCTCATTGTTGGACTAATTAAAACCACAGATCTACATCTGCCACATGTAGATTGAAATGTGTGAATAACCTTTGATGTTGATATATCTGTGTTTGATTTAACCTTACATTCTTTATCACCCTGTGCTCAGTCTGTTAATCCATATTTTCAAGGATTTTTAAAATATGGATTTGTGAAAGATTCGCTATCAAGTCATTTAGAAGTTATAATGTTACAGTTTCAATCCTCTCGTTAAGCTGGTACAGAACAGGGTGAGCTTGTCATGATAACTGTGGCTGTGCTGACAACCAGCGATGACCCTGCATTGCAAATGTATACTACCCAAGGTGGAGTGTCACCCTCTAAGCTATCAACCATCTCTTACCCAACAATCTGATGAATTACATTACATTATTTCATATTCACAATGCAGACAAGTGTCACTGGCAGTGTCAGAATTGCCATTGGTCACTGCACTGTTTTAATCTGTATTTATATTACCCTGGGCTGGCACCCTTTTGTAATTAAGTAGTGCCGATAGTGCATTCCTGAATAATCATTTTGTCTTACGTGTGACCTTGGCTTTACTTCTTGTGAGTGAGTGAGTGAGTGAGTGTGGGATGCTTGACATGGTGATCTTGTCTATGTAAAAGAGGGTCACTAGATATCATGACAATAATGGGTTTTCATTGATAAGTGCCAATGATACAATGTGTAGAGCTGCTGGTTAAGCCAAGCTTGGACATAATCCAAAATGGGGACTGGCGCAGCGCTACGCAAGCACTCTTGCAATGGCACAATTGCCTACCAGTAGTTTACAGAGCTGCAACTGCATTAAATAGCATGTTCTCGCTGTGCTCACTGGTGACCTCAGTGCAGAGAAGAAAAAACAAAACAGGATTACTAGATGCAGATCCTAAAGCAGGCTAGTCCACTGGATATAGTACAGCTGGGAGTTTAACTATGTAAAAAAAAAAAAAAACTGCAGAAAACGCAGGTCAGATCACTCAATCTTTTAACATTTCCAGTTTATCCACATTCACAATCATTGTGATTGTCCTGGCATGTCATTTTTCATGAAGGGGTTAATATACAAATATTCCAAGTTTGGTGTTACATTAATCAGATCTTACAAACTGCCAGTATATCCTATTAACAATGGGTCAGCTGTTTTTGTTAAAGTGGGAGTAATTTGACATTTTTTATATGGCATTTAAGTGCCCATAGTCTAACGTTTTAATAGCTACTGAAAAATGAATGTCTTCCATTTATCGTTTTAAGTTAATATTTAAACTATTTCTGCAAATTGTACTTTGAGTTTCCCTCTAATGAGTGGCCTCTTCTCTATTTTGTTTTTCGTTATCTGGAATTGTGATGCAGAAAATCAGATAGGGATTGAGAGATTACATGCAAATGTGCGCCGTGGAATGCTGGAAACAATTGCAGAATTTTTTTTAAAAGAGCCAAAACATTAACAAATTGTTAATGCAACACAGTTTTATCTTAACTTTTGGCCAGAGTTGAACTTCACATTTTAGATCTTGTTATAGAAAACACATTACAAAACCTTATTTAAAAAATATGTAAAAAAATACTCATATTTGAAGTCCCAGCATTTGCAGTAAATCCCCAGGGTTTGAAAAGCTCTATTTTGCAGTGTGTATCCACCAAATAATGAGGCTGAGTATAATACATAACTCTCTGCCCTGCACGTGGCAGCAGTCACATTCATCAGAGAGAATGGATGGAACTGCAGACAATGATGATACATTATGGCTGCTACCAGCTTGCATTCATAGTTTTATAAACAGAGCTATGGACAACGTGCATGAACATAGCCACAACACCTTCATAGCTTACTATTAAAGGAACACTATAGGGTCATGTATTCCTGACCATATAGTGTTATCAACACCATCTAGCCCCCCTCTACACCACCCTTGCCTTCCTAAATATAGTCAACTCTTACTTGTATTCAAGTCTGCAGCTGCAGGCTCTACCCCTGCTCTGCCTGCTTGACTGACATCATCAGAAGTGATTCTCTAAGCCAATCACAATGCTTTCCCATAGGATTGGCTGTGACTGTGAAGGAGGCAGATCATGGGCAGAGCCAGCACAAGCCAACACAGCCCTAGCAAATCAGCATATCCTCATAGAGATGCATTGAATGAATACATCTCCATGAAGAAAGTTCCGTGTCTCCATACAAAGGGTGGATACACTTAATGTAATTGTTGCACACTGTGCAGCACTGCCACAGGAAGCACCTCTAGCAGCCATCTGAGAAGTGGCCAGTGGAGTTATCACTAGGCTGTAATGTAAACACTGCATTTTTTCTGAAAAGACAGTGTTTACTGCAAAGGGCCTGAAGGCATTATTCTACTTACCAGAACAAATACAATAAGCTGTAGTTATTCTGGTAACTGTAGTGTCCCTTTAAGGTACCTCAAGGTGTAGGTGGGAACTTGTATAGCATGTGAGAAGTGCTTAGACAGGCAGGGGGACACATTAGTCTGTGAGTAAGGGACTGAGCGGATAACGTCAAAAGTAACAATTTGTGTAAATCGCTGCTGTTAAAATGTTTTAGTTCTAGGAGAACATCAATAATGTACTGTTAGTACATAATTGCTTTGAATATGAAGAACAAGCAAAGCAATTGTGCCAAAAATGACCACTATAATAAGTATTTTCTATGCGATCGAGAAACAAAATAAATAAACTGGTATCATGGACACCACAAGTCATAATTAATGGTTATGGTGAAAAACTAATTCCATTAAAAAAATTATGCAACATATCTGGCCTGGTATTCAATCTTTAAACCAGATTTGGAAGGTAAATCTTATTACATATTCAAGAGACTGAACTTAACAAGATTTGTTTTTTCCTCTTGAAACAGACCCTTGAGAATGGTTTCTTATAACAGAGAAACAATGGTTGGCTAGAGATCCATGTTACATTGAGGTCAGCCTTTTCTTGGCGAGCTGTGTTTCACTGGGGACCATTGCCAAAATGTATGTTTCCACCCAGGAATGCAGAGAAATTCAACCTCCAACCAAACCTGCCAGTGGAACTCATGAACTCTGACACATTTAATCTTCACTATCCATTTATTGCAGGATTACAAGATGCAGTTTTAATGGAACCCCATCTCAGACAGTAGGTCCGGACTGGCCATCGGGCCCGGTGGGGCGAGATGGCCATGGGCCGAGGACGGCAGGGGAGATCCCCTGACGGCCCATGCAGGGCAGCACCAGCCCTAAGAGGGACCACTGTCCCCTCACTGGCCGGAGGAAAGATTTGTGAATCCGTGCTAGGCAGCATACCTGTCTCCCTCTAGTGAGCTCCGATATTATCAGAGCGTTCCATGGAAACCCATGACAATGCTCGGTAATACCTGCACTCATGAGAGGGAGAAGCATGGTCTGTACCCTGCAGAGGTACAGACTGAATAACCTGCCAGCTGGACCACCAGGGATCGTCATCAGCATGCTCCCCTCTACCCCAGCAAGGTAATAAGAGGGAGGGGAGCGCAATATATATTTTTTAATTATTAAATGAATTAAGCAGCCATCATACCAGCTTTTTAATCCACTACACCCCCTGCCATCATACCCCCTATTAACCCACTACACCCCCTGCCTTCATACCACTCTATTAACCCACTACACCCCCTGCCATCATACCCCCATTAAACCACTACAACCCCTGCCATCATACCCCCTATTAACCCACTACACCATCATACCCCCTATTAACCCACTACACCCCTGCCATCATTCCCCTATTTACCCGCACACCTCACTTCATCATACCCCCTATTAACCCACTACACCCCTTGCCATCATACCCCTATGGCATACCACCCTCTGAAATGCCCCAATTAACCCTTCCTCCTTGCCTTCCTTACCCCTACACTATACACACATAATATATCTCTGCACAAACAGGTAGCCACCTTTTCCCATACATACATTACACTCCCTCACTTTCCTCTGGCTCAAATGTGTAGGGAACATATCACACGTTTGTATATCTGCAGGTGTGTAGTGTATTTAACTGTCAGTGTGCATATCTGTGTATCTGAATGTGTTTCAGTGTGTTTCTGTGTATTTGCATGTGTGTCAATGTGTGTATCTGTGTGTGTATGTATTAGGGATCAACCGATATTCTGTGAACTTTTAGGCCAATAGCTGATAACTTACCAATATCGATATTCTGTATCTTTTTTTAATTAAGTGGTAAATGCAAAAAATATACATGCCAGTCAGATTTTTTTTTTTTTTTTTTAAAGAATATTTAGTGTACCTCTCCCCTCCCTTCCCTGTCCCTAAAGGTACCTCTCCTCTCCCATCTCTTGCTCCCTGTCCTTTAGTGTGCGTGTCACCTCTCCTTAGTGGTCCTCTCCCCTCCATGATGTGCCTCATTATCTCTCTTGTTGTGTGGCCAAGTGCAGAGGACCGTGGTACAGGAGTTTCTCAGTAAGCACTTCCTGTCAGTCCGGCCAGGTATAGGAAACTGAAGCTCCTGTACCGCGGTCCGCTCTGCTCAACCACGCTACACTGAGTGACTGGTAGGTGGAAGGGGCTATGTGCTTCCTGCCTGCCCATCACTCGATTCTTGTGCCCCCAGAGCTGATGAGCCCTAAGATGGCCGCCTGTGCAGCCTTATGGACGCGCCGGCCCTAAGTGCGCTGGACCACCGCCACCTCTTACATTATCGGTAATATCAATATTAATAGTGTATCAATAATATTTGCCAAAATCCCGAATATCGGCCGAACCAATTATCGGTCCATTAGTGGTGTGTGTGGCAGTGTATGTGTATATGTGAATTTATCTCAGCATTCAAACGCAAACAATACACACAAATACAACCCTGCATTGAAATGTCAACACAACATACAAGCACACCTCTGTATTAAACACCATGCAAAACCTGGTTTCAAAAACCAACACTACACATAAATAACATGCTTGCATTCAAATGCCAACACTACATACAACCACAACCCTACATTCACACAAAGAAATGCTTATATTCAAGCACTCAAACACTGCTCAGTGCTTAGTAAAACCTGAAAGCATGGGAAAATGGTAAAGCCCCAGGTTTAAAAGCATTGTTGGGGTTGTACTTGTACGACAGATGAGGATCTACGTTTTGGTCACCCTTGCTATAGGAAGGCTGAAAATGTTTTGACCACCCTTGTGATAGGGGGGGCCAAAAATACTCTTGCACCAGGGACCTCTCTGTTAGTTCCACCATTGACTGGTGACCCTAGACACACAAACACACACTACAGTCCCTAACGACATGCACACTATACAGCCTGTAGACACACATAATGAGCACTTATAAATGTTCACACACTACAGCCCCTAGCCACACATAGTACACAAGTGCATATACTCCTTGAGATCTGTTATTACCTAAACTAATTATTGCTTGAATTACAGACATGTCTTCTACTGTTCATGTGTTCTATATCTGCACTACAAAATAAATAAATAATAATTAAAAAAAAAGCAGCCCACTCTAGTGGTTATGATGCCAAGAGTTCCCTGGCCCGGTTCCCTAGTAAAACGGTTTGCCGTACCTGGGACCCCGCAAGGTTTGGATGCTCCCTAGTGGTCCAGTGACACACTCCTTGCTTCTGCAAAGCCACACATGCCAGAAGCCATCGCCATTCAGTGGTTGAGCATTCTCTGAAACTGACTGGCCAACTCAGAATTCTAGTTCCGAGCTGGCTGATGACAACCCAGTAGTGGGATTACACCTCCGTCACAGAGATTATGCTCCATATGTGCAGTGTTTTAAAGTGAAATTATGCAGACTGCAGGCACCATGACCACTTCAAATCACTGACATAGTCATGGTGCAAGGAGTAACCCTTTAAATAGCACACTAGGCAGAATTAAGTACAAATGCAGTGTGCTAGAGTGTCCTATCATCCTACAAATTACTGACTAAATAAATATGCTAGGACAATACCCTTTCTACCACGAAAGCGGACTTTAAATAATGTGGAGTCATTTACAGCTAAGAATTTGTCCAATCCTGTTTATTTAAACAAATTAATGATCCATTGGTGAAGTGAATATATGACATATAAGTAACACAGAAATGTATAGCTTGGCGTGTAATCCTGCATATGTTTATATAAATATTCAAAAGAAAAATCCCAGCTACACTGAGCAGCTGAGTAGTGTCATAATAGATTCATGAAATATTATTGCTTGGACCTGGGTGAAAATATTTTGAAGAATTCCAAACATTCTGCTACAAAATATTATTCCAAGGGATGTTTTAATTTCAGATCCCCACCCATGTGAGTATGGATGTGAAATTTCCTTTCCCTAAAACCACATATAAAAATCTGAACTCCAGGGCAAGAACAGGAAAGAGAAACTGTGAGAAGTACGGTGAATTTCTGCATGTATAGCATAGAGAATCTGTTAAAGTGTTTTGTAAGTTCTATGGGGAAGTAAATGGCTATGCAAGTAATGTTTAAGACTTATTTTTATTTATACATTTTTTTCCATTAAGGAAAACTATAGTTGTAGAAATATATTTTTTTTTTTATATATATATAAATCATTTATTGGCATGGCTGAAACTCTCAGTACTTTTTGTGTTTAAAAATTTTCAGTAAAAAAAACCCTTACTCAACTTTTTTTCCAGCACTGAGAACCGGTCCTTGCAGCCGCCCACTCTGCCTTCTGTTTCATCTTCATGCCTGCTGACTCCTCTTTGACTTCTCCTCCAATCAAATGATTCTCATAGAGAAACATTGAATCCAATGTCCAATGTATGAGTAGCACTAACTGAATGTCAAGGGCCAAGGGCACTGCACCAGGGACGGATCCTGAACCTAATCTCGGGTGGGGCACTGCTAGTCTATTTAAAAGAACAATACAGGCAAAATAACCACTACAGCTCTCTGTAGTGGTTATGGTGCCAGGAGTGCCATGGAACCCCACTCCCCATAGTACCATTTAGGAACAGTTTGACAACTTACCTGGAGTTTGCCAGGATATGGGCCGTAGTAGGGAATAGGGCCTCTAGTAGGGGATAGCAGCAGTAGTGTATGTGTGTGTGTGAGGGTTTTTTATGCTGTGTAATGGGGTTTAGTGTATGTGTGGGAGGGGTGCAATGGGTGTGTGCGCGCAAGGAGTGCAGTGTGTGTGAGAGAGGGGTGCAATGTGTGTGTAAGGGGTGCAGTGTGTGTGTGAGAGGGGCAGTGTGTCTGTGTAAGGGGTACAGTTTGTGTGAGTTGCTGTGTGTGTGTGAGGGGTGCTGTGTGTGGGGAGGGGCAGTGTGTATGTGTGGGGCAGTGTGTGTGAGGGGTGCAGTGTATGTGTGTGAGGAAGGCTGTCTGTGTGTGTGTGTGGGGGGGGCAGTTTGTGTGTGGAGGGTGCAGTGTGTAAATGTGTATGGAGTTATTGTGTAGGGGGCCAGATTAATAAAGCAAATATATATATATATATATATATATATATATATATATATATACATACACACACACACACACACACACACACGTGTCTTTTTTTGTTTGTTTTTTATAAATAAATATACTTTATATCCTCCCTCCCTTCTCACATTTGACCAGTGAGGGGGAACATTTTGTCCAATCCCTGGTGGTCCCAGAGGTGAGAGTGAACTTTAGCACCTACTGGGCTAGGGTTTACTCTCGGGAGATCCAAAGCATTACCATGATAACCGCGGCAGCGCTCCTAACTTGCGAGAGGAGAACTCGGCGGAGCTACAGACTGCCAGCTGCCCAGCAAAGTGCCTGTGGGCCAGCAAGAAGATCTCTGATCTCCCATCTGGTCAGTGAGGGCACACAGTAGGGCCGGTGCTTGAATATTGCTCCCCCCCCATACCCCTTAAATCCACCATTGCACTGCACACAGACCACTTCATTATCCACTGCTCACAGACCACTTCATTTATCTATATCTGGTCAGATCTATTGCACTTACTAAACCTGTAACGATGAAATACACACATATCCTGTCCTCATTGGCACCACCTCTTCATCATTCCAACATGTGAGGGTATACCATGGGTAATGAGATTAACTTGTCCACCATTTTACCTATATATTCATGTCACTCAGTTGTCTTTGGCAAAAGTCCACAATTGGATGAAATGAGTCAGACGCAAGGATACATTACTTCCAGTTTACCAGAACTTCCTGATTAATACTGTTCGCAACACTCAAACATCTTCTTTTGCTCAATAAACAGCTTTGAAACATTAAAATATATATATATCATAGAACTTCCAGAAACCTGACTTGCGCTACCCTATTGAGTGGAGTACTAGGATAGCATCTAAAATATATGCCTCATTGCACACCATACCATAGCTATGCTGGAAGTACTTGGCGTTACTTCACATTACCGCTGACACTTTGGGGTATATTTATCAAAGTGTTCTGAAAAGTGATTATTAAATTCCATCAATATTTTCATCATATTTAAAGGTCCAGTCCACACTTGAAAACCCCCCAGGAAAAAAACCCAGTTTAGTAGATATACCCCCAATAAATAAATACATGTATATTTTTATGTATGTATTCATTGGGGGTATAGTCTAAAACAGCCTGTAAAAGCTGCAATTCTTATGACTACAGCCTTTGTAATCCCTCCCTTTATTCACAGGAATAAGGGGAGGGATCACAGGAATTCACTTCACAGAGAATTGTCCAATAAGAGGCTTCTCATAGAGAAGCCTCAGTTCTATTCTATTTCAGGTGTCTCTCCTCCCCAATCCAACCACGTGTCTCATCCCACCTTCCCTCCCTATGTCAAAAAGCCCTTTCCCCTCCCCTCCCTGTGTTACAACCTACCTCCCCTCCCTGTGTCAAAACCTCCCTCCCCTCCCTGTGTCAAAGCCCTTTTCCAATCCCTCCCTGTGTCAAAGCCCTTTTCCCATCCCTCCCTGTGTCAAAGCCTTCTTCATCCCTCCCGTCCCGTGTCAGAGCCTCCCTCCCCTCCTCTCTCTGTTTCAAATCCTCCCTCATCCCTTCCATTCCTCCTCCCTCCACTCCCTGTGTCAAGTCCTCCCACCCCTATTTGTGTCAAGTCCTCCCTCCCATCCCTGTGTCAAATCCTCTCTCCTGTCTCCTCCCTGTGTCAAAGCCTCCCTCTCCGAACAGGGACAGGACAGATGCTGCAAGAACTGACAGGCAGGAGGGGAGTGATTCTTGCAGCCAATATTGTAAGGCAGGTACACTCTATGAATCTATTTGCATATATAAAAGTGTTAATTTCACAATGAAATTGGCACTTTTATTAACTGGGATTTTAAAGGGATACTCCACATCCATATAGCTATTCAGCAAGCTGAAGTGCTCTATGACTGTGGACTACTCCTTTAAGTATTCTAAAAGTGATCTAAAAAGTGACAGTTTCCCTCATAGTAAATTCTGCTAGTGTTCTCAGATATTTCAATTTCAGTAAAAAAGCAGGAAAGCAGTAAAAAAAAATGTTTTAACAGCAAGTTTATCTGTATTATTTTATTGATTTACTTCTTTGCTCACAGTACAAGATCCCATATCTATATTATAGAGATATAGAAAAATACCTTTTCCAGTGCGTCTCTGTCAGTCAATTCCTGTACAGCCAGCAGCTTGATACTGCAGACAAAGAACAAAATATATATTAACGTTAACAAGAATAACTATAGGAAAACATTTATGAACAAATATGATCACTTTGAAAGTTTTAAAGATATTTTCGACCAATTGTGTCTATAGCAAGCATATATACAAGTGAGCAATGCAACCAATTGCAGGGGAGATAGCTAAAATCCTGCCTTGAATAACAAGGGGTCTTGGACTCAAAGTCCATTGAGATGTCTTTTTTCTTTTTTTTTTTTAGTGCATGCATGGGACATTTACCACCCGTGGAGTGTAAAACAGCTCCACAACAATAATACTCACAGTAATATGTACTTAAACTCCAATAAATGTGTTTAGAAATCAGCCTGTGTAAATAAGATATTCTGTTCTTGTTCTAAGTTGGGACCAGAAGAGGAGACAGAGGGACCAGTAAGATGCAGGCCTCCCAACCTTCCTGATATTGGAGGCTAGAACCGATATTGGGACACCAAGCACATTAGATGCGCTCATGCTATGTTCAGGGCGCTAGGACCCAGCAGAGACCACTGAAACATTGCTCCCTACGGGGTCTGCCAAAAGTGAGCGGACCTTAGATGACAGTCGGGCTCACCTACCAGTAATTTCCGCACCCCCATTCTGGGTGGGTTAGCCCCATTTTGAGCAGGACCAGTGATATGATCGCTTCTCGGGACTCTCGGGTTGGGAGTTATGAAGATTAATGCTGCCTTAAAGGCACCTTTAGTGGTTTATCACTACAGGTAAGATGACACCCAGGATTTCCAAACACCATAACAACTTCATTGAGTTGCAGGACTTGAAGTTATCATGGTGCCTGGAGTGGTACTTTAATGTTCTGTTACGGTCATCCAAAATATACATTATAGACTCTGCTATTTTAATTTCAGCACTATTGTAATTCCAACATTTCTACAACACATACTTTATATTCCTGACATTGCATCACTTTGTGAAGGAGGAAGGCATTTATTCAGCCTACACGCAATTTTGAAAATAACATCATACTCATCACAATCAGCTGTCAGAAACATACATTACCTGCACTCTTCAGTTTATTTATTGTATATTGGAGAGTGGAATATCCTGCATTACAAAGAACTGGGTACGTCACTCTTAACACTCGACAAAGTACACACATTAGCATATACATTTTAAAAAGTATATTTTTAATGCCATGTTTTTCTTATTTCAAACTAATTTAAATTTCTGTTTGTATAAACATTGGCAGGTATACCATACTTTAAATAACTAAAGTGGTAAAAAAAAAAAAAAAGCTAGGAGTCATCTTGTTTTTTTAAACTAACAAAGCTTTATTTTCAATTATAAAAATACCATTTTAAAGAGACACTATAGCCACCAGAACCAATACAGCTTACAGCTATAACACGTCCCTGCAGGATTTTCAATGTAAACACCGCCTAGTAACACTTCTAGTGTGCAGCACCTACGTTTAGCATCTCCATGAACACTCCCCACAGATATTCATTATTCAATGCATCCCTATGAGGAGATGTGAAAACCCTTTACCTTAATCTTATTTCTAACTACTATTAAAAATTCAACCAAATTCTCATTCTTAACCAAAGCACCCATTATCATCTAACTAACATTAATCCCTCTCTAGAACTCCCCCTTTACCCTAACCACATCTATCATTAACGTTAACCCTTCTTGCATTTACATAGATGCACACATTTATTATACACACAGATGCAAACACAACATTACAAGCAGGAATATGAGCATACATACATGTATACATATGCTGTTGTTAAATATAAATATGTTTTTAGGCTTTCAATTTCCAAACATTATCTGTCTTATTTTGGGTTGGGGAGCAGGGGGCGCATTAGAGCCTACAGGTACCTAATGCAAATCCGGCCATGATCTGCACTAGATCAAGTTAATATATAATATAAGACCCAACAATGCCATAGCAGTCATTGACTTTCCATACTGTGATACATTGCAAATGTTGACCTGATTGTGGTTGGTGTTTTCAAACTACTGGAAAACCAGGAAGCAGAAGTTATTTAAACATATACATACATAATCACATAAGGAACAAGGTAGTGTATCTACATAATAAAAGCTGAAGTGAACCATAAAAAAACAGATATGGCATTTCTGTGAAATTCAGATTTTTGTGTATTTGTCATACACTACTCCCAATGAAAATATGTTTTTTACAGTGAGATTTGTATACACCATGTTAATGCATGTGATAGATTATACCTACAGAACAAATGTCAACGATAATTATAGCATGTAGTGTAAAAATATACATGTAATCTGCATTATATCTTTAATAAGGAATGATTGTTTTAACTGCACGTGATATCTTCATGTGATATTAAAACCCAATGAACTTATTTTGACTTGTTTTTTTGAAACGGCAAAACAGGAATTCAATATTTTCTCATCCTTTAACCCTTTAAGGACCAAACTTCTGGAATAAAAGGGAATCATGACATGTCACACATGTCATGTGTCCTTAAGGGGTTAAATACCAGCATTTTCATGTTATGATTGTTTTCGTCCTGGTAACTCAAGGAATATATGAGCACTTGTCAAAATAAAAACGACTGGAATCTCCCCATCCTACCCTTTCTACCTCACTACCGCAATCGCACAAATCACTTTCCTGGAATTCCAAATTAATGTGGACATTCCGACAACACAAACCAAGATTCCCAAGTGATATTCAAAAGATGTACTGACATTACTTTGGCACAAATAAGAAAAGCACTCTTTTTCTCTACCACCATTCAATGGATTAAACAGAAAACTAGAAGAATATTAACAGAAAGAAGAATATTAAAGAGAATTAAAACAGAATAGAAATTTGTCACGAAAGCACCCTACTCAAATAGTGTGCGTGACTTAGTTGTGTTGGTGAAAGTTCACTATCTGTCTGCCGTAGACCAGAAATAATGATAAAAATCTCCCTTAACGCCACTCACACTGAATTATAATCTTAACGCAGCCGCCACCAAGACAATTTATAAATGGGGTACTTTGGCCCCCCAGGTAAATTAGAATAAAAACCTACCAAATACAATTTAGCACGATATCTATGCAATTGACATTACTTAATTGGTAACTTCATGTAACGTGATTCTTTACCGAAGGCAGAACTCAATAAAGGAATATTTATTACGAACAAAAAATAGTCACAGTGTATACAAAAAGTAGATAAACAAATCAGTTACACCAACAACAGATAAAAACAAAAAAGGATAAATTAATAGAAGTCCTAATTACTCACTCACTTAAAAGTCAAACTTCTGTCCAGGGCGTCTCTGGTAAGGAGAGATGGTGACTCACTCAAAATTTAATTTTGGCCCTGTCCTACTGTGTCTTTATACCCCACCTCCTGTAGACTGTAAGCTTGTTTGAGCAGGGCCCTCTTCAACCTATTGTTCCTGTAAGTTTTTGTAATTGTCTCATTTATTGATAAATTTCCCCCTCTCATAATATTGTAAAGCGCTACAGAATATGCTGGCTCTATGTAAATACAAATGACAATAATTGTTAAATAAAACATAGGCCAAACCATCTTAGAACTGCTCCTGATTGGAACTCACTCTCCCATCTAGATTATTTTTAACTAATTCAATTGTTTCATAATAAAGGGGAACTGTTCCTTCTCTGGAATTTATTCCATTTATTAAAACATTTAAAATCAGCAAAAACGAGTGTTACAATTTTTCATGCGATGCTCTGTTTTCTTTGAAATGCACATCACCGATTTAGCAAATGGCATCACAATTTAGTTCAGTCTAGGCACAAGCAGGGGACACATTACAAATAAGGAAGAGAAACAGAAATATACATACCTTTCTCTTCTTCTGTGCATATAAATACACACGTCCGTTGGATTTTAATGTATTTAGGGTCTTACTTAGAACAGCACAATTAGCGGGTAAATATAACCTGAATGTTTGTTTGCTTGGCACGAAGTGAGATGGCTAGTTTTGTTTTAGCAGTGCGTCCAATGGTGCCAGTTTTAAGGTTTTATATAGTATGTTATAGATACATATTAGGTACTCTGTGAGTGGAAGCTAAACATGTATGGTTGGTAAGTGATATATTGCTGCTATACTGAACGGATGGTAATGCCACAGAGCTATATGACTATTATATAGAGGGTTATGTGTCTGATTGATATATGGGAAGTAGCTGGTTGATACTTGTTGTCAATGCAAGGCATACCTGCTCTGGTCATGAACCTGGTAATAGTGTATTAATAACACCCACACCATCTCCTTTAATAATGTAGCTGAAATAAATGTTTCTCCTATTGCCTTTAAATAAACAGAGCGATGCTCCAAGCATTATACTCACCTATAACCCTTAGCACAGGTAATGGTGCAAGATGAACCCTCTACTTTTTTATTTTCATCTAATTTGTTATCATTTACACTTGAGAAAGTCCTCAGTAGACAAAACGTGTTGTGGTATTTTATACTAGTTACTTTAAGCATTAAAGATATTTGGCATTCACTTAATTTTAATGTGTCTGACCATTTGTTATATTTTTTATGCTTTTAAGGTTTTTTTTAGTTTGTTGTACTTCATTTTATATCTTTTACTGTTCCTGGCACATCTATACCACCATTGCCTACCTGTATCCTGGGAAGAACTGCCTTTTGAAGGAGCTACTCTACATTATATCCCTGGTAGGGATTCTACCCCCAAGCGTTGAGTAAGTGTACACTGCTCCATCAAATGTGAGTAATTACTTTTGCCTTTATAATTACTAATGTACAGCTTTACAGAGGGCACCATTTTTTTGCCATTTATATCTTTTTATATATCTACCTACATGTTGAGTTACTGACTCCTAGAACAACATATGCATCAGTGGTGAATTGTACCACTGCATGCTTTTATACTCAGAGTGGGTTTTATAGCTCTACTAAATGTGAGTGCTACATCATAGACCTCTTTGTTGTTTGTTCTGCATTTGGTACTAGATACTCTCGCCATTACCGGCTATCTATCTTCTTTATTGCATATACCTGCCACCATCAGAAGAGTAAAGAATACTCCAAGCATTTGATAATCTATTGGACTTTTTATTTTGTACAAATATTCTGTATTATCTTGCTGTATATTAATCAGTTAAGGTATCCCTTACTACCAGTGTTTGCTGCCTGCTTACAATTCTATGTATAGTTGCCTTTTATGTGCACTGCGTATGCACATGCCACAATTCCTATGTAACTTGTACCAGCTTTCTAATAGATTTTTACACAATGCCTATGAAGCAGCCGTGTTCTATCTACTACTAGACTGCAGAACCGTTCCAATAATGATTTGAAAAAGCCAGTCAATTCTGCCTTGAACTGTATTCCTGATATGAAGACAAAAACTCACATTTGCAAATAAACAAATTCTCTCACTTACCATGAAAGGGCTACTCTAGTCAAGACAGGATTAGCAGAGGTATTACCAAAACAAAATAGGCAAAACAAAATAATGTACATTCCTTTTTTGTATATTAAACATGTATGTCGTGTTGAGATGTTTTGTTTTTTCCTCTGGCCTGGTATTTATTTCCAGGAAGATATAAGAAGTATTTTTAAATTAAGCAGAAGGCATAAATTCATTAATTTAGCCGGATGAGATTTTTGCACATTGAATAGGAATCAAAGAACTTTCACTTTCAAAGAACTGACAGTTTCGCTTAAAGATGTGTCCAACATTTTTTGGTAACTTCACTTCCTGGTGCTAAACATAAATTGCGATAGAGTGACTAGTACTTCAGCAAGGGAAATCAGGCTTTTGAATGTGTTAAATGACACCTTCATGTCACAACTGGTACAAGCACCAACTAGAAAGGATGCTTGACTGGATCTCGTTATAACAAACAATGTTGATCTTTTGATCAACATTCCACTAGGGGAACATTTGGGAAATAGTGATCACAATATGGTAATTTTTCAAATAAACTCAAAAAAGCAATAGCACGCGGGGTATACTAAAACATATAATTTTTTTAAAAGCCAATTTCATTAAGATTAGGGCACCTCTACAACATATCGACTGACATAAACTCTATAGCGAAAAGAACACTGAGGATAAATGGAATATCCAGCAAATATTAGAAAGGTACATTTCTCAGTATGTACCATTGGGTAATAAATATAAAAGAAACAAATTGAAACCAATGTGGCTTAGTAGAGAAATAAAACGACATTAAAAATAAAAAAGAGCATTTAAAAATAAAAAATCATTTTAAGCATTTAAATCAGACAAATCAGAGGCATCCAATATAAGATATAAGGAAGCCAATAATGCTTGCAAAAAGGCAATTAAAATGGTTAAACTAGAAAATGAGAAATTGATAGCCAAAGAAAGCAAAACCAACCTCCAAATTGTTTTCAAGTACATCAATTCTAAAAAAAACAAAAAATTCAACTGTAGGTACACTGGAGACAGAGATGGGTGTGTTAGTTAATGAAGACCAGGAAGAGTCAGAATGTTATATAACTATTTTTCTTTAGTATATATTAATGAGGATCCTATGGCAAGAGATATGCAAATGATTGCTGCAACAAACTTGCAGATAACTTGTGATTGGATGACTCGAGACAAGGTGCTACAGAAGTTAAAGAAAATTAATGTAAATAAAGCTCCAGGGCATGACGGTATTCACCCACGAGTACTTAAAGGACCACTATAGTGCCAGGAAAACATACTCGTTTTCCTGGCACTATAGTGCCCTGAGGGTGCCCCCACCCACAGGGTCCCCCTCCCGCCCGGCTCTGGGAAGGGAAACAGGGTAAAAACTTACCCTTTTCCAGCGCTGGGCGGAGAGCTCTCCTCCTTCTCTCCTCCTCCGTTCCGCCCCGTCGGCTGAATGCGCACGCGCGGCAAGAGCTGCGCGCGCATTCAGCCGGTTGCATAGGAAAGCATTTACAATGCTTTCCTATGGACGCTGGCGTGCTCTCACTGTGAAAATCACAGTGAGAAGCACGCAAGCGCCTCTAGTGGCTGTCAATGAGACAGCCGCTAGAGGAAATAGGGGAAGGCTTAACCCATTCATAAACATAGCAGTTTCTCTGAAACTGCTAGGTTTATAAAAAAATGGGTTAACCCTAGAAGGACCTGGCACCCAGACCACTTCATTAAGCTGAAGTGGTCTGGGTGCCTAGAGTGGTCCTTTAAGGAGCTAAGTGGGGAAATAAGTGAACCTCTGTATTTAATTTTTCAAGATTCTTTTGTTTCAGGTGTTGTACCGGAGGATTGGAGAAAGGCAGATGTCGTTCCTATATTTAAAAAGGGTTCAAAATCCTTACCTGGAAATTATAGACCTTTGAGCTTAACTTCTGTGACTGGGAAAATATTTGAAGGACTATTAAGGCATAATATTCAGGAATGCATTGAGAAGAACTTTGTTTTTAGCAATAATCAACATGGTTTATGAAACATAGTTCATGTCAAACTAACCTAATTCTACGAAGAAGTAAGTAGAAGTATAGATCAGGGTATTGCAGTGGATGTGATCTACTTGGATTTTGCCAAGGCATTTGAAATGGTTCCTCCCAATAGGTTAGTCTTCAAACTAAAAGAAATTGGTCTAGATGAATATTCTTGTTCTTGGGTAGAACATTGGCTTAAGGATAGAGTATAACGAGTTGTCATTAAAGGACCACTATAGGCACCCAGACCACTTCAGCTTAATGAAGTGGTGTGGGTGCCAGGTCCAGCTAGGTTTAACACTTTCTTCTATAAACATAGCAGTTTCAGAGAAACTGCTATGTTTATAATAGGGTTAATCCAGCCTCTAATGGCTGTCTCATTGACAGCCGCTAGAGGCGCTTCCGTGCATTGAGAATGCTTTCCTATGGACTGGCTGAATGCGCTCCTGCCGCGCATGCGCATTCAGCCAATGACGTCGCTATGGAGGAGGAGAGTTCCCCGCCCGGCGCTGGAGAAAGAGGTAAGTTTAACTCCTTCCTCCCCCTAGAGCACGGCGGGAGGGGGACCCTGAGGGTGGGGGCACCCTCAGGGCACTATGGTGCCAGGAAAACGAGTATGTTTTTCTGGCACTATAGTGGTCCTTTAATGGTATATTTTCAGGCTGGACAAAAGTGGTAGTAGTGTCCCTCAGGGTTCTGTTTTGGGACTGCTTCTATTTAACATATTTATAAATGAGCTTGAAATAGGCATTGAAAGCCATGTTTCAGTGCTTGCAGATGACACAAAACTTTGTAAAGTAATAAAATGCGAGCAGGATATTGCTTTGCTGCAGAAGGATTTAGATAGATTGGGGGACTGGGCACTAAAATGGCAGATGAAATTTAATGTAGAGAAATGCAAAGTTATGCACTTCGGGGTTAAGAATGCACAAGCAACTGGTAGTGAATTAGGGATAACCACACACGAGAAGGATTCGGGAATTGTTATAGACAACAAATTAGGCAGCAATATGCAATGTCAATCTGCAGTTGCTAAGGCCAGTAAGATTTTGTCATGTATAAAAAGGGGCATAAATTCTCGGGATGAAAATATAATTTTGCCTCTTTATAAAATCGCTGGTAAGACCACACTTTGAATATGATGTGCAATTTTGGGCACCTGTTCTAAGAAAGGATATCATGGCACTAGAAAAAGTGCAGAGACAAGCTACAAAATTGATCAAAGAAATGGAGCATTTTAGTTACGAAGAAAGGTTTAAAAATGTATATCTCTTCAGTTTGGAAAAACAGCGCCTCAGAGGGGATATGATAACATTATACAAATATATTCGGGGCCAGTACAAACCATTATCTGGAAATCTATTCACAACCAGGGCTATACATAGGACACAAGGTCATGTATTTAAACTGGAAGAATGGAGATTTCATCTAAGGCAAAGAAAAGGTTTTTATTACTGTTAGAGCAATAAGGATATAGAATTCTCTGCCTGAAGAGGTGGTTTTATCAGAGTCCATACAGATGTTTAAACTGCAATTGGATAAATACTTGCAAAAACATAACATACAGAGATATAATTTCTAATTAGTGGGGTAATAGCTGCCAAGGAGTTATCTGTCTGCCATTTTGTGGTCAAGAAGGAATTTTATCCTAGTATGTTGCAAAATTGGACGCGCTTCAAACTGGTTTTTTTGCTTTCTTTTGGATCAACAGCAAAAACATGTGTGAGGAAGGCTGAACTTGATGGACGCAAGTCTCTTTTCAGCTATGTAACTATGTTTATTTCTGTCATTAAGTTATGCTTTAAAGTGTGACTTGTGTATTCAAAGCGAATTTAAAAATTTATTGGCCAAAATAGCCAGTCTGAAGAAAAAAAATCTCCATTCCGGCAATTGTTTCCATTGGTTATTTTTACCTAAGATTTAAAATTTACTTTGGGCTTGTTTTCATTCTTCTTGGTACATAGCATTTGCAAGCTGTTGTTTTTAACAGCAGCTGGTAGTTGGTAGCGGCTACACATTTTACAACCTTATTGCTGTATTATTGTAGCCTCTCACTGAAGGCTGCTTCTACAGATACCAAGCACTTGCATATTAGAAGCACGCTGGTAAAGCACAGAAACACACAGCTGATCACGCGCATGTCACCCGGTGTGGCTATTAGCGACAGGCAAGTAGTGGTTGTCCAGTAAAAAGCAGCAGCAGGGTGGAAGCAAGATGTTTTATTACAGTATTTATAGTAGTTTTTGGGTTAGCATCTGCCAGCAATGATTAACAACAAGGCTGTAAACCAGTCAGAAATCAATAGCTAATTAGTTGGGGGGAAGAGGGGTGCAGTCCCCATAAAAAATACTGTTACCTGCTACTTAGTGACAGACTTTCAAGAGCATCAGCTAGTAACATCCTAACAGTAGTGATAGTCATGGTAATGTTAAGATGTGTAATTCTCCACCCAAAGAGGTTGTCTTATAAGATTGTGTATATATATATTTTTAAAAGGCCTGGATTTATTTATTTGGAAAATCAGAATAATCAAGATATTTGTAATAGATATATAGCAGAAATCAGATTGCCATTATGGAGTCAAGAAGGATTTTCTTTTCTTTTCGCGGCGTAATTGGGCATTAGTTTGAATTGTATTATTTGCTCTATTTTGAATCAAAAGCATAAAAAGATGTGTTTCATCATTTGAACTCGATGCACTTGAGCCTTTTTTTTTCTACCTCTCCCATAGAGCAAGGGTTTATAAAAGGTAGATCTCAAGTGTTGACGAGCTTAATATCTACTAATTTGCCCATCCTTGCAGGTTTGTATGTGTGTGAATGTAAACATGATTTTTTATGGAATATGTGTGTGTGGATGGTTTTATATTTGTGTAGGAGTGTATTTGTCTGTAAATGCAGTGGTGTGTTTTTTGTTGTATAAGTATTTGAATGCGGGGTGTGTTTGTGTGTTGTGTTGATATTTGCCCACAAGACTGTTTTTGTGTACAGTGTTGGCATCTGAAAGCAGGTGTATGTCTGTTTAATGTTGCTGTTTGAATGCAGGGTGCTTTTATTGTAGTGTCCGTGTTTGACAGCAGTGGAATGTTTGTGAGTAGTGTTGGCATTTGAATACAGGGATGTGTTTACGTGTGATGTTGATGTTTGCATGCAGGCATGTGTTCAAATACACAGGTGCATTGCCACACACAGAAAAACACAGACATTGGCACACAAAGATACACATATGCATTGTCATACACCAATGCACACAGACACATAGACACACTCTAGGAGACTCACACTGACATATACAAATTAACAGAAACACAGGCACACATATGTACTCCCACCTCTGATGCTCGCCTCCAAGATTTCTCCAGCTGCACCTCTTCTGTGAAACTCCCTTCCCTTCTCCATAAGATTTTCTCTCAGTCTCCACTCATTCAAAAAATCATTGAAAACTCACTTCTTCAAAAAAGCACCCCCATGACTCCTCTCCTGCAACTTTCAAAAATCACCTACTAAGCCCTCAGTGAATACTTTTCTCACAACCTACTTCATACCTCTACTTTTACCCTTTGTGTCACTATACCCCACTTCCTCTAGCATGTACGGTCATTGAGCTCAAACCCTCTGTTCCTATACGTCCAGTTGTCTGGTTACAATTATATGTCTGTTAGTCCACCCATTGTACAGCGCTACAGAATCTGATGGTGCTATATAAATAATAAAATAATAATAATAATAATAATAATAATAAGTGTATCTGTGTGTACACAGATACACACACACAGGTACTGACACAGGTACTTACACACATGCACACATACAGATCCATGAACACTGACCCATAAGTACACAACACACATAGCCATTTCTTTGATTCCAGTACTCCCTCCTGCAGTTTATATTTTATACCCCTGGGCCCCGGTACGCCTTCCTGCAGCCATGCTTTCCTCTATTTTGATGCGGGAACTTCCTTGGTGTCAGTGCGGTCTGAACCACTGGTAGTTCTGCGCCTGCAAGTAGTGGCTTGTAGCTATAACCAACAATTCACACTTTAGTAAATCACTCTATAGTGGTTTTTCCTTAGCAAGGACAAAAAAAACACAAGAAAAACAGATTCATTAAACAAAGGGAAAATGTTATGTTGCATTTAAAGGAACACTCCAAGCAGTATACCCACTACTGCCAAGCAGCAGCATCATTTTTCGGTAGAGGTGTAAATAGAACTCCACCTCTAACAACATTATTATCGGGACCATTAGCTCAGATGAGGGATATTTTTAAAAAATATGCTGGTTGTCAGGGTGATCTCTAATCTCCCCAGCCAGCCTAAGATTTTTAATTGTCCCAGCCATGCATACAGCTGTATGATCTCACCAGGAAGCTTTATACCTCCCAAGTGTCCCTTTTTTAGGAGGGACAGTCCCTATTTCGGAGCGCTAGTGCAATAATGTATCTTTAAACCATGTATCTACAGTAATGTATCTTTAAATCAGGGCTCGACAAATCACAGGCGCCAGGTCGCCATGGCGAGTAAGAATTTTCCCTTGGCGCCTGGAATTGATCGGCCCGTTTCCTCCCTCCTCCCGCATGGGAATTGTAAGCTTGAAGGGCAGCATTTAAAGACGGCCAGCTTGCCACCCGACCGAGCTCAACTGTGCCCGCCCACCCACATTGCGCAAAGCTGGTCCGCCCACTGTCCTCAGAGCCGGCGTTATGTCCTGCCGCCCGCATCCCACAGAGCCAGCCCGGCCGCTCTCCTCAGAGCCGACCCTCCACGCCGCCCCTTTAAGCAGAGCTTAAAGGAGGAAGTTATCACAGTTCTCTTCACTTCCTCATGGCGCACAGAGATCTGCACAGGGCTGAGGAGACCGGAGGAGGGGGAGTCTGGAACAGCGACAGCTGCTCCCATCAGCCGCAGCCAGCCCCCACCAACCTATTGTCATTTGCTCCTACCCAGTCCCACCTGACCCCAGGGAAGCCACCCCCTGAGCCCATAAGGTAGGAAACAGGAGGGTGGCTAAAAAAAATTTTTTTATTTTTTTTATTTGTGTTTATATCTGTTATGTCTGTTTGTCTGTGTGTATCTACAAATCTTTGTGTGTGTATCCATTGCATCCATTTGAGTGTATCAAATAATACTTTGTGATTGTTAGAGTGTGTGTCAGTGTGTATTTGTCTGTGACTGTGTTAGAGTGTGAGTGTCTGTCTGCCTGGGGGTGGTGTGAGTGTCTGTTTGCCTGGGGGTGGTGTGAGTGTCTGTCTGTCTGCCTGGGGGTGGTGTGAGTCTCTGTCTGTCTGTCTGGGGGTGGTGTGAGTGTCCCTGTCTGTCTGCCTGGTGGTGGTGTGAGAGTCTGTCTGTCTGGGGGTGGTGCAGGGCCGTCTTTAAGGGGGGGCCCAAAGCAGCTGCCCCGTGGGCCCCGTCGCCTGCAATAAAAATTTTTTTTAAATATTTCCCTACCTAATGGGCCCGCGGTGCTAGTATTGCGGCTGCACCGGGGCCCGCACACAGTATGTATGTCTGTGTGTATGTCAGTATGTCTGTGTGTGTCAGTTTGTGTGTCTGTATGTATGTCTGTCACAGTGTCAGTGTGTATCTGTATGTTGTCAGTATGTATGTATCCGTGTGTGTGTGCCAGTGTGTATACCTGTGCATGTATCTGTATGTAGCCAGTGTGTGTATCTGCATGTGTGTCAGTGTTTGTATCTGCATTTGTCAGGTTATGGATCTGTGTGTCTGTATGTTGTCATTGTGTGTGTCTGTATATCTGTATGTTGTCAGTGTATCTGCGTGTGTGTGCGTGTGTGCATCTGTGTGTCTGCATGTGTGCCAGGTTGTGTCTGTATGTGTGTGTGTCAGTGTGTGTAAATGTGTCTGTATAGCTGCATCTGTATGATTGTGTATATCTGTGTATCTGCAAGTGTTTCTGTGTGTGTATGTGTATCACAGTGTGTGTGTGTGTGTGTGTGTGTGTGTTTGTGACAGTGCATATGTATTTGTGCATACATCTCACCATTCAACACTACACGCAAATACACACCTTCATTCAAACTTCAACACTACATATAAACACACCTCTTTTTTTAAACAACAAAATTATATATAAACACACCAGTGTATTCATAAACCAACACTACACATAAATGCATACTTGCATTTAAATGCCATCTCCACATACAAACACACCCCTACATTCACACAAACATACTCCATACAAAAACATGCTTACACTCAAACACACAAATACTGCTCAGTGCTAAATATAACCCTGCATGCATAGGAAAATGGTAGCGCCCCAGCTGTCAAAGCATTGTTGGAGTTGCATGACAGATGGGGATCTACCTTTTGCCCCCTCTTGCCCAAAATAATTCATGCACCAGAGCCCTCTCTACGTCCGCCTCTGCGTTGGGGTGGGGGGCATGATTGTATGCCAGGGAGGGGACGACCGGGTTCAGGGGGCCCAAGCAAATGTTTGCCCAGGGTCCAATCCATATTAAAGACGGCCCTGGGGTGGTGTGAGTGTCTGTCTGTCTGAAGGGGGGGGGGTGTTCTTACTCACCTTTTTTCCAAAGCTATGCTGGTCTTTTGCAGCTGGCCAGCCTCCATAGCTAAGATTACTGATTACCAATCAGCATCTCCTCATAGAGATGCAATAAATCAGTGCATCTCTATGGGGAATGTTCAGTGCCTCCATGCAGAGCGTGAAGACGCTGAATGTAGGTAGGAGACCATTTGAGTGACGGCCACTAGAGGTGTTACTAGGCAGCAATGTAAACACTGCCTTTTCTCTGAAGTTTACTTTAAAAGGCCTGCAGGGACAATCTATGGACACCAGACCACTACATTAAGCTGTAGTAGTTCTGGCGAGTATAGTGTCCCTTTAAGAATTGTATTTTTGGCATTGGAAAAATCTGGCTCCTAACTTTTTTAGCTGGCTCCAAGATTGATAATTTGTCAAGCCCTGCTTTAAACTACAATAAATGTGTTTAGAAAACAGTCTGTACATAAGATACATTGGCTTTGTTCTCACATATTAGTCGCATAAATTATTATTAAATCACTTAGAACTTTTCAGAACAGCCTCGCCCATGTTATTATTATTATTTTATTATTTATATAGCGCCAGCAAATTCCATAGCACTGTACAATGGGTGGACTAACAGACACGCAATTGTAACCAGACAAATGGATGCACAGGAACAGAGGGGTTGAGGGCCCTGCTCAATGAGCTTACATGCTAGAGGGAGTGAAACATAATTAGCTATATGACTAGGAGATATGGATCCTTGTATACTGCCATGTAAATATGTGGCAAGATCGTTCCCCTCCATCCTCCTGGATTCCTACACCAGTGACAACAATAGACAACATCCACATATTTATATTTCAATTCCACATTATGTATGCCCATTAAGAACACAGATCTTTATGAGTTTCAATACGACTGGACCAAGTGCCAACCAAGAACTGGGCAGTTGCTTTGTGTCAACTTTAATTCAGTGTTTAAAAATCGCTCTGACAAAATTCATCCCAGTATTGTTAAAACTGCAGTGATATCAAAAAATGAAACTTACAATATGGAAAAAGGCCTAAAGCCTCAGCACTGTAAATAAACCTTGTTATCACTGGATGCCTATTTCTGTGAAGGATGTTCCCTTATTTTGATGAACAGATGTACCTGACTACCAGACTCTGTTCCCTCAGGTGACTTGACATCTGTCATCAGGTTTACAAGCTGCTAGGGAATATGTTTCTTTGACAGTATGTTAAATATTTATGTATAATAAGACAGTCTGTTTCTAATGTTCATGTGAGATATTTTTTAACAAATACAATCCCATACTTTTCAAGTGTCCCTATGTAGGAGGGACAGTCCTTGCTTTGGCCTCAAGTCCCTCTTTTTTTAGGAGCTCCATATTGTTGGTGTGTTTGAGTGGATAACAGAGCTTCACAGCAATATTTCTCACAGTAATGAGTCTTTAAACTACTATAAATCTGCTTAGAATTCAATAAGATACATTGTTCTTGTTCTAAATTACATTTTAGTTGCATAATTTGTTATTAGTAAGTCACCTAAAATTTATCAGAACAACCAAACCCTGGCAACACCCACAGCCCTAAAATTAAAGTGTCCCTCTTTGTCCATTTGAAATATTGGGAGGTGTTGAACAATACAAATGTTGGGATAATCTGAAAGGCTACATGTACATTTGAATGATGCAAATGCAACATTTTTTTTTAACATAAACTGGTCAGTTGGGTTTGCTGATAATAAAAGAGAAAGAGCAGAAGAGAACGAGGACAGGGAAAATCAATTAAGAACAAAAACAATGAGGAAGATGCTGGAACCAACATAGCTAAGTTCAAGAAACACTGTAAATACCATAACCACTTCTACGGCTCTCTTTTTTTGTCAGACCTCTCCAGAAAGGCTTCACTTAAAACCAGGGAACAGTGCCCTAAGACTCTAGACTCATAGCACCAGAACGACTACTATTTGCTATATCATTTATAGTGCTTAGAGATCTCCTTTAAGAAAGCGAATGGATTCTGTATTGGTTATTAATGCCAAACCTGCCAAAGGATCTTAGATAAAGTCAGCCAGGGTTTTACTATCATCTGAGAAGCTTAAAACATATTCTACAAAGGACCAATGATTAAATATAGTTCTGACCTATGTATTTTTCATAAATGTGGAAGGGGGTAAAGTTCTAAAATGTGAGTCATTACTACTGAAAACAATGGCATTTTCCTGAAGATTTGTTTGGTTTCCACAATGATTGTTGGAATTTATAAAATGTTGTCTCTGCTTTTTTATTTGTGGTACTACGAAAATATTGTCTAAATACTTCACCAAATCAATCGAAAGTGGGGTGTGATCAAAACAATACTGTAAGTAGGTAGAAAAATCACGAATGAAATCACCTTATTTTCTCGCTATAGTGAATAACTCTGTATATATCAACTGGAAACAAAAGTCATCACAAGACAGAAATCTGATCTAACGTAGACAAAAAAAAATCTGGGCATGGAGTCAGAAGTATGCATCCATACGTTATAATGTATGTTATATATATTATATAAACTATTTGCATAGGTTTGTATGTTGCCTATGTTACACACTCTGCTTTATTTGGGTAAGTAATAGTAACCATGTATACAGAGGTTATACATGATGTGGTTTTAGTCTATACTGTATGCGCTGTCCTTATTGTGACTTTGTAACTGTTATAACCAAACGTATTGGATAATTGTTGGTCTTTCATCTAATTTGATTCTTGTGTATTAACAATATACATGGAGCTTATATGTAAAGACGAAAACAGCCATACCTACTATAAACGTCAGAATTGTTATAACAATAGCAGTAGAAATGGGCACGATCTATACATTGTAAATTCATCTAAATATGTACATAGCTTCTATGTAAAATAAACGTATACTGAAGCATTACAAACTCCTTTGGGACTAGTACCAAAATAATTACAGTGACTAAACAGAATTAATCAGAACATGCAAATAATCAAAGTGGATACAACTGAAGTTCTACTGGTCTATCCTTGGAGAAATGACTCAAAATGTATCATTCAAACTCATGTGTACACAACATCCTGTTTAAAGGGACATTTTAATGAAGTATTTATGGGGTATTGCCCATGCAGGTGTGTGAATAAAAACAGTGCTGATTCTGAGAAACAGCACTGTAAACGTCTTGCAATTTCCTGCTAGTAACTCCTATTATTGGCTGTCAGATAGACAGCCACAAGGGACTTCTAACAGAAATAGATTCAATTATTGAAGCTATTTGACATCTTGCGTCAGCATGCAAAACGTGCTAACACTGGAAGAAGCCAAGGACGGGTTTTAAACCCAAGTGGGAATTGTCAGCAATTCAAAGTGAGTACTAATTTATTTGTGGATTATGGCACATGTCTTTGGCGGCCTCAATGCTTCTCTAGGGACAAAAGTCATCAGGCTTGATGACTTCACTGGAGAAGTATCAGGCTGCAGAGAGGAGTCTGTCTCTGCTCTGATATATGGTGTATTCAATGTATACCAGCGCTGCGGAATATGTTGGCGCTTTATAAATGCCAGTAATAAATAAATATATATATGGGAGCGTTTTCAGGTAAGTTTATTTTTTCACAACAGATTCGCTTTAAAGGGAAAGCAGGAATTTTAGTATTATGTTTACTTATCTCCTATACTTAGCACATATGTTTGTGAGGTGTGAAAAATACAATTAAATGTAGAAATCCACAATTCTCTATAATGGGAATGAGCTCCTCCATCTTGACACCCTGATTCAAAACTCTTTGAATCTGTCAGTCAGCGCAGAGAGCGGAGAATAAACAGAAACAATGCCTATGTTTGCGTTCTCCTAACAAATTATGTGCCACGGCTGTGCCTGAATTAAACTGGATTGTGAAGGCAGTAGCTAAATCTTTCCTATAAAAAAAAATGTCAAAAAGATAATTACATTTTAAAAATGGTAAACACGAGTGATAGTTTATTTTCAATGTTGTATTCAATGGTGAAATTTCCTGAGAACAGATGGTAAGGCCCTATGTATATTTTGTGTTTTTGTAGCTTTACAGATGTCATTCTATGCACTGCGAACTGCTGATTACAAAACAGTGCAAGATAAACAGCTAAACCTTGAAGAAGCTGTAGATGAATATTGCAGCACAGTTTGTTTTGTCATCACTTCCTTCAGGGCTCAGCAGGCTTTTGAGATAAACCTGGATGTCCTATAGTAACCTTTGTACAGAGTAAAAATGTTGAACTCTTATAAACTGGTGTGGGCAACAGTCCAGGCAGTCATCAGAAGGGCTACTTAAATGTCTAGTTTTATGCAAGGACATGGTTAGTTGAGAAGCAACAAAAACAACAAAATAATGATGTGGTTTACAAATTTCCAAAAAATGCAAAAACATACTTCTGCACGCAATATTGGAGCTACTATAGGTCCTTGATCTTTAGGGGTCACAAGACACATCTACATATGCACAGCAAGCATTATCCTGCTCACATGAAGTCTTCTTTAACGAGAAACTGTTATTTAAACTTCTTGGTATACAAATTCTTTACCGACTGCTAACCCCTCTAATGAACTTCCATAGTAAGACACTAGGAATAATAAGTGTTTGCGGAGAGGTCTACTGAGAGTGAAAATAAAATAATAACCTGGGAAGGATGGAGAGGTAATTAGGGAATTAAATAACAGTTACCCTGAGCTGGACAGTGTTTTACTTTGCAGATGCATTGTTTCTTATTTAAATGGGTCGTTTGCGTCTCCCTTATGTTTCATAAATACATGTTAGTGATGTCAAAAGCATTTAAATTCAATTTAGAAATCAAAAGCATTGCATCACATAAAAAAGGTGATCAATGTTTAATTCAAAACGACAATTTCTACAAAAGTAAAGTTCCCTCTTAAAAGTCTAGCCTTCTAGACACATCATGTAACCAACATGTTTTGTCCAAAAACAGCCATACCGCCACACTAAAGATGGTGGACGTACTTAGAAAGCCCAAGATGTTAGTTTCATTGTGCCATGTATGTTTACTGAATATTTAAATATTTACTATAATGGTTCATATGTTTTAAAGTGATTTCAAATCTCAAGAATGTGTTTGCGACAGATACAGTGTTAATTTTGGCGGCAAATTTCAATTTAGTTTCAGTCATAGTCTTTTGACTAAAAAGCCATTTTTGTTTTAGTCATATTTTAGTCATCTGAATTGATTTAGTTTTAGATGACTAAATCTCCAGAACATTTTAGTCGACAAGAGTACAATCTAATAGGTATAGTTAAAGCCTCTATCTGTCTCTTTGGCCCCTTCCCCAGCCCCTCTGTATCTCTTTGTGTCCTCCCAGTCTCTCTAGGTGTCTCTCTCCAAGCGGGTCTGTCTCTCTTGTCCCTTCCCGAGCCCCTCTGCGCAGTGTTAATTTTGGCAACAAATTTCAATTTAGTTTTAGTCATAGTCTTTGACTAAAAATCCATTTTAGTCATCTTCTTACCTTTACTGAGGAAGGAGGGGGGACATTTCTCGATCCCTGGTGGTTCAGTGGGGAATCCCCGGTGGTATCAGTGATATGAGTGAACTCTAGCCCGTAGCTCCAGGGCTAGAGTTCACTCTCGCGAGATCCACAGCGTTGCTGTGGTAACCACAGCAACGCTCTGTGCTCGCGAGAGAAGGATCCGGAGGAGCTGCAGGCTGAGCTCTCGGGTCCTCTCTTCCTCCCTCCCCTGCCGGCTGCCAGCAATGTGGCTGCGGACTGGGGAGGGAGTTCACTTGGACAATGCCAGCCCTGCATTACCAGGCAGGGGAGAGCCTCGGCCTGCCTTGTTATCCCGGGGCGGGAGAAGGGGGAAACTGCTCCGTTGCCCTCCCCTGGAACCGCCTCTGGTGAGACTGCAGGGGCATGATCTATACACCAAAACTGCTTTATTAAGCTAAAGTTGTTCTGGTGACTATAGTGTCCCTTTAAGCTAAAGTTTTATTGGTGCCTATTTTGTCCTTTTAATGTAGTGGATTATTGTTGCAAACCAAAACCGAAACTACTACATTGTACTTTACTCCCAAAGCAAAAAGTCCCTATTTACTGCTGGTACTTGGAAATTCCAGTGAGTGAAATCAACTCATGTGAATTATAAATTCATATATTTAAACAACATGCTGCAAATACAGGAAAATTTATGAATTCATTGCTTGACAATATAATAGAATTAAAAGTGATTTTATAGGAAAATATACCTGTAACTGGCTAAAATTTGGTACATTTTCACGCCATGTTAATTAACAAGACACAGAATGCCACTATACTCAAAGGAGCTTGAAATGTCCTTGAAGTGCAATTTAATTAAATATTTAAGTTCTTTTATCAACAGAGACTAGACACAATAAGGTACAGATTGCCAAAGTCCTTCTTCTGTAATGTACTCGATGCAAAATAAACCATTTAAAATAAAACAAAAAACTTTAAAATGTATATATTTTTTTTACCTTTTAGAAGAAAATAAATTTAACTTTTATCGTTTATATTAACAAAATAGAAGTTAACCGAACACTCTAGCGCCATAACCACTGTGTCTTACTATAATTATTATGGTGCACCTCGAGTAAGGAGTCATTTTAGAATCTGGATTTTGCCGTACCTCCTCTATTGGCAAGAGAGACAAGTAAGCCCCTATGCAAGACTTTAGGCAGTGACTCAAACCCCCAAAATGAGTGAATTAGCTCTTTAAAGGGACTCTCCAGTGCCAGGAAATCAAACCGTTTTCCTGGCACTGCAGGTCCCCTCTCCCTCCCACCCCCCCATCCCAAGTGGCTGAAGGGGTTAAAACCCCTTCAGTGACTTACCCGTATCCAGCGCCAATGTCCCTCGGCGACATCATCCCGGTGGGGGAGACCTTTTGAGCATTTGCGTCCGCCGGCATGGAAAACCTAATACGCATGTGCGGCATTATTAGACCTCCCCATAGGAAAGTATTGAAAATTGCTTTCAATGCTTTCCTATGGGGAATTTAGCAACGCTGGAGGTCCTCACATAGCGTGAGGACGTCCAGCGACGCTATAGCACACGTGTGTGCTATAATACCGGAATTGTCTAGTAGACAGCCACTAGAGGAGGAGTTAACCCTGCAAGGTAAATATTGCAGTTTATGAAGACTGCAATAATTACACTTGCAGGGTTAAGGTGGGAGTTGGCACCCAGATCACTCCAATGGGCAGAAGTGGTCTGGGTGCCTGGAGTGTCCCTTTAACTAGTTCTGTTGGTTCAATGTTTGAATAATTATGAATAACTTCAGTTCAATGAAAATGTTTTCGGATGAAGCAAACAAATAATAGCAGTAGGCATTGTGTAAATAAAGCAACGCATTAGCATGTTATACAATTCAAAACAAAATTGAAAACAGATTATTTCCCCAAAGCTATTGACATGCCAGCGCATCCAGAACAGGTGAGGATGCTCTAATTACAGCTGGGTCTAATTCACGGATAAGGAAACCAGATACTCTGAAAAACAACATAGCAACCTTGGCTGGCTAGCTCTCAGCTTGGGCTGCGTTCCATATTCAGGGACTTTATGCTGCTTACCCCTGTGCTCAAAGGATGAATTAGGGACTGGTAAACAAGCAACCAAGGTGCAGGGCTAACCATTCGCATGCATTAGCCATACAGCCACAAATGAGAATCCTAACCAAGTGAAAGTGCATGCCAGACTTTCATTGAAAATCCTAATAAAATGTGAAATGTTAAAAACAAAAGTATATTATTTTATCTATTTATTCATTTTATTAGGAGAGAAGTGTGGTACAAGGCACACTTTTAGGCGTTACAATCAAAAAGTACATTTAATAAAACAGTATGCATGAATGCAATATCGATTACATCTTTGAGTTTGGTCCAATAGAACAAGAAGATTAATCATTTCCATAAGACCCCGGATCTCCCCTTGTTCTTTTTTTTAGTACAGGATGCAATCCATCACCAGGAATAATGGTGAGGAAAAGAAGAAAAATCTAATGGTTTTGGGAAAAGAAAAAAAGAGGTTAAACCAATAAGTTATTTAAATTAGTTAAAAAGAAACACCGGGGGTCATGGTAGCTAGAAAAACGGTAGAGTTGGGTGGACATCAAGTGGGGCAAGCAATTGGGCTATTACTGAGCAGTCAAGAAACCAGGTTAAAAAACAACAGTAGGAGTCTGACAACCAGGTCGCAGCAAGAGAGTGGGACGGTGGCAAAGCCAACATCTGAGCTTCTTCAAACTAGGAGACAGTCATAAGTGGCAAAACAACCTGCCACCAGATATTATAATGGGAAAAGTATATAATTCAAAAGTATATATTACAAGTCAGATATGCATTATTTTCAGTCAGATGTGTTTCTCTATTCATTTATATTACTCTCCTTCCTCTCTACCGAGAAAAATACATTAACCTTTACTGTAATCCAGTGCTGTGAGATCATCAATCACGATGACCTATGTCATATTAGAGAAGCATTAAGCATACATTGCTCACGTGTGGACATGCAATCCGCCAGTGTGATGCGCCTCATAGAGAAACATTGGCGCGTTTGGCATCCTCATGTTGTGCGTGATGATACTAAAGGGGAATACCTTCTAGAATGAAAGAATCTTAAGGTCATTGCCACTTAGAAACAGCAATGTTTTGCATTGCTGACAAAATGGGAAGTATGTATGCACCAAAACTACTACATTAAGATGCAGTGGTTTTAGTGCTTAGAGTGTCTGTTTTAACAATGGGCTATGTGTACTATTTAATATGCCAATACCTTTTTTGAGAGTTTGTGCTGTCAAAGTTTATTAGATAGATAGAGCACACTAGCTGTACTGATGCTTATTGCAATATATAAACAAACATTTAAGGTGGCAGATATGTTGGGTATCTGATGCAGATATACAGTGCCAATTGATGTTACATTATAACTGAATAATCAGCAGGTCCTAGATGAGATAGTTACTATCTCTTTCTTACAAGACATCTTTAAAGCAACTTCAGCAGATCAATACAGTGCTGAGTGAGGAAAAAAAACACACCTTATTTTGTTTAAAGGGACACTATAGTCACCTGAACAACTTTAGCTTAATGAAGCAGTTTTGGTGTATAGAACATGCCCCTGCAGCCTCAATGCTCAATCCTCTGCCATTTAGGAGTTAAATCCCTTTGTTTATGAACCCTAGTCACACCTCCCTGCATGTGACTTGCACAGCCTTCCATAAACACTTCCTGTAAAGAGAGCCCTATTTAGGCTTTCTTTATTGCAAGTTCTGTTTAATTAAGATCCCCTGCTATGTTAATAGCCTGCTAGACCCTACAAGAGCCTCCTGTATGTGATTAAAGTTCAATTTAGAGATTGAGATACAATAATCTAAGGTAAAATACATCTGTTTGAAAGTGAAACCAGTTTTTTTTTTTTCATGCAGGCTCTGTCAATCATAGCCAGAGGAGGTGTGGCTAGGGCTGCATAAACAGAGACAAAGTGATTTAACTCCTAAATGACAGTGAATTGAGCAGTGAAATTGCAGGGGAATGATTTATACACTAAAACTGCTTCATTTAGCTAAAGTAATTTAGGTGACTATAGTGTTCCTTTAAGCGTTATTTAAATGCTTAAATAATAACCAGTTAATAACTAGTTTTCTTTGTCCATTAAATTGTATAGAATCTTCAGTAAAGCGTAACACTTTTTATAGTATTACAAGACTTCGTATAGGATGTGTAATAATAAGTAGTTAAAAAGGGCATTCCTAATTACATATTCAACGTAAGACAAAACATGTTTTATCTGTTCTGAGACAATGTTATAACTTACTTTTCAGGAAAAGGCAGGGAGGGTGTTATAATCACCCATGTAAAAGTGTACAAATAATTGTTCAAATGATGAATGTAAACAATGTTAGTTTGGCAATTCTCTATCTAATTTTCAGTCTGTTTTGGCAGACCATGTGACTCTGTGACTCCATAGAAACAGATCCGATGAGTAATAACAGTTGCTAATAACAATGCCCCTTGGCACGCGTACAAAAATCAGTAATAATACCTGTTCTTCTAGTTTCAGATTTGATTACAACACACATTGTCTGTGTTTGTGTATCAGGTTATTCTGCACCACTTTATAATATTATATATTTATATAGCATTCACCTGTGTTGGTCATTTATGTCTATTTTGCTAACATAGCTCCCAATATTCCAGGATCTGACAAAGCAGTCCTAAAAATATTTTTCAGCCTCACCTATTTTTTTGTTTTTGTTTTTTTATCGGGCACTATTTGTGGGAATGTAAAATGAAAGTTCTCAGAAAAACTGGAAAGCTTTGCAATACATTTGTCAAACATTAAACATAGTTCAGCAAGTGTATCAAACATGTCTACTGTATCTGTCATTTACTAAGGGCATACTTTGAAAGTGTAGTGGCTTTATTAATAACCGAGATATATGCTGTCTGGAAAGATAACCTTTATTAGAAAAAAAGAGTCACGTGTGAGTATAAATTTCAGCTCTCTTTCAATGTATGTCTGAAAGGGAAATCCATGTGAAAAACATAGCAAAGCAAAAAACTCTGTGACTGTGTTTCCAAAAAGAAAAATTTTATGTTTAATAAATATTCAGCATTTAGTAAATAATGTATACATGTGAGATGTATGTTGTATATATCTGGAATAGTCCCCTAATTCAAAAATCGAATTTCAGAAACACCTTATTTTGCAGCTTTTGATTTAAAACATTGCAATTGTGTTTGTATTTTAGTTTGGCATAATCTATAGAAAACACTATCAAATTTATAAACAAGCTGATGCATTTTTACCCTCACCAGAATTTTTCATACAGTTGTTAAGTTGCAAAAAAAAAGAAGCTCAAATGTATATTTGAATTGCAATCGGGTGGTATTGTGGTAGGTACCCCCATAACCAAAAAACAGCACAGTGAAATATAGTAATACACTTAGGGACTTAAAGGAACAATCGAAAGCACCATAATCACTACAACATGTAACGATATGATGTCAGAAACACCATGGCACCCCCTACTGTAAGTAGTCGAACCATTTCGAAATGGTTTGGCAACTTACCTGGAGTCCCCCGGATGCTGGTCTGAACAGAGCTTCCATTAGATCTGAGCTAGGCTCTGCAGTGCATTAGCTGATCAGTCTTAGACAACGAGCTAAACCTTCCACTGCTGGGCTAGTTTATGGCTAACATGGGGACTGAAACATCACCTGTTGGGCTCCACATAATTTGTCATACTGTTAAATAGTTTGACTACTTACATGGGGGGCATAACCATTACAGCACAGTGAAGTAGTTATGGTGCTTTGAGTGTTCCTTTGAGAGAGAGCTCAAAATCCCCCCTAGTGATTCATGGTTACCATGAAGCACAGTGTTCTAGTTGTGATTACTAACTCTCATTACCTGTTGTGATACAGGAAGGGTTATTCGATAAAGTAAATATGTTTGCAATTTAGATCCACATGGCAAAATTGAGGCACAAGCTGGCAAGCTATGACAACATCAGAATTTTCCAAATCAGCTCTAAAAATTCTAAATTCTCTAAAAATGTGGGATTAAAAGCTAAAGCTTATCACCTGTAATGTAAGAGGTTGTCACAAAGCACACTGCTACAGTGAGTGGACTTAAGTTAACGCTCATCAGATGCAGAGATACCATGTTATCAAGGTTACAGCATTAGTGGGCTTGAAAGCTATCTTTCATTCCCAGCTGGGTATCTGTATTTGCTAGACAACTAAAAAAAAAAAAATCTAATAAAACTGAAAATCTACACTAGAGAATATGTGCACCTTTACCCCAGTTAAGGTTTCCTGGTACAGACTGGGTACAAAATGATGTTATGTCATGAAAGTAAGCTTCCCATGACCCGCCTGCCATTGAGTTCATTGACCGACAATTACTGTAATCAGTCACAGAGAAGAAAAAGCGGCCAGTCAGCTTCTGTGTGGCTCTGACTGCTCTCGGCATGTGATCTGCAGAATGCCTAAAGAATAAAACCTGCAGGGCTTAGCCACAGGGAAGGCGAGGGCAGAAAACAACCACTGCAAATGCAGACATCTCGGAATAATACATTTATTCCTAGGATCTTACATTATTTCGAAACACTTTCTGTCTCCAACGTCTGTCTTTCTTTTTTTACCGTGTGCATGCTTGTGTACGAACAGTTGTGTTGATCAGTTTTCACTTCATTTTCACAGTTGTTAGTGAATCACTGTAACTCATTATTTTGTTTCCAATTCAGGACAGTTCACGGTTTAGAAAATACACTCTATATATGAGTATCTACCCACACAAAAAAAGCAAGGTCTATAGAGAGAGGATTGTAACACAGAACGGATTAGACCTTCTATTGGACAAAGCTTTCATTACGGATCAAATGACCAGGGAAGGTTTAGTGGGTATTGGGATGGCAAGTACATTTAAATCCGCTCTGTGATCTGTTCTTTGCAGAAGTGAAATTTAAGGTTAAACATGCTTTTTATGCTTAAGAAAAATCTGTTAATGCTGTGTACAGTATGGAAAAGGAATCCCTCCTTGTCTTTGCCTTTTACGCAGGATATTCCTAGTTTTGGCTGACTGATCCTATTACGTATGTAGGCACACTCTAATCTGCTATAAGATCCCTGCCGCTAACAGCCTGAGAAATACGAGCTGGTTTTCAGGTTCCAGTGGCTGTTTACTATCTCTTCTTGAAACTGAATGAGATCGGATTGGAATGTAAATGTCTTACCAGAGGTTTTATAGACAGACAAGTGAATGGCATTGTAACGGAGCTCCTTGTACCCCGGCTGGGTACTTCCGCCAAGGACCGCTTCCTAGCTGGGACAGGGGACAAACCGCAGAACTTCTGCCCATAGTCGTTGGTTTGACTGCGGTCTTGGAATCGTTCCCTCCTGGAGCCGAATGGGGAATTCGCTCTAGACACCCCCAGGCACTGGACGACACTCAGCTCTAGTTCTTTCAAGGACTTTCCCCGCTGAATCCTCCATGCTGGAACAATGATTAGCCCTTTCCCCTCCCAGTAACAAGATGACAAATAGGAGATAATTTAGTCAAGCACTGTATTAAACTCAATTATCTCCAGGTACAAAAAAACACACATTTCCCAAACACCCCAAAAATACCTTTAAAAATACATAAAACCTCCTAAAAGTTACATCTCCTGATAGCCCCTATCTGGGTGACCAACGTATCCAAAAATCACCCAGATCGGTTCAGGAACCGCCCGCATGCATGGTCACATGCCCAAAACAGTTCCATAGAATCGTGGCTAACTGCCGCTGGGAACCGACTGGGAACCACAAAGTTTTCATGCCGAAAATCGTTCCAGTGTATTCACGGCTAAGTACCCCTGAAGTCTGTTCGCGGTTTTGGTCCATGCAAACGGCAGCCAGAGAGCTAGCGGTCGGTTGTATGCACACAAATGGAAAGAGCCGAACCAGGGGAACCAAGGGGAATAAAATATGGGTCTTTACAGTTGCTGACCTGGCCCATAGTCGGTGAGTAGGAGGCCAGCTTCCACACTCCTCCAGGAGTGCATGGCAAACGTCTGTGGAAAGCGGCGTTTGTCACAGGCATCACATAGACGATTCAATTCAATATATACATTGTGACAAGTAAATGCATAGATCAAACATTATCTTAACATTTATTTCTTACTTAAAACGCCTATGGGTAGCCAACCTTCGGCAATTCCGATGTTCTGGACTACCTCTCCCATAATGCTCTTACACCAATACTGCTGGCCAGAGTCGATCCTGGGGGGATACGGATCATTGCGGATCATTGCTTAGGTACTCTGTAGATAGTTGGGGTGTCAGCTATGCTCTGTCTGCTCAGATAGATCCTGCGCCCTCTCACTAGCACTGACCTACGGGGGACAGGTCTAATGAGAGGGGGCAGGATCTACCTGTGGAGCAGAGCCTAGTGCTGCATACCCTACCTTTCTACAGAGCAGCTAGCTGTCCCCACCCCCCAGGGTCAGCTCTGATGCTGGCAATGCATCAGGAAAGATGTAGTTCACCACATCTGGACTGCCAAAGGTTGCCTACCACTGCTTCTTTGCAACATCTGCAAAGAAACTAGAACTTCAAATATAGATGAGCATCCACTTCCTTACACAACACATGATAAGATTGGTATTATACAATGTATTACAATTGTTGGGGTAAATGAAATCCTATTGTGTCCCTTTAAACCAACAGGTTTACCTGTGTGATGTATAACATTTTTTCTCGTTTTTTCCCACTCAAGAATGAAGAAATTGATTATTTTGGCATATGTCATAAATCTTTAGTTAAAAAGTAAAAGTATGTACTTAACTAATGTGTCCAGCAGAGTTTATCACTGCTTACATCATGTTAAGGTAAATTATCTCTAAACATCTTTCAGCAGGGGCTAGACACAGAGGAAAGATAAGGTGTGTTTAATTAGTGATCCACAGAGTCAGGCTGTGCTTTTCATGTGTCCTCTGCTTCCCTTGTGTAAATATCAGACTTACCACATATCTGTTCGGGTAAGTGAAAGTTAATCATTTAGTGTGCTTCATCATCATAGCAATCATAAAAAAGAATGTTTTATAAGGGATCTTTGCTATTTTATATTATTATTAAATTTAAAATTAATAAATTGATTATTATCTGTATAATTTTTTTATTGTCTGTATTGTTTTTATTGGAAAAAAATAAATATCCAGGCACACCTGAGGTTTCTTCTAAAAGGTAGTCTTTATTTGAAGCAAGGAAGTGGAGACGTTTCGACTCCTCTCTGACTTGATAACGGCTCAGAGAGGATCTGAAAAGTTGACTCCACTTCCTTGTTTCAAACAAACACTGCCTTTTAGAAGAGGGGGCCGGGGGGCTGTATGGTGGGTAGGGGGGCTGTGAGTGGGTGGGGGGACTGTGAAGTGGGTAGGGGTTCGCTTTATGGTAGGTAGGGGGGCTCACTGACAGCCAGACACACACACACTACCTTTGGGAGAGCTGTGTGGATTTTTTACCTAGGCCGGGCTGTGCGGGCAGGAAGGCAGGTGGATGGTTAAAGAGTGATGCCGGGAGAGCTAACAAATCAGCGCTCACTAACCGCCCGCCTGGAGTTCAACCGGCCGCCTGCCTCAAGGCTAACAAAGCCAAAGCAGGATGCCAGGATCTATTCAGCCGAACTAGCAAGCTGTCAGCTATCTTATAAGGTTGGACTTTCTTCTTTTTTTCAGCACGCTGGTTTTTTCTGTAACTTCATTTTTTATTCTCACTTTTTGCTCTCATTTTTATTTTTTATGATTTTTTCATTTTTATGTTTTATAACATTTTTACCTTCTACTACTTGATATAGTCCTTTTTCTGGCTATACATACAAAAGAGTGTGCACACTCAGCACTAGTATTGAATATCATTTTATCTATCTCACTTTGTTATTGTATTTTGTATTTTATATACATTTTTATATTGCATAGAAGACCAAATAAATGTTTAATATGTTTACTACTATGTGATTAGTGTGTATATTTTTCTGTGCTACCTTACTTACTCTCATGCTATTTTGTCTTATATAAGAAAATGTAGGGACACTTTCTTTTAAAGGAGCAGGATTAAAAACACTCTTTTTCCATTTATCACGGACACACCCTTTGTCAAGTGTAGTTTACTTACACAGAACCAATATTCATTTATCTATTACACTGTTCATTCCCATACTGGGAGTACACTTCCTTTTGCGCAGTTTATACGTATACTAATATTGTTCTCACTCTTTTGGTTTTCATTACATTTATTCCTAACAAGGCCAATGCCTTGTTTGCCTTGCGTGCAAACAAGTCCTGCAGGACCACTAACGGGAACGACGTTCGTGCTGTGGAAAAAGTACATGAATGCCAGTTCCACGTGTTCCTGCAGGACTCGAGCCCTGCTGATTAGACATCATGATTATTGCAAAGGTGTGCCTTATGCTGACCACAATAAAAGGCCACTCTAAAATGTGCAGTTTTATCACACAGCACAATGCCACAGATGTCGCAAATTTTGAGGGAGCGGGCAATTGGCATGCTGACTGCAGGAATGTCCACCAGCACTGTTGCCCGTGATTTGAATGTTCATTTCTCTACCATAAGCCGTCTCCAAAGGAGTTTCAGATAATTTGGCAGTACATCCAACCGGCCTCACAACCGTAGACCCCGTGTAACCACACCAGCCCAGGACCTCCACATCCAGCATCTTCGCCTCCAAAATCGAGACCAGCCACCCGGACAGCTGCTGCAACAATCGGTTTGCATAACCAAAGAATTTCTGCACAACCTGTCAGAAACCGTCTCAGGGAAGCTCATCTGCTTGCTCATCGTCCTCTCAAACTGACTGCAGTTCGTCATCGTAACCGACTTGAGTGGGCAAATGCTCACATTCAATGGCGTTTGGCACTTTGCAGAGGTGTTCTCTTCACAGATGATTCCAGGTTTTCACTGTACAGGGCAGATGGCAGACAGCGTGTATGGCGTCGTGTGGGAGAGCTGTTTGCTGATGTCAATGTTGTGGATCAAGTGGCACATGCTGGCAGTGGGGTTATAGTATGGGCAGGTGTATGTTATGGACAATGAACACAGGTGCATTTTATTGAGGGCATTTTGAATGCAGAGATATCATGATGAGATCCTGATGTTCACTGTTGTGCCATTCATCCACGGCCATCACCTCATGCACAGGCCCATGTTGCAAGGATCTGTACACAATTCTTGGAATCGGCATATAAGACAGCGTGTTCCAGGTCCTGCTAATATCCAGCAACTTCACACAGCCATTGAAGAGGAGTGGACCAACATTCCACAGGCCACAATCAACAACCTGATCATCTCTATGTGAAGGAGACGTGTTGCACTGCGTGAGGCAAATGGTGGTCACACCAGATACTGACTGGTTTTTGGACCCCCATCACCACCCCCCAATACAATAAAACTGCACATTTTAGAGTGGCCTTTTATTGTGACCAGCCTAAGGCACACCTGTGCAATAATCATGCTGTCTAATCAGCATCTTGATATGCCACACCTGTGAGGTGGATGGATTATCTCAGCAAAGGAGAAGTGCTCACTAACACAGATTTAGACAGATTTGTGAACAATATTTGAGAGCAATAGGCCTTTTGTCTAGATAGAAAAATATTTGAGTCCGGCTCATGAAAAATGGGGGCAAAAACAAAAGTGTTGCGTTTATAATTTTGTTCAGTGTAGAAAGATGACCTTGAGAATTTCTCCTTACATTTCGAAATTTACTTTTAATTTTTGACAGTTCACACCAATAACTATCATGGATATTCACTAAAGAGAGAATTCAAAGTTAATTTAAAATGCAAGGTCAAAATAGTCAACCTGGAAAAATTCAAGTCCGCTATGCTTTCACGTCAGCTACTCTTAAATTTGAAGTTCACTTTGAATTCTAACTTTAGTAAATAAGCCTATATGTCTATATTTTATTGTTCTCTTAATAGAGTGCTTTACTCTTAGTTGGCCTTTTCTAGTCATTTTACAGAATAAGCAAATAATTTCGAGCATCTTAACAATGAAACAGGATAATACAGCAGTAAGTCTATTTAACACAAATAATAAAATGAAAATTGACAAACATATTCAATAAAGCACGCATGATGCTGTCAAAAGGCGTTTTTTGTAAAAACGATTTTTTTTGAAACAAGGATGCGTGCAAAAAAAAGTTCAGCTGTGTTTATAACTATGGAGACCGCTGATTACAAAAAAGACACACTAAGCACATTCTGCTTTTTACTTGCATGCAAACTACAAATTATGGAGGCCTATAGATGTTAAAACCATTTTTGCTAATATTCCCATTGTACAGCGCTACGGAATGTGATGGCCCTATATAAATAATAAAATAATAAATGATACTAATAAACCAATAAAAGTTAGAGAATGTTTCTCATGTGAATGAAGATCTGCATAGCATTCACATGTCGCCAAAAATGCATGCACACGGCTCTCTCACTGTGCATGTTTGCGCTGCTTGCAGTGAGGTGACCGTGAGGTGCAGGTAAAAGTGAGATTACTTACCTGAACATGTCCTCCACAGACCACAGCCACTGCTACGTGCATTCAGTCTGTCCTCTTCAGCTCTTTGTGCTTTATCTGCCAGTAGCCTGTCAGTGTTGTACTCTCGCACATGTCTTGTGGGATACTCCATCGAAAATGTCTTTCTCCTTACAGTCATCACTAGAGATGGCTGGGGAAATTACAGAACTTACCACCTATTGTCATGTACTCCATACTTTATTTGAGTATATATTTTGACTGCGTTGGAATTTCAAAAGAAATCCAAACACAGTGAATATGATTATTTCAAAAAAAGATTTTATCTTTATGAAATAATAATTTTGGTGGAATGTAGCTAGTTAGCTTGGGTTCTCTCTAACAGCCAGTGAGCATACATGTATGAAGGTCAGAGTAGGTGAGTGCAATATAGTCTCTAAAACTTACACAAAAAAAACAAGTATGCTTCCAATAGCTGGTAAGGGTGAGGTAGGGACTTGACCTGTGTGTACTCGTATAATATGTGCAAGTTGTACAAATATTTTTAGAGCAGGACTCGAAATGCAATTTCCTCCTCTGATATAGGTGGATACAGGATATCCTATGCATTGGACATATTTTGTCATGATCCTTGCAGTAAACCTTTAATTTATAAACAGTCATATTAACTGAGCAGTTTTATTACAGCAAATTGACATCCACTTCCAAAATGTAGGCCAAAATACAGAAAGAAAAATCCGAACAAGAAGTTGTAACTGTAGTTTGCAATAAATGTGCTGTTCAATTATGCTGAGCATCTGACACTAAAGTCAAATTGATCATTGCAGCACTCTTAGCTAATCGTGTTTCTTCTGGGAACATCTCGGGGGGGGGAGGGAAAGAATGAAAAAGCAAAGCATGGAAGTGTCATTACAAGGAACTTGTTAGAGTTATTTAACCGTGCTCCGTGCTTGGACATGAAATCGGTCTGCCTCGACGGCATTGCGTCCCTTTGCTTTTCTGGTTTGACCCAATCAGCCCCTGGGTTCATTCAACTTTAAGAGTAATGTAGACTTAGTAATAAATTAAATGGAAAAAAAAGTGATTTTGGCAAGAGAAAAAAAAAAATCGCAAAAAATAAATGTACGAGCAGACATTTTCTTATTGTCAGGTTAAGTGATTGGATGTAATACAACAGAAACATGCATTTTTTGATAAACTGCAGATGTATACACAATGATTGTAAAGACAGGATGCTATGTGATAGTTTAATACAGTAAAATGCCAAGAGCTTCGCGAGATGAATGAGATGTTGAATTGTTTAGCAAGTGTGTCACAGAGTGTATAATTAGCTGTACATCTGTTGGGTGTCGTGTGGAAAAAGTCCCTATCAGTTACCGTCAGCTAAACTCACGGCCCTGGCTTTCCCTATCTAAGGAAAGGTTACCTGGAACCCTTCCTGTAGAGCTTCCAAACTTCTTTTAATTATATATGCATTTCAATGTTTTAAAATAAAAACAGTTTCTTTGGTGCTTTTCTAATTATATTAATTTAAATTTGCATTTGTTAATCAAGGAAGGAATAAATTATATAAGACATAATCAACACATTGCACGTTATTATCCGTGAAACAAAATAAAGTGCAATTAAGATATATGCTATTTGTGTTTCTGGGTTCCTGCTATCTGGTAAATGAATATCCTATTTTGATTCAGGGAAAGACGAATAGGTTTAGCTTTATATCTGCAATGGTGATGCATACCTTCAAAATGTTATATATTGAAAGTAGAAACCTGTGACTTTGCATGGGAGCGTGTCAGAGATCAACAACGCACACAGAGGAGTCTTTAAGCCAAAGTTCTATTTGTGGAGCAGCTACCATGGAATCCAAAATAATGTTCCAACTGTTTCATTGGTTTCGCTGGTAATTGCTCCAATTGTAGTGCTTGATCACATTTATCCATTAGCTATGCTTTCATATATCAATACACCCCTAATGCAACTAAGTTATGCCAGTTAGGGTTCTATACAGTATTGGTGCATGACTATGATGGGACTTCCCCATGTAACATTCTCCGATTGCAATGGGCCCCTCGTATCACTGGGCCACACAGAGCAGTGTGTGCAAAGAAATAGGACATTGGAGATGTTATGTGAATCAATTGGAGATCTTAGAATGAACCAGTCATTATTTCCTTTAGCATGTGCAGTGGTCACGAGATGCTCCGAGCTGTTCTTTTAATATTGTGCAGTCAATGTTTTCAGAAGACTATTGAACAACTGTAAATCAGGTGCTGAAAATGCTACTGTAAATGTTGTCCTTTTTAAGACCAAGGTGTTGCAATTAAATGTCATCATGCCTCTCCCATCTGGTTACGTTTTATCTTAATTTTGCCTGCGTCAGTAATATATAACCCAGCAAACAGAAGGCAGCAGCAAAGCATTCTTATGGATTGTTCATAATCTATAACTAGTCAGGCAGCGAGTTATTTAGCACTCACTAAGAGAAGACTAAAAAGCAAAATCATTAAACGATATTTTTTCTATTTAACTCATGCACCCTGTTTCCCTGACTGTGAACTAAGGAAATCAATCCTGCTTTGCAAACACTATGGCTGCATATATCGATTCAGTATTCTGTGCCTGGACCTGCATTAAGAAAGTTCTCATCTATGCAAATTATTTGATTTTATAATTGAGTAAACCTTCTAATTTTGTATTTATTTATTTTTTACATATTTCATATTGAATAACACCACATACATGTCAAATAAAATGCTAGATTTTGCATTTATCTTTCCATATACCTAAAAACCTGCTCAACACATCCTGATACACAGCAAGGATATAACATTGCATGTAATACCTCATCATAACAAGCCACATAATACTTCATAATTATATATAGATGATTGTTTTTGTCTTCGGAATCATTTAAAGGTACTCTACAGTCACCAGAACCACTACAGATTAAATAAAACACTATAGTATATAGTGTTATATATCTAACACTCTGCATGTGCATCCATAGGCGTGCGCAGCCTATTGCATTAGGGTGTGCACCCTAAAGCACAAACATACGCCGCGTGTGTGTGTGTATATATATATATATATACACATATATATATATATATAAATATATATATATATATACACATACATATATATATTCACAGACACACACACTCACAGACACACACACACACTGACACACACATACTCACACACACACACTGACACATACTCACACACTCACTGACACACACACTCACTGACACACACACTCACAGACACATACTCACACACTCACACTGACACACACTCACAGACACACACTGACACATACTCACACACTCACTGACACACACACTCACAGACACATACTCACACATTTACACACAATCACAGACACACACTCACACACTCACAGACACACACTGACACACACTCACAGACACATACTCACATACTCACACACTCACTGACACACACAGACACACACACACTCACTGACACACACTCACAGACACATACTCACACACACACACACACACTGACACATACTCACACACACACTGACACACACACACACACACACACAAATTATTATATTTAATTTTTTTTTTTTAAATGTCCACCCAGCCTCCTACCTGGAGTGCTGGTGGACTTGTTCCTGGGGTCCAGTGGGGGCAGGCGCCTTTCTCCAGCTCAGCCGCGGCGAGGGAGCTCTCTGCTCTCTGCTCCCTCTCGCCGCGCGGGCTGTCTGCTGTAGCTGGGAGCCGGAATATGACGTCATATTCCGGCTCCCGGCATCAGCGCGCGGCGAGAGGAAGCAGAGAGCAGAGAGCTCCTTCGCCGCGCGCTGAGCTGAAGGGTGGGGGGGGGGGAATCATCACCTCTTGCCCTCCCATGACAGGGGCAAGAGGTGAGACAGGGGACACTGAGTGCCTGCAGGAACAGCGTTCCTGCTAAAAAAAAGTTCAGGAACACTGTTCCTGCAGGACTCAAACCATAGGCGTGCGCACGGGGATTAGGGTGTGCCCAGGCACACCCGGCACACCCCGTGCGCACGCCTATGTGTGCATCCCCTCTTCCCCTCACAGTCACAAATGGGTGAAAAATCCTTTTTTCACTTCCTTCATTTGCCTCCTCCTCTCGCAACATCACTGCGATCAATCAATGCTTTCCTTTTTCAAGATGCTGGACGTCCTAATGTAAAGCGTGAGGACGTCTAGCATAATTTCACGGAGTTGAACTCAAGTGGCTGTCTGGTAGACAGGCTTAACCCTGCAATGTAAACATTGGAGTTTCTCTAAAACTGCAATGTTTTACATTGCAGTGTTAAGGGGACTGGGTCACTAAGATCAAATGGTGTGGGTGCCTATAGTGTCGCTTTAAGGTAGAGGTTCTGGTGTCTATAGCATGTCCCTGCAGTCTCAGCAATGTAAATGCTGCCTTTTCAGACACAAGGCAGTGTTTACATTGCTGCCTAGTAACACCTCTAGTGTCTGTCACTCGTACAGCCACTAGAGGGACTTTCTGGGTTAGGTCGTGCAATCTTTCCAAGACCTACGTTCAGGGTCTCATTGCTCTGCACGGAGACACTAAACACTCCCCATAGAGATGCATTGATTCAATGCATCCGTGTGAGGAGATACTCATTGGTGCAGCGTTTTGCTGTTCATGAGCAATAACCTCTCAATGCTTTCCAAGGGGAAACCATTGGCGTGGCTGAGGTAATCACGACTGATGATCATATCTTCGGAGGCACAGCCAGCCTCAGAAAAACTATCACAAAAATTGAGAAATGGTAAGCAAAACACCATTTTATTCCATACTGGATGGTCGCAGGCACCCAAATAGGTAGTCCATCCTTGTATTCCTCATGCGATAATGTTCCTTTAATCTTTTGACAGCATACATGTCCTGGACTGACTGTGAGAGAGAGAGTGGGAGGTATCCTACAGGGCAAAATCTGTTAAAGGTTATTAATCCAGCCATCCTTTGACTGTGATACTCTGGGGAAATGAGCTGGGGAGATCCAATTGTGCTTGTTCTGTCTTCTCAGGTCCTCTCTATTGTGAGAGGACAGAAAGAAAATGGCAACATAACTCACAGTAGTCTTGGGCAAGCTGGAACATGTATCATCACTACTCTGAGGTTAGGAATCCTGCCTATTCAATCGATCAGCATAGTAAGGACTACTGAGAAGTGTGTGAGAGAAAACAAGAGTCTGTTGTGATTATATCTTCAGTTTCCATTTTCCCCTTTACTGATTACTGGAAATGCAGCTTGCTTTGAACAGGTCATGTTGGGGTACACTGCCCCATTATCTTTAACCCCTTAAAGGACCACTCTAGGCACCCAGACCACTTCAGCTTAATGAAGTGGTCTGGGTGCCTGGTCCAGCTAGGGTTAACCCATTTTTTTTATAAACATAGCAGTTTCAGAGAAACTGCTATGTTTATTAATGGGTTAAGCCTTCCCGCTAATCCTCTAGTGGCTGTCTCATTGACAGCCACTAGAGGCGCTTGCGTGCTTCTCACTGTGATTTTCACAGTGAGAGCACGCCAGCATCCATAGGAAAGCATTGCAAATGCTTTCCTATGCGACCGGCTGAATGCATGCGCAGCTCTTGCCGCGCGTGCGCATTCAGCCGAGGGGCGGAACGGAGGAGGAGAGAAGGAGGAGAGCTCTCCGCCCAGCACTGGAAAAAGGTAAGTTTAAACCCCTTTCCCCCTTCCAGAGCCGGGCAGGAGGGGGACCCTGAGGGTGGGGGCACCCTCAGGGCACTATAGTGCCAGGAAAACGAATATGTTTTCCTGGCACTATAGTGGTCCTTTAAGGACATATGAAGGAAATATTCCGTCATGATTCCCTTTTATTTCTGAAGTTGTGTCCTTAGGGGTTAAACCTCACCAGCCACCACTGAACACTGCACCACATATTTTTTTTTTACTACTTCCCCACAGTGTATGTTCACGATTCATGCCTTCCTTCCTGGGAGACACTAAACCGTTATTCCATAAATAGTGAATACTAATGAATATAAACCCGATTTACCCTAAAACAGCAAATTTAGATATATTCTTCAACTCTTCTATAGTCACGACTTACTTTTTCAGAATTTTGCAATTAATTTTTGAATTCATTACAAATTAAGCAATACACAATCATTGCCTAATTTAGCAATGCTGTCAGCAGCAGAATCAAAGCAGAAAAATAAACAGAATAGATAAAATTTTATCATCACAACATCTAGTGTGAAAGCAGTACAATGAAATTAAAAGAAATCCTTTGTTGAGAAATTCCGGGCATAACTAAACGTAATCACCTTACATAAGAATTAAGTTAACACTCTGGTCAAGCGTTTAGTAAATGATTAATGTTTGCTTTCAAACTTTTTTTCTCACTGACATATTTTAACACATTAATAACTTTGTCCTTGTTTTTTGTAGCAACATCAGGTACAAACACTGACTTTTCTGGCGGACAGTCCTTTTTTCCAATCTATAACCTATTATTAATGTCATTTAAGGGGGGACATCTTTAAATGTAATTTCTGATTTAAAAAAATGCTTCATGAGTCACATCGAGCATACATTTAGAACTAATGTAAAAAATAAACAGCCTGGCACACCTTAGGTTTTGTCTAAAAGACTGTCTTTCTTTGAAACAAGGAAGTGGAGACAACGTTTCGGCTCCTCTCTGAGCCTTTAACAAGAGGAGCCAAAACCTTGTCTCCACTTCCTTGTTTCAAATAAAGACTGCCGTTTAGAAGAAACCTCAGATGTGCCTGGATATTCCTTATTTCCATTTGATGTCTTCAGAGATTGACCATCCCTTTCCCTGCAGGAAGTATTCCCCCCTTTTTTTAGTGTGTGCATTTTACTCTTGTTTTTTTGCAAACATTTATAAATAATGACCATAAGCGTAGGTGACAGCGTTTACCCACCACACATGGCACACGGATACTCAAATCAGCAATGCCACCAACAATCTGGATTAGTTTGTAACTTTTTTTATACCAAAATGTGGCACCATGTGAGTACTTCATTCTCTAGGTAGAGAACAGAACAGAGACACATAACAGTGTAAACATTCTTGTAAAGCACTAAATGAGTCTCAACATTACTCAAACATCTAAGCTTCACATCTTTGTACCCAGTTTCAGATAGATGTGTTGAGTTAGGCTGTTGTGAGGATAGGGAAATCATGTAATAGTATCAAATAGGGGATGTGTTTGGCTATATTCCAAATAAACACTAGCATTTCTAAAAATCTCACTAAGTTTTAAAGGGCTATTTCAAGCACTATTTACCACTTCAATGATTTGAAGTGGCATCTGTAAGTGCAGTGTTTGGCTTTGAAGGTGTACCTCCACCCCTGGCAGCATCACTGGGGTGTCATCAGCTCGGAACTAGAGCTTTGGGCTGGCTAATATCAATTATGTGCAACTTATGTTGCACAAAATGTTAAAGGACCACTCTAGGCACCCAGACCACTTCAGCTTAATGAAGTGGTCTGGGTGCCAGGTCCTTCTAGGGTTAACCCATTTTTTTTATAAACATAGCAGTTTCAGAGAAACTGCTATGTTTATGAATGGGTTAAGCCTTCCCCCTAATCCTCTAGTGGCTGTCTCATTGACAGCCATTAGAGGCGCTTGCGTGCTTCTCACTGTGATTTTCACAGTGAGAGCACGCAAGCGTCCATAGGAAAGCATTGTAAATGCTTTCCTATGCGACGGGCTGAATGCGCGCGCAGCTCTTGCCGCGCGTGTGCATTCAGCCCAGGAGGAGGAACGGAGGAGGAGAGCTCTCCACCCAGCGCTGGAAAAAGGTAAGTTTTAACCCTTTTCCCCCTTCCAGAGCCGGGCGGGAGGGGGACCCTGAGGGTGGGGGCACCCTCAGGGCACTATAGTGCCAGGAAAACGAGTATGTTTTCCTGGCACTATAGTGGTCCTTTAATCATTGTATGAGAGTGGTTAGCTAGCACTCTCAGCCCATCAATACCGACTGCCTGGTGTCACTGGAGCACCAGGGAGCATTGTAGCATCGAGTTTTAAAGTGGACCTGTCATTTTTACTTTGGTTTTCCTTTCCTAATGTACCCTATATACTATATATGATTATACTCTTCTCCTTGCCAGCTGACTTTATTTATCTTTTTTTCCTTGTGCAGGATCTCAATATCTGGGAGCAGTCATTTTGTTCTCCTCTGTCCATGATGTCTGCAGTTTCCATTTTGTGTAATTGATTTTACTGTTGTATTGTGGGTAAAATTGATTAAACCCCACCCATTATCAGAGTTTTATCATCCTGACTGCTATATATGAGGACAAGGAATACCTACTTTTATTTTTGTATTTAATTAAAAATAGAGGACTCGGAAAATAAAATGAAATTCAGACACAGGGATCCATATAGAAATAGATTAGATGAAGTTTGTATTTGCTGACAGAGTTCCTTTAAGACCGTATAAAACAGCATTTTTATATAATCAATAAATCTAATTCGAAGAAAATTATGTCCTTATAGTGGCAATATGTAAAGGTTTCAGTTTTCTTTTATGAACATCCATAAGACAGAACAGTTTGCCCATGCAACCACTATTCGCTAAATGCCTGCTGTCATTGAGTAGCGTGAGCATCAGACATTCACAGTTGTAGCCACAGAAACACTTAGTTCTGGAGCCCCAGATTTGGATATTCATAGTCCCCTGCCAATAGAGAAAGTGGACGGAGCATGCTGCTATAATACAATGCTTAAGAGCTTTACTGATTTGTGAAGCTGAAGAAAGTTTAAGCCTGAAGTTTCAGCCTTCGTGGGCAGAACAAAGGATCCCAAGGTCTGGGTCTACCAGAGGACAAGTAAACACCGATGGACGATTAAATAATCTAAAGTGCACACGGCAGTCCATGCTTGGTAGACAGACAACTACGGTATTTGGCATGCTATCATTGAGACACTGTAAGCATATTTTTATCTTAATAAATATATTTTGTTATGGTTTTGCACATGCTGGGTGTTTTGTCTTCTATACTCACTGAGAATGTTTTAACTTAGCAAGGCGAGTAGAAGAGCAATTTAAAGTAAATGCTACTCCTGGTAAACCTTTCATGTGTTTTAATTCTTTACACCAAAAAGTGGCCTGGCTAGAGTTGAAAAGGAAAGTCATTAAGCTTGATTTGTTAAAGTGGACACTTGTTTGTATTTATTTTTAACATATGAGTGACTTGTATTACTTGCTTTATATTGCTTTAAAGTGTTAGGAGTGCAAACCTGTATTCCTAACTTTTTAGTGGCCCTACTTCAAGATGTCCTCCCCTTTTCCCAATACAGTTTCATAAAATAAAGCTTTTTACTTACCCTTTTCAAGCACAGAAGCTCCTCTTAATGCAATGTCATAGATGAGGCATAGCCTCGTCCACAATGGTCCAATGTGCGCATGCAATCTTCCCCATCAGAAAGCATTCAATCAATGCTTTCCTATGGGAGCGTCTGCGTTTTAAAGACCGCCACCAGCAGTGAATTTAACCATGCAATGTAAACAATGCAGGTTCTAAAAAACATGTATAATTATCATGCGTAGCAGTGCATTTGACATCATTTAGAACATGCACTGTAGTTTTAATAGTGACATCAGCACACAGCTGAAAAGCAAGTATGTCATTAAATATGACATTAAATATGCTTAGCTTGGTCATTTCAGGGATGATGGCAAAACTTTTTACCGTAACAAGGAGCAAGTTAAAGAAATTACCATAAATATTCCTTTAAAAAATGTGCTAAATTAATGTTTGTTAGTTTTTTTTTGTTTGTTTTTTAAGTGCAACAAAGTGGATGCTGTACACAGACTCCAACACTAAAAGTATCAAGTTTCCCAAAAGAATGTGCTCAAACATAAACCATCACAATAACCAACAAACTGCAATAAGAGTAAGTTTAAGATTTTAAGGCTGTCCGTGCACCCCACAAGTGTCTAATAGTGCTAAATCAGTTTAACAGATTAAACACTTTTCCCCACAATATACCCTCTCTTCTTCTGAAAGTGTTAATAGACCCAACTACATGGGTCCTGACAGAAAAGGGTAAAACTGTGTGTGCTTTCTGGGTATCTAATCTTCCTCTTAATAGCTCATATTTCTATTAACATAGTATCAATGTGATATTTTATCAATGCGAGTTAGTTAAGCGAAGATATCTTCTAGATCACAAGTAAGATCTCTGGCCATTGCCTAGTGTAAGATGTGATCAGCGAGACCAGTTGTAATGGCTGCCACTAACACACCAGTATTCCAATCTAGTTGTGCTGCAAGTGTTCAGCCCTGTAATTCAGATTTGTTTATTGACCTATTGCCTGGTTTAAGATTCAAGGAGCTTTGTCTGTATCACAGAATAGACAGGAAGATGAATAACCGCCTAAAAGGAGCTATGACTTTAGTGTAGTTATACACAAAGGGATTATATTCCTCCTATAAAGGACCGACTCAAGTGTGGGATTTCCTAGTTAACAGATGATAAATACTACTGTAGAATGGTCTGAGGTAAAAATCCCTTTGAAAAAACTCGTATAATTTGCCGACCTGAGTGAAAAACATAAACTCTAATGGGAGATATGAAAGTGAGATATGGAACTCCTGAAGGAGTTATGACAATGAGCAAGCCCATCTGGGTAAGGGACGGCCCTGCCTGTAAAGATGGCGGGTCTGACCGACATGGAAGCATGTCAGCCTCTCTGGCCAGCCTCATTTAGGGCACAACCTGTGCAGAGCGCTTTTTAAACACTCTAATTATGGGCTTAATGCCCTGAGTTTGTGAGTAGGTCCCAAGTGTCACCAAGTGCGGGGTCACCAGACAACAAGCTCAGCTACTGTTATTTAAATGGATACTCTATGTATTGAAATAGTACCAGTATATTTAATATTATCTATAGTTATTATAAATATGGTCAGTAATTTGCTGGGTACATTAGTCACTAGGGGCTGCCCGGCAATGTACATTATATTAGTCGTCACATGCACCTCTGTGACAGAGTGGATGTTGTCAGTGCTATATCTGAACAAGATTAGAAGCTTGTATGCAGTGAATTGATTTACAGTTCTTAGTTGTGATCTGCAGGCATCATAATAACTTCAGTGATGCGGCAATAGACAGCGCAGCTCCCATAAATAAGGATATCCTGCTTTTTCTAGAACAGGAATGGGGGTGTAGGAGTGCGATTGTTTCAGTTGGGTTAATATGAATTTGCCAGGTTCTGAAATTTTTGTAGTAAGTTGGAAAAAAACATTTTTTACTGAATGCGCACAACACTGCAGTCTAGCATAAAGCTAAATCTTCAGGATAACAAGCACCATTGGGAGATGACACATTCTACAATTTTACTCAAAATGTGATATATCGATATATATATTTCCTTTAGTGATTAAGTCAATAAAATAATATACCCTCCACGGACAATGTGTTTGTTGGACCTGACATAGGATGTACTCTTCTTCTAGCCTCAGGTTTTAAACTGGCACTCTAAGCACTATAACCACTATAGCCACTGTAGTTATTATGGTGCCAAGAGTCTCCTGTGCTGTCCTACAGTAAGTAGTCAAACCATTTTTTTTGTTTTGTTTGTTTGTTTTTAACCTCTGGCAGTCCTTCCAGTGTTCCGTGACACTGCTAAAATTACTATTCTACATTGATAATATCAATGTCTCATTTTTTTTACATCATTCACTAGCTTGGCATGCCAGCTGATACTCTATGGTGCCCAGTGGTATTCGTCAGTGCTGACGATATTGGAGAAAGCCATCAGGGATCTTTTCTTTGGAAGTAGTGCACATTACTACTTTTAGTGGAAGGGTTGAGAAGCTCTATCCAATATAGTTGGTACAGTAACATATTTTCTTTTGAGTACTAGCTTATCTATGAAATATACCCGTGAGCAAATATCACTTCTGCACAAACGGAGGACCGTACTGATGATGCAGAATCATCAAGGAAGTATTACGCACAGTTCAGGTTCGTTACCAATCATTACGTTCAATACTATTTAAAAAAAAAACTGCTGACCAGATTTAAAATGTAATAACATAAGGAAGAAGCACATTTAAAAGTGCTGTAAGATGCTACAAAGTAACCTTGTGAGAATAGAGACACTTAAATGTGGGCATGGTAGGCCATCTGCAAAACATAGGTAGTCTATCTACTAAGTAGCTAGTTGTGCCTAGGTTTTTCATATCAGTTTGTGTATCAACACAAATCACTGTTATGCATATTAATCTCCATAGTTTTTTTAAAGGGGCACTCTAAGCACCATAACTACTACAGAGCACTGTAGTGATTATGTAGTTTACAGTGCCCATTTAAATATCTGCAGTTTAATGCAGTGATTAAAATTGGACATAGCATTTACAGATTATATACAAAGGACAAATATCCATACATTAGCTTGTATTAGCTTGAAAATGATTCTCCCTAAGCACCATCACAACTTTGAATATTGCAAATATGCTTTTAAGCTTGCCTAATTTGGCATGATTTGATTTCACAAAACTATGATATTAGTTTATTATTTATGTTTGTTATCAGTTTATAAAGAGGCTCCACTCATCTTATTTGAGTGGAATTGCTGCTGGATGCTAAACTACTTAACCCATAAATCTCACTTGACAAGTGATTATGGGAAAAAGTCAGACACCACAGGCCACAAGAGAATCTTCTGACTCACCTAATTTTCCAAGTACTGAGGGAGTGTGTTGCTACTGTCTCTTGCTATGCATGTCCAGTAAGCAATTGGATCTTTAAAAAAGTACTTTTTTCCCTTTTTTTTTGCATGGTTTTAAAGAATTACCTATGTAATAATACCTCAAAGTAAGGGAAAGGTACAATTTTTGTTTTCATTTAAATTATCCAACAATCCCGGTAAACTATCTTTCATACTACCAGAAAGATACAATGGGAGCATATCTTCTTCACTTTGGCTGCAAGTACTGTGGAACTAACTTTGGGGGTCAAATTCTATATCTCAGAGAAAAAGCACTACCACTCCGAGACCAGGGAATCTAAATCTAGCTTCCAGTAAGGGTCTGTAAACACTAACTTCAACTAGCAAGAGTAAATAACTATATAATTATTTAAAAACACAAATGGGCAGATTTTCTAACACATTTTTTCAGATGAAAATATTCGATGGAGAACTTTGATAATGAAGATACTTGTGAAAGACACTTCTCATGGTGCTCAGCCAAGAGCCCAGTTTAGCCTATCTTGGAAAATAATCTCTAGTACGTTTAGAATAATAAATTGCAGAACATTTAGAGTAATTACATGTATCATATAACTATTCCTTATGGGTGGATTACTAATAAAAGTCTGGTTTAAATTTACTAGTCTTCTCCATACTAGTCTGCCAGTCTGTTTTTTATTATTATTATTATTTTTTAATTCCAAACCTTTGTCTCATACTTTTAATTATATGTCTGGATGTCCTGACACATGTAAATTAACTTGAGCGCCAAAGTGTCACATGCGTGCGCACTGCAATATGGAAGGAATGACTTTGGCGAAGAGATTACAGTGGTATTTATAAACTGCAATTTCAGGGGCAAACTTCTGGACGTGGAACAATCAGCAGGAAAATTCCACTGGTTTCCATGGTAACTGTCATATTTTGAACTTTTCCCTAAGCCAAACCAGAGTATGTAATTTGATTTTCCAACAGATTTGGTTTCAGGAAGGAGTATAAAGAGGACTAGTCTACACGCATCCCAATGGACTGTTCCTGCTTAGTGCTTCACTTAACAAATATACACTGTCAGTCCTATTAAAGACCAACCCCCACCCCCACACACACAGAAAATGGCTATTTCTTAAAGATAAAATCTTTATGAAGTACTCATATTGACAGTGTTCAAAATTCAGTGACATCCCAACCCAGTCAAAAGAAATACTGAGTCAAAGTAGGGACTAATGTGTGTCTGTATATTTCCAATGCCTGACACTTCTATACACCGAGCAGTCTAGAAATGTCAATACTCCCCAGCAGTAACCAGTGACCAGTGTGCGAGAGTACAACTGTGACATCCGCTTCTGGCTCTCAAGCACCAGGAACAGAAAAGGGACCGGCTGGAAGAAGATGGAGGTGCCAGCAAGGGACTGGTTCAGGTAAGTTAAACTCACTTTTGCCTGCACACCCCACCCTCCCATGCCACTGGAACTCCAGCAGCCATTTAACCATCGTGGGTCTTTGCAAATTATGAAAACGCCACTGTAAGAGTGTGTAACAAAGAACACAGACTGTGGTGTACTAATAGTGTAAAAGTTGCTTTTTTTGCGTAAACAAATAAATGCCTTTCTTTATGAAATAAAAATATATCTAGATTAATGATGACATGAAATGTTATGTATTGATGAATATTGATACGATATGTACAAGCTGAAACAAAACCAAATAAATAAATAAATAAATAATATATATATATATATATATATGTATATATATATATATATGGAATTAGTTTTTCCATGTGACTGACTTTGAGACAAATGGGGTTATTTACTAAAGTGAGGATCAATGTCAAATTTAAGCAGGGGCCAAAACAGAAGTGAGCACGAGGACTGGTCCTCGCCCGAGGTGCCAGACAGGTGAATACTTGTGACCTGATCACATATACATGCTGCAGGAAGTTTGGTCCTCCCCTGTCTTTTGGTGTCTGGTTATTTGCTACCCCTTTTCCCACCTCCAAAGCTATGTATTTGACTGCCCAAATAGCTGGTAGAGTCATCAAGCTGAGGAAAGAGTTGTTTCCAAAACTCCTGTGGACCTACTGCTGCCTTCTGTGTGTCAGCTTCCCAGGAGGAGGTCTTTTTTTAACCTTTCATCCCTTCTAGCCACTTCAGGCAGCAGCTCAAATGTAAGTCTGCAGTCAGAGTAAAACAACCATTTCCATACACAGGTCTCACAGAGGCCTCAAATATACTGCACTTTGATTTCACATTACACATATAAAATGCACATGTATTACACTCATAACAGGAAAAAGCATTAAAATCAATAAGGATACCTGAACATACATATTCTATATACTGCTGGGAAGAATATATATGCATACGCTGTCCATCCAATATGAAACAATATGTCTCTAAGGAAGCTTGGTGAATGTGGCAACCCCAATGTTAGAGGCAACCCTAATGTTACATCACAACCTGCCTCTCCTTGGTCCAATTAAATGCCTCTATAGAGGAGCATGTGGTTGGTCCGTTTTCTCAGGTCAGAGCTTGGTTATTTTAGCCTACACTTTGCTAGTTAGGTTTAACTTAACTACAAATTGGCATTTAACAAACAGACTCCAACTATGTCACAATATTCGATAACAAAGCTGTCAATTGCCATTAATATGTGACCATAAATAAATAACCAGATATCCCGGGATGTAGTTAAAGACAGGGTAAATATCAATATATTCTTTTTAGTAAAACACTTTTTAAGAAGATATCTTCAAAAATGTTAATGCCAACCATTCAAAGTTATCCAGCCATACATTTTTACAAATACTGCTATGTTGCTGATAATGTCATCGACATAATATATATAATTGAATATATTTGTCCTAAAATAAATACAGCTGTGGCTAGATATATTGTACGCACTGCACGTATTGTGTTCTTATGTCCTGGGGAAATTATAGTCCACGCCTCGATGCAACAGAGCTCATTTGGCAGCATCAGCAGGACCTACATAATAATAGGCAGGTGGATTTAATGTCGTGGCTGATCAGTGTATATCTGGCTGGCTAATTGCTCTTTATAAATAACCCACAATATTTTTTATTTATGTCATACTGTATCACTACACTGAAGCTTACAAAGTCCACAATCTTGTTTCCTCTTATGCCTTTAAATATTGTCTGGCATATGAACATGTGAGATAAAAATACGTTTGCTCCTGCAAAGGTGAATTTAACACTGTGACTCAAAGGGACAATGTAGCTTTAGGAATAGAAATCTGCATTCCTAACTCTACTGCATTCTACTAACTCCCCCCTCCACAGCCTACATTTTAAAAACGAAAATAAATAATAAACAAACAAAAAATGTACTCACCATCTTTCTAGTGCCAATAGGATGACGGTCCAATCAAATGCTCCCCATAGATGCTCTATGACTGATCGTAACGGCACTGTGCATGCAAGTGTGACATCACGGTATGCTGGGGTACGGGAGCCAGAAAGTAACAGTCCCGACTCTCCTACCAAGAGGAATGGAGGCGTGGCTGGAAGCCTTGCCTCCAAGCCTTCTAATTTTTAAAACCAAGTCATTAAAGGTCACAAAGAAAGGTGAACTACAATAGGCACTATAACAACTTCATCTAGATGAAGTTGTTATAGTAAGTACAGTGTTCCTTTAATACATGAATGCTTATTATGGACATATCATAAAATATAATCTGATGGAGGTTTTTATTGTAAGTTAGTCCTGATTTCCACAATTCATGGGCATTTAGACTGGACGAAAGAAGATTTCGACTAAGGCAAAGGAAAGGTTTTTTTACTGTAAGAACAATAAGGCTGTGGAATTCTCTTCCTAAAGAAGTGGTTTTATCAGAGTCCATACAGATGTTCAAACAGCAACTAGATGCATACTTGCAAAAACAGAATATTCAAGGATATAATCTTTCAATGTAGGGTAATAGCTGCTTGATCCAGGGATAAATCTGACTGCCATTCTGGGGTCAAGAAGGAATTTTTTTCCCTAGTTTGTTGCAAAATTGGAAATGCTTCAAACTGGTTTTTTTTGCCTTCTTTTAGATCAACAGCAAAAAACAAATGTGAGGAAGGCTGAACTTGATGGACGCAAGTCTCTTTTCAGCTGTGTAACTATGTAACTATGTGACTAACTACAAATCCCTTCAAAAACAAAGATGAAAAACATATGTTGATCATATATAAATGAACACATGTAGAAAGTTTGAATTTCCTATAAAAGCTGTGTAATTTGGCATTATCAACTTGTATTAAACTAAAACGTGTATATTTCAGAGAAGACTGGGGACTAACAGTTTATTCTCCGTTGTTATTTTCTGGTCACTAACCATGCATTCAGTTGACAATTTTTGGTGGGTTGGGGACTGATAAACATGATGTGCCTCTTTCACCTATTGGGGACTCAATGAAATAACATGCAAACCCAATTTTGGCCAAGGGTTAAAAATCACTGATTTAAACTTCTCACACTGTTATAATGCTAACACTCAGAACACATTTAATACATTGGTAATATTAAAGGGACACCATAGTCACCACAACAACTACAGCTTAATTTAGTTGTTCTGGGTATAATCATTGCCTTTTTATGCAAACGGCAGTGTTTACATTTCTCCTAGGGACACCTCCAAGTGGCCACTCCTCAGATGGAGATGCTTCCTGTGGCAGTGCTGCACAGTAGGCACCACTGCCGTTCAGCGTCTCCACGTTCTGCATGGAGATGCTGAATTTTCCTCATAGAGATGTGTTGATTCAATGCATCTCTATGAAGAAGTGCTGACTGACCAAAACTGTGCTTGGCCCCACCCCCATCCTGCCTCCTTGCCGATTTCAGCCAATCCAATGCTTTCCCATGGATTGGCTAAAACACTGGATTGGCTAAAACTCTGCAATTCTGATGATGTCATCAAGGAGGCGGATCGGGGCTGGGAAAAAGGTGATTTTAATTCCTTTTAAGGGGACTAAGGGGGGGCAAGCCACTTAAATGGTGGGTTTAACACTATAGGGTCAGGAATACATGTTTGTGTTCCTGACCCTATAGTGTTCCTTTAATGCATTATTTTTCTTTAAATACCCTTTTAAAAAAAACAAAAAACATAAACTGAGGTTTATTCACTTAACACTGAATTTAAAAAGATACCGGTAATTACAAACCGAATAGCCACATTTAGATAACAATTGCTTGCTATTTTAGCCTACATTTGGCTAGTTAGGTTTCAATTCACTACAATTAAGCATTTAACAAATAAACCCCAACTATGACACAATATTTAAAGATAAAGTTGGGAATTCCCATTAATCTGTGACCATAATATAATATATATCCCAGGATAGAGTTGAAGACAAGATAAATACCAATTATATTATCATTGGTAAAACACTTTTTGAGTAAATATCTTGCAAAATTTTATTAATTTTGACCACTCAAAGTTATCCAGCCATAATTTTTTTTTTTTTTTTTTTTGCTGCAATGTTGCTTATAATTTCATGTACATAATACTGGTATATACAACTGAATATATGTGCCCTAAAGTAAATACAGCTATATATGTATATCATATAAATATAGCACGTAATGTTTTCCAATGTATTGGGGAAATTATAGTATTTAAAAGGGAATAACCCCAAGACTCTTCTTGGCTCTTGTCTCACTTGAGACAATTTAACAACCAACTTGTCGAAAATCCCCTATAATATTTTGAAAATCAGGGTGTTTTATTTTTTACTAGATTATTTCCTGGTGATTATTTATGTACCAATCTTTGCCAAAATTATCAGTAATTAATTTGTGCGTAATTGTTGCTGCTTATATTACAATGGCACTGCAAACAGGCATCCCAGCTGTCCTTATTTTGTTGGGACAGTCCCGAATTTGGGGTCCTGTCCCACCATTCCAACTTTGTTTGGCGATAGCAGGTAATTATCTCCAGAAAGCATAGCACTTTAGCATCATTTGACACACTGTGATCAGACAACTAGAACCACGCAGACAAAGTCTGCCCTGCATTCACGCCAGGCCAATCTGATCTGCCCCGTTTTATCCAGTCCATTTGTGTCCTGCATCATGGAAAGCTGAGATTGGGGAGTATGCTGCAAATACCACAAAATGTGTATGGCAACCTCTGAATTTTGCAAAATCCAACATTCTAATGGGTTTTGGAATCGCATGGCTAAAATGGGAACATTTTTATTGGGCATATTTTTAATGAGCGTAATAGATGTAAATTAGTGGTGAGAATAAACACATTTTGATCCTTGTTTTATATAATTGTGTTTCATATAATCCTGAGGATTTGTTATGCCCTCGGTATAGTTCACTTTTTACCATTTCCTATATATACTGCTTTCTAGCAAAAGAGCAGAACTCCTCATGATATAACTAATGACACTTCCAAAGATTTAAGCATGGAAAGTGTAAATCGGAAAAAAGAAGGCACACTCAGATTCATCTGCTGGTGAATCCACCCCATGACAGGTTATCTTTAAACCATAGATCAAGTATGCAGTGAAAAGTTCAAGTTCTCCAGGAAGAGAACACCTGTAAGTTTTTGATCACTTTGCCTCCTACGCACATCTAATATGTCAGCATAGAGACACTAAATTTGGCACTAGCTTACAGAGCGCAGCTCTGGGTATCAGGTTATTAAAGGGGTATTCTACGCACCATAAACACTACAGTTCATTATAGTGGTGAGGCTTTGTGGGTGTTTACACCTTATCTAAGCAACAACCAACAAGCTGGGTATAAGGTGCGGGGGATGCACCCAAAGGCCCTTTGCATCATGCCCACTAGATTGGCCTGCAGTGATTATAGCAATTAGAATCTCTTTTTATTAGTGTTAAAGAGACATCCCAAAACCACAACAGTTTATTGCAGTGTTTATGATACAAGAGGTTATGGATGCAGTGCCTTTTACTTTTAGAAAACCATTTTCAAGTGGTTTAATAAAAAAATAAATAATAAAAAAATATATATATTTCTGACACCCGAATCCAGCCTGATTATTTTGCACAAACTGTGGAAAGTGAAACAAAGGGCATGGTCTTTGAATGTCTGTATTGTTATCAAAACAGCTGAGATGGGATTAACGAAAAACTGAGTTTAGGCACTGTACCCATTACCTCCATGGACCATGAACTGAAGATGTAGCGGCTATGCTGCCTATGTCCCTTACTCACTTTAATTTGGAAAATCCCTTCTAAATTTTCCCAAACAATATAATCCATTATTTATTTACCTTTAGATTCCTTATAATTGACACTTATCTTATCCCATATATTTCTTATTAATAAAATGTATTATTACTGAGCTTCTATCCATTTCCCCCCCAAATAAAATGTATACATACTATATCTTGACAACCTGTTCCTCAATTGTAAAATGTATTTAGTAACCATTCGAGTTTGATGTATTAACATATGCTAAAATTATTTCTGCAATGCACCTTTGTAAGATTATTCCCAGTGGTAAAAGTGATCTGCATTACACTGGGGAAGGCAGTGGTTTTACAATAAAAACTTTATTTGAATTACGGCCTGAGGCCTGAATTATATAATGTGCCTTAAAACACCCACTGGGACCCACTTGAAAAAGCATAGGGACACAATTCTTGTAACATGACCTTAGCTCCTGTATCAAAAAATACAGAGAAAGCCAAGGTATTGAAAGCACCTATTTTGATACAGTATTGTAGTTTTTTTGGTTTGACTAGTGTTGAGCACCATGACTTTTTGCATGGTGGAAATTGAAGTTTCAAAGCAAACACATGGAGCACTTACAATTTTTAAAGGTGCAAAGTGTTGCTTCAGAATCTTACCTATTTTCCAGTAGTGTCATGCACACCACCTCTCTCACGCCAGGGTTGCTTGCCTTGTCCAGGCTACAGTTTTGAAGATTCCAAGAGGCCAGCCTGAGGACAGGCTTCCCTTCCCTGACACCTCCAAAAATCTCCACAGTTGGGCGAGTAGAGATTAGTTGGGTTGGTCCGCCAGGTGGAAAGTCTAAGTCCTCACTCTGTAGACTCAGTGAAGTAGGGCTAGGATGAGGCTTGGCCATGAAATGTAGCCCTCCATTGGTTTGTGTGGATGGCGGTCGAGATCTCTGTACATAGACTTGGTGCCTGATCTTATCCAAGAAAGAAATTGTAACAGATTCCACCTTGACCAAGTCCTCAATGCTCTTTAGGGGGCCATGTTGGCTGCGATATTGGACAATGTCTTGTGCCATCTCCTCTGTAATTCCCCTGAGGCACATAAGCTGGGGAGCAGTGGCAGTATTAATGTTCACCCTTGTTGCACTTAAGTGCTGGCCATGGTGCCCATGTTCTAAGTCCTTCTTCAGCGAGTTGGGTGAATGTTGGGCAGAGCCACTTTTGCTACTGACACAGATTTCAAATTTAACCTGTTCCAACTTGGCAGCACCAACCCCACTGACCAGTGCAAGGTCCTCCACCTTCTTAAACCCTCCAATGTACTCCCTGTACTCCACTATGTTCTGTGCCACCTGCCTGGTCACCCCTGGAAGGGTCATTAGTTCCTCCTCAGTAGCTGTATTGATATTCAGCCTCTCCTGACTCACCAGGATGTTGCTGAAGTTGCAGGCTGCACTGTACTTGCGGTTCTTCTGACATAGATCAGATGGGTCCTTAGGGATAGACCTATGGCACCCAAGATTGCCCCCCATCCTCAAACCCCACCAAAAAACAAACAAATAATAATACAAAAAAAACTACAAAAATCAAACAAAAACAGCAGCAACAGTAAGCAGCAAGTGTTTTCCCCTACAATTCTAAAATAAGAATTGTAACATTAACAATAAAATATTATACAAATATATAATTCCAAAGATTCCAAGTGCGGCGTATATCGCTACGAAGGTATGCATGGACAGACACTATAGGGCACTGAGATAATGTAAATATCCATGTACAAACAGGCATGGCACTACATCACAAGTAGATGCGTCGTTTGGATAACCCCACGAGTACTTGGTACTATTGGCAGGAGGATGCCAGGCTGTGGTATCCTGTGAGCACCAATGGCGGGTGGCAGTGGTTGGTCCACACTGGTCCGGGGTAGTGATGGTGATTGAAGCATCCCCTGTTTGCAGAGTGCGGCTGCACTTCTTCCCCAGCCCTGCTTGTCCCGGGCTGCTTCCTCCACTGAGTGCCTGTGTTACAGAGCTCCGAGCACATGATCCGCCTCCCCCCTGATCCTGGCACCTCCCAGCTGCTCAGCCAGCTCCCTGCCTCCCCTGCCCTGCTCTGAGCATTTAAATGCCTCACCTCTGCTGCCTTCCTTCCGCTCTCTTCATGCTATCACTCCTATTCCTCCCTTTGCAGCTTTTACTTCCTTTTTAACTCACTTATTTTTTCATTTTTTCAGCACTTACTCAATATGATATCCCTCCCACTATTTCAGCACACCATGTCACTTGTGACTATATAAATGTTTAAATACATTATCAACATGTCTCCTCCTGCTCTGATCATTGCCATTCCTCACTTGATTGCCCCACACTATATAGTGCTTTAAATAAGCCTTTATTTGTTTCTGTATGAGCTCCCTTGGAATCTTATTTTAATTATCTCTTAGCTGAGTGTCCAAGGGTGGCTGGCAAAGCATCATTGGAGTTGCAGTTCTGCAATGACCGAGGGATACCTTTTTGCCACCAATGTTGCAGAGCATATGCACAGATAACTCATTGGACCTGAGCTGCTGTGGAACCTCTCGGTAATGAGAAGTGCATTGCTGTTCTCGGCTTCTTTAAAGGCAGGGTGTCTGTCGTAGTGTAACAGGTTCATCCCTCCCAGTCATATGGAGTTTCATGCCCACAGATAGGTGGCCAAGGTAGTGACAGGATGACACAATGTCCTTTTGCTTGCCCTGATGTCTCATTCATACACTACTCTCAGTGTTTAGTTCCCTTTCTCCAGACACAAAACTTGAGACTCCCCCTGCCGCAGCGTCTGATGAGTTGCAATGCACCAGTCGTAGCTAAACAGACCCTGTAATATCTGCAATAGCCCTAGGGTTAAAACCTCTGCTTTATAAAGTCCCTCGATAACACTGTTAAAATCTGCGTAATATTTAAACTGTGTATTGTGTTTGTAAAATTTTCGCTTCATACAATTATATTTTGTCAAACAAGATGCCTTAAAACCTTGAAGCTTGTTTCTATTTTTACTTTAAATTTAACAATATAAACTCAAATGATGTAGGGACTGTGGAGTATAGAAAACCATGACAGACAAGCACTAAATTACTTTGGTGCATCCATTATAATGAAAAATATGTACAGGTGTTTTATTTTTTACCAAACTTCAAATTGTTGTGAATTATAATCCAAATGATAATACTGAGGCTGGAAAAGCCAAGCTATTGCTATAGCTAAGAGTACTATTTTTATCTATATTTTTCTATTCAGATTTTAGTAACAACCCATGAGACAGCATACATAACTAATACCCTGGGGTTTGGAGACAAAATAAACTCCAGGAATGAATGTCACATAGTCACACACAAAGACACACTTGCTAGAGCTCCCTTTTCAGATGCTGTCATGGCTGTCCCCATAAATTATGTCATCCTCTCATTACTGGTATGCTGAGTACTAAGGAGAAAGGGATATGGTCTCCCCATTCGTCACCTTATCTGTCATATCAGTAAGGAAGAGTTGCAAACTAGTGAGTTAATTTAATCTTAGGCATCCCAGAACAAATCATAAAAGCCATGTGTAAAATCAGTTTACACATAGCTTTCATTATTTGTTGCCCAAAGCACTGGAGGTGGAGGGGCAGTGAAAAGTAAGGACCTTACCAAAGAATCCAGGGTAGGGATCACACCACCTGCGCCTTTTCCATTGAGCGGTTAACCCGTTCAATAAAATGTGAGTAAGTTTCACCTTTTTATTCTCCTGCTTCAGTACATACAGAGAACACTATTCTTTGTTTTGCTTTTTCTTTTGGGTCATACTGCTGCCATACTGCTGAGATATCTGCCAACAGCATCCACTCAAATATCCGAGAAGTGGGGATTATACCGCTCTACGCTTTGTATACTAGATCTGTTTTTTTTTTTAGCTCTGGTAAATGTGAGCACATTTCTATTTAATTTTATTCAAGAATGTTGAATGGGATATTCTGCACTATTGGATTTTTTTTTTCTGTTTTCTTCTTTTTATATATACGCCTACACAAATTGAAAGTCACCTCTGACCCAAGATTGTTTTACACAAGAAGAATACCTTTCATGTGACCTGACCTGTTCCCTTGCAAGTTGCACTTTATATTTTTGGACATTATTGTGGACATTTTTATATTTGACTTTTTATGCTTTTACTTGGTATTTCTGGTATCCTGCCTATATTTCATTTGACTCTTATATCATTTCTATTTTTATCTTATTTTTATGCATTTCTAGGAGTAAAATATAACATTGGCGCTACTGTCTTCCTTTCTTCTTTTACCAGAACATGTATAACCAAGTGCTGCACTAAACTTTGTGGGTACCATGCATGGAGTACAGGCAGAGGTAAATAGATAGATAGATAGATAGATAGATAGATAGATAGATATAGCATGATCAGTCTGTTATTTCAATGAGTAGATGATGGATAGTAATGTCATGCCTGCAGTTATCCCCATAAAGAATCTTCCGATCTGCTCAAAATTAGTGAGCGGCTCCTACCGCCATTGTAATGGTGGCAGCTAAAACAGCTGCCATGTGGGACTGTAACACACGAGCCCTAACCTAAATATATATGTAATATAGAATAATGCCATCTTGGTTTTCTGGTGACAATTAGAAACCACTGGTTGACATGGTTGACATTGTGCTGTCTGGATCCAAAGACAACACAGGGATTCAATAAATTATTCCCACTCATATTTCTCTTTATTTGCTACCGCCACAGCCAATAATCCTCCTTCCACGATCCTACAGTTTCCACAATACCCTGTACATCATGACACTGCATGCTTTGTACTCCACTTCCCAATTTCCCTTGGTGCATATCTCCTCCTGTGTTTTTCTCCATCTTCATCTTCTCTTGTTCCTCCCCATGCCTCCTACATGTGTCTCACACCCTCCACCACTATAAATTACTACGTACGCATCTAGTTTCCTGTCTCTTTATCTATGTGTAGCTCCTAAACCCTGTGTGTCTCCTCATACTTCCATGATACCATCCTCTCAACGGTTTCTGTTTTTCCCAATACAATAATAGTCTCTTCCCATTTTGACCTTACCCCTTGCCTCAACCCCCATCCCAAAGTGTCTACCTAATGTCATAGGTGTACGCAGCGAATTCTATTAAGGTGTGCATCCAAAGAAAATTTACCATTTAAACTTTACTTAAATTAAACTAATTAACAAAATACTAATATTCAAAGTATTGCTTTGGTAAAGTGTAAATAACAATTTTCTTCAAAAACATAATGTAAGAATATGAAATAGTTAACGTGTTCATATTTATTTTATGCTTTTATAAGGTTTATAAATATTATTGCTGACTGAAAGGATATGAAATAGTTAAACTCAATGTACGACATAATATGCTGACTGTGACAGACTAAGGTATTTCTTCTATAGGATGTAAGACAATGCTAAAATCTTAGGATGTCTTGCCCGTTCCGATTTCAGGATACTTTTCCCCAGACGTATGCAAAAGCTTATCTTTCCATTGTCAGAATAACATGTAATATAAGGAAGTAATAAATCTTATAGTCTGTACTGTATTTGCATATACCATGGCTAATGTAAGCAAACTATGTATAAAAGCCAGCTCTGGAATACACTCATTTGAGAGTCTTGTCAACTATCCTGTTGTCCGTGTCTTATTGTTGACAATGATTCTCCATCAACTTTGATTATGGTGACCGAGGGATCGAGAACCGAGGGGATTTGAGTCCATTACAGCATTAACCCTTTCAGCTTGGTGTCTAGAAGTGGGATGGATGGATCAGCAAAACCATTTGCGGTGAGTAGCCTTTTTGTGTCTTATTTGACGCTGATTGTCTATGACCCCCCTTTGGTTCAGTAAGTCTGTATCCAGTAGATAGGAAAGGTGTAAGGACTCTAGTTACATTGAGACCATGAGAGGTCTCCGGTTTATATTGAGACTATAAGAGGTCTCCGGTTTATTAGACATTTGGTCTAAATATATATTGTTTTGGTAACCCAGGTTAGTATCTAAGATAGATACAGGGTATCTCAGGTAGATACAGGTTTTTGAGACCAGAAGAGGTCTCCGGTTTATTAAGACTATAGGTGTTCTGAGGAGCACGGTTTATAGATCTATAAGTATAACCCAAACTTCTCTTTCTCCCGGTCACCTTTGTTTGTCTTAAGTGTTCCTTGTGGGTGATTGTTTGTCTATATTGGGGACACACTTTGGTAAGTTAGTAGTGTCCCCACTCTGAGTCAGCAGTATGGTAAATGTGAGTTCAGGTCCTGAGTGACCAATATATGTATGTATATATGTGTGTATATGTATATGTGTATATATAAGATAGCAGTACTTTTAAACAAATGGAGGTTTTAAAAATACATAGGGATTAAGGAGAGAATGCAGGTAACTTGTTTTTCTTTGGTTTTTACCATATATTGGGGCTGATGTGTACTGTAGTCCTTGCTGCTGCCCAGTAGTGATGGGAGTGAGCGCAGGACTTATCTTTCTGCAAGATAGCAGTACTGTATATTAGAAAAGAAATGACTCACAGGTTGTACCTGATAGACCTACTTAAATCTTTTTACTTTATTCTTTCTGTCGCATAGAAGTATAAGTTTATTACTCTGTTTTATTGTAAGTTATTTCACATGGGATCTATGTGCCTGGTATGATTGTTGCTTTAAAAATACTATAAGCCCACTACACTTATTATGAGAGTGGGATAGTGTAAATGTGTTGCATTGTTTGCATGATGAGCTCAGTATATTTTATAACTGAGACAAAAAGTCACTTCATTAGTATTTGAAAGTTAATTCCCCATATGGGATTAATTGTATAGAAACACCAATCAGCACATCTTCCCTGCCCTGTGTGTTTGTTGCAAAGGATCCATACTGTAAATATAATTTTTGTTTGAAAATAACAGAGCAACATTTACATTTTCAGCGGTCCAACACATGCTTTATTTTGCACTGTAAACTAACCTTTTTATTGCAACAGGTTCCTTTTAAATGATCCAGTGTAATAACTACTGCTTGTGTCTTCTATGTCTCACATTATGTGTTATTTTAAATTGTGGTATATAGCCTGAATCAGACATCATGGACAAAGGTTTTTACCTGTGTTACTAAGGGCTCTTGGAGACTGACCGGTCTAAAGGTTTGCCATGCCTTTAAAACATGGTATAGTATAAATTTTTAAGTCTCTGAGAGTTCTGAAAGATTCAGGTGAAACCATGTCTGTTTAATCTGGTCCAGATGTTTGTTCAATTTCTATAAGATTTAAGTTGATGCAGCATCATCTCAGATTAATTAATGGAAGTTTTATACAAATAGTTGAGTTATGAGCGCGCTATATAAATGGATCCTTTCTTTATATATAATACTATAGTAGATTAAAGTAATGAAGTTAATTAAGAAAATGTATACATAAGAATCCCTAAAATAAATCTAAACTAAAATTGGTATACCTTCCAATAATATGTTCTGAATACAGCTGTTAACTGTTTATTCTGTGTAAATGGTGATTGTTATAATGTGTGATAAGTGTGCAGTTTAACTTGAAAGTGGTTTAATTTATATGTTGCTGTATTGTTTTAAATTATATGTGAATCAGTTTGTCACAGTCTAGTGATACTGATAAGAATGACAGCCAAATAACCTAGCAAATAACTGTTTTATTAGTTGTTGAATACTAGCGTTTTGGCCAAGAATAGTTGGAGATTTGGAGGTGTTAGTTTAAGATTGCTTTTATATTGTGTCTATCCGTGTTTCCTAGGAGGGAGACAGAGTGTGTAGTTGTGTGCCCATAAATGTGATTTCTGTATTGGCCTATCTGCTGGGTACCCATTATGTGTTTCTACAAAGATATTGCTTTGTGAGATGACGTGTAATATTACATTGGATGCTGAGTATGAGTTATATGGTTTGAAATGAATTGGTGATTATGAGCTTAGTACTTCAGTAAGATGTGCTAAAATTTGGAACAAGGTGGAAGCTGAAATGTTGGGATTATGGAAGAATAAGCAGTCTATATTCACTGCTTTGGCATATAAGCAAGATGCAAAGGAAGAGATTGGTAATATGATTTTTGTAAAGAAATTTTACAAGTGTTGGAAGGATGAGGCAGGTTTGATGTCTGGAGATGATATAGATCTCTTTAAAATACAGTCATGCCTTGGTAATATGTTGCCACAGTATTCTTTGCTTGTGAAACAGTTGATTTCAGACTGGGCCAATTTGGATAGCTCAGAGTTTCTTACCAAGGTTATAGAAAAGGAAAATGCAGGTTGTTTTGAATTAAGAAAAGATTTAGGAAAGTAAGGTTGCTTATTATGCTCAGGGATTGCAACACTGTCCACCTACACAGGCTGAGAGCGTGGATGGGATGGAGCACATAAAGCCTGTGGAAGGGGTGGTCAAAGAGGGGCAAGGGGATGGAGACAGGGAAATCAGGATTATAGGGGCAGGGGTAACCAAGGAGGAATAGACAGGAACACTTGTTTCAACTGTGGACAATATGGCCACTGGAGGAATGAGTGTCCACACCCCAGGAAACCCCAGGAAACCCCACACACCCCAACAACCCCACAATTCTCAAAATATGCCCTGTAGGCAAGAACAACACCAGACCCACTCCCAACACCACTGGCCAGCATATCGCTTAGTTCAGGACTTTAGAGCCCTGAATAGTTTAATTGTGCCCATTTCACCCATTGTCCCTGACGTGACATCCCTCATTACAGCCATTCCACATGATGCCACTTGCTTCACTGTCATTGATTTAAGTAATGCATTTTTTCTATACCTATTGATCAAGAGACACAGCTACTTATGGTTTTTACTTTTTGAAGGCTGTCAGTTTACCTGGACACGCTTACCCAAGGCTATGTGGATTCCCCAGCTGTTTATTCGTTGGTACTCCAACATACTCTAAAAAACATGGACCACCGGTCATGGTTCCGTCCTTTTTGCAAAATGTTGATGATTTGTTGTTATGTAGCCCTAGCTATGAGGCAAGCACTGTGGATACTGTCAGCAACTGTAGGTCACAAGGTTGTTAAACACAAAATGCAATTGTGTAAATCAAAGGTTGAATACTTAGGTTTTGTTCTGGCTTCAGGCACCAGACAATTGAGTCCAAAACGTATTGAGGTCATTCAGAGGATTCCTACACCCACTACTCGGAAGTAGTTGCTCACCTTCCTCGGCATGATTAATTACTGCCACCAATGGATCCCTGAATGCTCCCATTATGACTCAATCCTAAGGGAGGCTGTACGTTCTGACAGCCCTGAAAATGTCTGCTGGTCACCAGACATGCTAGCTGCATATATTGCCCTTACAGTTGTTATTGTGCAAACCCAGGCTTTAGGACTACCTGTGTATTGTAAACCATTTCATTTGTATGCTTGGGACAATTGTAAAACCATGGCCGCAGTCTGTGCACAAGAGCAAGGAGGCGGTATGCGTCCCATAGCATTCTTTTCCAAAGTAGTTCGAGCTCTGGTACAGGGTATGCCGGCGTGTCTCAGAGCATTGATAGCATGTGCAATGGCTGTTGAAACTGCTACTACTAACACACTAGGGCATCCTACAATACTTCATGCCAGTCACCAGGTCACTCAGCTGATAACAAATCTCACCACACAACACATGACAGCCCAGCAATTAAGTGGTTATGAGATTCTTTTTTTAAATACCCACAATCTGTTTTTTGGATTAAACAAGGTTTAGAGAAAGATCAAAATGATCTGTTCGCTAAAGAGGGGAGAATAGGCATACTTGAAGAATAGGCATACTTGAAGCAAGCTGCTTTATTTTCATCAGTCAGGCACATAGCAAGCACCATTCAATTCTTCATGAATTCATTTTATATTAGGAATCTCAGGCAGCATGTACAGTCTTTTGTAAGATCGTGTGAACGCTGCTCTTTTTACACACTTACAGATTGATTTTATTCATGTATCCAAAATTGGTAAGAAACAGCAATACTTACTGGTCATAGTTGATCAGTTTAGTAGATGGCATGAGGCCTTTGTGACATCTAGGGAAGATGCTAGTGAAGATTATTGTTACTGAAATTATTCCCAGGTATGGCTGCCCTCTGTAGATTGGCTCTGATAATGGCCCGGTTTTTGCCAGTGGGGTTGCCCAGGAACTTGCTAAATTCTTGCAAGTTACCTGGCAGTTTCATATACCCTATCATCCACAGAATACAGGGGTAGTTGAAAGGATGAATAGGACTATTAAGGAAAAGCCCAGAATTTACCCAGGAACATGGGTAAATTGGACTAGATATCTACCAGCTATTTTAGCTGAGATAAGAATGAATCCCCACAAGGTGACTAAATTATCTCCATTTGAGATTCTGATGGGATAACCTTTTCCCACACCCTGGGCCAGGGAACTGCTTGTTATAATGTCTGGGGATTTACAGCTAATACAAGAACAATATGTACAGGAATTGTTGATAAAACCGAATCGTATGTATGACAATGTTTCTTCGCAGTTTTCCCTTACCGTCACAGGAACCTACTCATCCATACCAGCCCGGTGACAAGGTGTATATCCGTCAGCTGAACAGGACCAAGAAAGGAGGATACCCTTTTGGACCACCTGCTACTGTGATTGCTGTACCCATAACCGCTGTCCTCACAGATTCCCATGACATCTGGATTCACGCATCCCAAGTGAAGCTGTGTCCAAAGAGGGGAACCAAGGAAGACAACACCACTCCTCGCTCGGAAACAGAAGAATTTCTCCTCAGCGAAGCATCATGGCTTTTACACCATATCGTAGATTGAGAGGATCATACGTACCTGAGACCAAGATTATGTTGTGCGCTATGCTTTCTGAAGTTGTTATACTCCCTCTGATATTGTTCCTTGAATGCCATTATGAGTACAAGTCAATGGCAAGTTTGAAACCTGTTTGTTTCTGGAAAAAGACTCTGACATGATGAACAATTCTTCAATACCCCCAGCCCAATTAGGCCTTAGCCCCTCATCTAGCATTCGTCACACACGCCCCCTCAAGAACCTTTCTCCACCACCTTTCTATCAGCTTGTAATATGCAATCATTCATTGACTGAACGCATTTGGATGAATTGGACAAATAGTAACCCTTATAAGTTCCAGTTACCCATATCAAATGTGTCCACAGCTAATGAAACCGATGCATTATGTTTGTTTAAAGGTTCACAGAAAATTGTTAGATCTTATAACGCAGAAATGTGCACAGTTAAGGTTGCATATCAATGTAAACAGACAGGCCTTATTACTTTAAATAATGATTATATAACTGGTATCATTAATCGGAGAAGGGGACAAATGTTAGTCATTATGAACGACACTACAATTGAGAACTATACACTACCTTATATTTTTACACCTTATTACTGTCCTTTATCCTCTACCATAGAACCAAAAGTCAACAACGACACACACACACCTATTCCATCCACATGTGTTAATACAACTGCCTTCTTACAAGCTGTACATGTGTCATTAAAAATCACTACTCCTGTTGTAACAATATGTAACACAGCAAACAAAAGGCAGAAAAGGGAATGGTATGACACACTGTTAGATGGTGCTGGAACCACTATGGATATACTAAATAGTTATAGATATAGAGACCCTCAAGAATAAGTTAAACACAGCCAGCATGCATATAGGGACTGGTTTCCATGCTACTGCAAACTGGGCTCCAACTGTTGTTAAATCACAGGTTACAGGATTGGATTTAGATAAATCAATGTATAATTATTTAGATAATTTAACTGTTGCAACTATGAAATTCACTACAGGTCTAAGTAACTGGAGTACTTGTGCCATCAGGTATTTATGGATACAACAACAAGGATTGGCATTAGAAAACACACTAATGATTCCTAAACTAGAGAAGATTAGAGGAAAGCGTAACCTCACAGATAATGAATGGTTAATTCTAAAACCACAATCCACTAAATGCAATGGATGGTTAACTGGTAATGTTTCACATTTTTCATGCTCATGCTATTTTACATTATATCATACATCATCAAAAGATGTTAAATTAGCTTGTCAATTTAACACATTACCAGTACCAGTTTATGATCTTTTTGCCAAGAATTTAACCTGGTGGGCACCCACATACACAGGGGACTATATTTTTCCCAAAGATAACACACACAGGTAGCCACACATATCCTAAAAGGAGAACTCCTTAAGGTGAATTCACAAATTCAGAATGATTTAGCCCATCATTGGTACAATGCTTTACTGGTTGGTCCCCTACTGGATCCCAGATAATGAAATCATTCTTCTATCCTTTTGTTATTATAGTCCTGATTTTATTGTGTATGATTTTATATAACTGTCCCCTTAGTTGTACATTGAGGAAGTGAGTACAGAAATTAATCCATAATGCAGAACAGAAACAATTAGAAATTCTCCTCTCTGCCACTGGAGGGTATCAACCCATCTTTAAACTGGGCCTTAGGAATTACCACATGGGAATCGAGGTGAAGAAATTAATGAAAGTCCCGCAGGGAGTGACTAGCACCCCTGAAAATACCATGTGGAAGTTTCTCTGTCCTGGTAAGATTTTATCGATAAGATGAGCAATTTTTTTATTGCTCAAAGAGGGGAATGTAAGAATATGAAATAGTTAACGTGTTCATATGTATTTTATGCTTTTATAAGGTTTATAAATATTATTGCTGACTGAAAGGATATGAAATAGTTAAACTCAATGTACGACATAATATGCTGACTGTGACAGACTAAGGTATTTCTTCTATAGGATGTAAGACAATGCTAAAATCTTAGGATGTCTTGCCCATTCCGATTTCAGGATACTTTTCCCCAGACGTATGCAAAAGCTTATCTTTCCATTGTCAGAATAACATGTAATATAAGGAAGTAATAAATCTTATAGTCTGTACTGTATTTACATATACCATGACTAATGTAAGCAAACTATGTATAAAAGCCAGCTCTGGAATACACTCATTTGAGAGTCTTGTCAACTATCCTGTTGTCCGTGTCTTATTGTTGACAATGATTCTCCATCAACATTGATTATGGTGACCGAGGGATCGAGAACCGAGGGGATTTGAGTCCATTACAGCATTAACCCTTTCACATAGCAAACTAACTAAACATTAGGGTGTGCCCAGCCACACCGGCACACGTCTATGTCTAGCTTATGTCTTCCCCATGTCCCCTACTCTTGTGCCTCTCTCAATATACCCTAACTGTGTCTCTCTTGCTATGCTTCCAACACCCATCCATGTGTCTTTTATGCAATGCCTCCACGCAAAACCAGATCACCTACTACATATCCTAAGTGTCTAACTGGGCAGGTTTGTTCACCAGGATTTCTCACCAATAAACAAGTGATCCTGATCTTGTTCCAAACAAGAATTATCAAAACAAGGTGTGGCTGCAGAGGAATAAAGCTGTAGAAAAGGCATGTATAATCATGTGTGCATATGACAATGTGGATGGTGAATATGGCTTTGTGAGACATATGAGAATAGGAAATGTGGTTAAGGAATAATATCAATGGGTATCGAGATTATGGCTGTGGTGGAGAAATGGTGATTGCATAAAATTGCAAATAAACTGCACACAGGAAATGTGGTATCAGAAGAGGCAAGGAGAGAGGGGATAAGGACCACATTAATAGGGTGAGCCAATGAAAACACAAAGAAGATGGTTGAAAATAAAGGATTAATGGCACTGAGGTGCGGAAAACTCCTTTCATTCTTCCATGCAATTGTTGTCATCTGACAGGTGGGCTCTGGGTCATTTAATCCCTCATATCATGTAATGTAAGTGCTCTAGATTTAGAAAATTATCCAATTCCAACTAAGTTGCAAAATTTAGACTAAAATAGTATTGGAGATAGAGATATTTTTTAATTTTTTATTTTTGGTGGTTTTACATTTCTTTTCAAGTTTACCTCAATTTAATGTTTAATGGTTAAACAAATCTTTATTTCTTTTCAAATTGGTGTCGACAGGAAACGTGTGGTGTGTGATATTATATTACCTGTGGTGAGAAGGAGTTTGTTGGGGAGGGGAAGAAGGGGACAAAATTGCTATGGTGCTATGGTGTTTTGCTCCAGAGATACCCCAGTACCTACCCTGAGCTGCTCCCCATGCACCCACTTTCCACCTCTACATATCGCTTTATACTGCCAATACCCATTTTCTCCAAATTATATCCCTGTTTAATGACCAAAAACTTAAATACAAATTTTCACACAAGAAATTGAAATTCCCAGAAAATTTTAATCTTTTCAGTAAACAGTAATAAGTGTTGGAATGGCCATCAATGTTTTTTTTTTTTTTATTTATTCCCCAAACAGATAGCTGCATAACCCAGACCAAAACAGCTTAGTTGCCCATACCTTGGTGATATAAGTAAATGAGAAACAGCAGACTGCAAGATTTAATGTAAACTGTGATTTGTGAAAGGTGTGAGGGATTCAATAATCAAAACATGTTAATTATAATTGGTATTGGATTATTTACAAACCTGTACTTACTTACTGACAAGGCTCACAAGTAGGACCTATGGTGTTAGGAAAGGCATGGTGAGAAACTAATAAAAGAGCTTTCTACAGATTTTTAAGCTGAGATTTTGCCATTATTATTTTTATTATTTTATTACTTATATAGCGCCAGCAAAATCCATAGCGCTGTACAATTAGAATGCCCATATGTTGTGTGTGTTTTTCTTTTTAATATTTATCAAATTAGTTTTCAGAAAACATACATTACAAGTAGAACACAATAACTATTCAGTATTACAGTACACAAAGATCATAGGTGTTGCTGGGAGGGGGGGTTTTGAAGCTGAAGCCCCAGATGTGAGGCTCTTTAGCCCCAGGCCTCCACAGCTTTTAAAATGGCAAACACATAGTATTTTTTTCTCATTTTTTTTAAAGCAGCCTCCTATTATAAAACAAAATATTAGTAGTTTAGTTCCCTGCCTGGCCACTTAGGGGCAGTGGGCTATATCCCCCAGGTGACTGTCAGGAAGGGGTGCTGGGAATCAGCACTTTACTTTACAGGGCAACCATCAGAATTAAATACATGTACATTTTCATTGGGAGTGTATCTACTAAACAGTGATTTTTATTGATTTTGTGTTTAGGTAGTACAGTGCCCCTTTAAACTGTTTTACATAGTCAGCCTCCTTGTTAATTACCGTTTTGTAGCTTCCTTGGGTCCACTGGAGATCAGGTTGGTACAGCACTTTGGAGTCTGGGCTGCAGGCTCCAGCTTCGCCAAAGAATCTGACATCACTTCCTCCCAGCGCTGCCATTCAGGAATGAAGAGGTACAGTCAGTAAAGTCCGTTAATACAGTACCCAATGATAGACCATGCCCCTTTAACTGACTTAACTTGACTGGCTGTCACACATACTTACGGTATAGTAACAACTCATTGGTGAGGGACCAGGCCCCTTACATGTGTTAGGGTTATACCTCTCTGATGGCGGTCCTGGTTAGGAAGCATGACTACCTGACTGTGCAACATGTGCTTGTTTCTACCTATACTTTAATAGAGATCCCAGATACCATCATCTATATGCTGTTCATGGGTTTAGACCAGAGGACGGGGTATAACACAAAATGGTGGGAATATGTCGTAACATATATCTCCCTCTTCGTCAGTGTAGGAGTCATAACGTTTTCCGTTGGGTTCGAGCCCAAGCTGTTTCTGAAATAGCACCAGAACTCCAAGCAAGCCACTCTCCTGAACACAAAGGTATGGTAATAGGAGGGTGGCTGCAAAACTAAAAAGTATGACTTGTGTGCATGCCAATATGTGTCAGTGTGTATCTGAGTGTATGTATCTGTGTGTCTGTCTGTGTTGGTGGGCTGGGGGGAGGGGGGAGAGGGGTTAGTGTGCGTGTGTGTTTTGGGGGGGGGGGGCATAGTAGCTTGTGAAGCCGACTCCCTAAAATGCATTTTTGCATGTTGGGATGTCTGAGATATACACAACACTTTAATAACCTCTAGCCACTTGTGCAAGCAGTTCTCACCCATTTGTTTTTCAGTAACTTGAAAGGAAAATAAGTGTATGTGGCATTGTATATATGCTTATATTTAGTACTTCTCCTATATAAACACCAAGGTTTATTGACACAATATCAGAGGCACTGCAGGTAGGTAGGTGAGTATTCAGGAAAATTATACAAAAAGAAGGTCTTTTGACGTGGGGGTAGGAGGGTCAGAATGTCCTTTTTCCCCCTTTTTTAATCTATTATTTCAATATCAGCTGTAAAATGGGTGCTAAATCCATTTTTTGTGTATCCCTTTGAGGAAAAAATATTATTAATATTCACAGTAAGTAGTTTCTGTTCTAAGCATCATGTTGAGAAAAAATTAATTTTCTGCTGTGGATATTAAAAGCTGTGAGCTTTTTATTTAAATTAGAGAAATTCCTAGATAGCTAATATATGGGAAAAGATTGGGCTAGAATATTTTATCATGATAACTCAGAGACCCATTTTCTTAAATAGTCTTATTAATTATTTTTATGAATTTATAGCAGTAATAGATTAGAATACAATACGACCCTGACCCGGAACCCAGCCACCAGGGCCCAGAGCTGAGCCCAGTGGGACGGGTCAGTTCCCATCACACCCAGCCTCCTCCAGAGCCTCAGGCTGCAGGGGATGACCTAGCACCTGCCACAAAGAGATACATAAGGCAGCTAATAAAAGAAATGGAGCTGATGTTTGATGCTGACATGAATCTACCTCGCCAGGGCCGTCTATAATATGATTAGGACCCTGGGCAATGCATTTTCTTGGGCCCCATGGGCCCTGTCCCTGCCACTGCCTCACCCCCCAATTACGTCCAACCCGCAATCACACTGACAGACGTACTGGCACATACACACACAGACAGACATTAAAACATTCACAGATACATACTGACACACAAAGTCACTACACACAAATATATACTGGCAGACATACTGACACACACACAGACATACATACATACACAGACACATACATTAACAGATATACTGACACAAACACATACACTGACAGATATACTAAAACACATAGACACATACACTGACAGACACATTGACACACACACACACAGGCATACTGACATATACACACAGGCATACTGACACACACACAGACACACACACTGACACACACACACAGACATACTGGCATACACACACAGACATACTGACACACACACACACACTGACACACACACACACAGACATACTGACACACACACAGACACACACACTGACACACACACACACACATACATACATACACACACAGACATTACACACACACATACTGACTGACACACACATACACACACAGACATACTTACATACACACACAGACATACTGACACACAAAGACATGCTGACACACAAAGACATGCTGACACACACACACAGACAGACTGGCACATACACACATACCTACATACACACACACAGACATACTGGTATACACACAAACATACTGACACACACACACACACACACACACACTGACATACTGGCATACACACAGACATACTGGCATACACACAGACATACTGACACACACACACACACACACAGACATACTGGCATACACACAGACATACTGACACACACACAGACATACTGGCATACACACACAGACATACTGACACACACACAGACCTACTGACACACACAGGCACACACACTGACACACACACAGACATACTAGCGCGCCCACACACAGACATACTGACACACACACACACACACTGACACACACACACACAGATTGTACTGGCATATTACACACACAGACATACTGACACACACACACACACACACTGACACACACACACAGGGCATACTGGCAGCCCACACACACAACGGACATGCCTGACAGACACACACACACACACACACACTGACACACACACACAGACATACTGACACACACACACACACACACTGACACACACACACAGACATACTGGCATACACACACAGACATACTGACACACACACACACACACAATTCTAACTGAATTACCTCACTATCTACGGAGGCTATTGGCAACGTTGCTGCCCCACACCCAGACGAAGAAAGTCAAATTCGATGGGCATTTTTGCATCAATAAAGCAAAAGAGGCGCCAGCTACGGCCCCACAGGATGTAATAGTCTGCTGTCACTCTATTCTAGACAAACTACATATTCTCACAGCAATCAGAGACTGGACTTCGAGTCATCCAGGCTCGCCTTTTTCCAAGACATCACAAGAAGTACACTGCAATGGAGAAAGTCACTGAACACCGTAACCACACAACTTCAACAAGCAAAAGTGGACTATCGCTGGCTGATCCCAAGAACCCAAACAGTTACCCACCAGGACACTATCCTAAAGCTCACCTCCATCTTTGGAGCTCCAGCCTTTTTTTAGGCTCTGGGACTCTAATCAGACACTGGAGTTCAAGAGGCACCCCCACAGCCCACATATGGGACGCAAAAAGATCGGTCATGTTTACTCCCAGAAGCGGCTCTAGGAAAACAGCGGTGACCTGAGCAACACTGAAACAAAGCCACCGGGCTCAACTGCCATTCCTAATAAGATCTTATCTAATGCATATATGTCTGCCACAGTTATGTTTATGATGTTTATAATGTTTTTTTCATATGCTTTGCTTTGATGTTTTCGTCGACCACCTTGACGTCCTTAAGTAGCCAGGGACCCACTACTTATGCCTCACTACATTTATGAGAGCAGTTCTGCACTTCTCAGTATTCAGTCCTACGTAATCTGGACAGGACTTAACAACTCCCCCCCCTCACTCCCTGTGACCTCCTCAGGTTAGGGGTCGACACTAAACTTTACCTAGATATGTCAGAGCTAGACCACATACCCTCTACTCTACCCATACAAAGTGGCATGTATTTACCCTCACTCCTTCAACCAGCTAGCCATAACACACAGAGGAGACCACAGCCAGAGGTACGACAGCAATGTCCTAAACTATAACCGTGCCTAAGCAAACTCAGATGCAAGTAGATTGTAATTATTAGTACACTTAATAATTACAATGTGATTAAACCCTGCAACAGAGAGAATATAAATAATCACACCATATGGCCTACCAATAGCATAGACGAACATGACCGTTTAAATTAAAAATGGTGCAGGATGTTAATGTTTTGCTTATACGATAATGGAATGTAAGATATGGTTATGTCTCACCTCCTGATTGAATTTCCTCATTATACCATACATAACCTGTAACCTGCACTACCAAAATAAAGAATTATAAAAAAGTAACACTAACACGTTTCACAACATCAAAGTGAACACTTTGAAAAGCCCTCTGCTATGGTGTCATGTGTTAGTGTTATTTGTTATTCTGTTTTTATCACTTTATTTATTTTATTATACTTAAATAAAGATAGATATTACTTTCAAGATCTTAGGACCATCCTGTTTTATTTCAAATATATTCTGAACTCTATTTGGCATTTTCTGATAGCTCTCCCTTGCAATACCTATTTTTTAAATTTCATAATTCGTTCACTATAGGTGTTGCAATATCATAAAGAATGTTTAACCACACTCAAAAATGCTTTGACTGGAGAGAATGCTTTGTAGGGGAATACACATCAGCGCTCACACATTACACCTCCAGGTGAATTATTTTATTTCTGCTTCTATCTGATGTGAACACCATTTGTAATTGTAAATTGTTCTAATATTGCTTCCCATATACGGTTAGTTTGTAAGCAAACAATTTTAATTACAGAATGTAGGGCGGAGCCTGACAGCGCACCTGAGCAGTCGCCATATCTCACAGCTCCGACAGATTGGGAATAAATCTGCCAAATATCAGACACATCAATCCCTTACCAACCCGGCAATGCCTTTTTTTCACACAGCGAAAAAGAAAACCCGCAGCTGCGGCCCCAAGGCCTACCGCGTGGGAGGCCTCCCACTCAATGGGGACTGGGTTCCCCAGGTGTGGAGTGACCTTGGCCTGATCGACCCAATCCCAGACTCACCCACAGCAGAGAAGATGGGGCAAAAGTCTCAGAAACCGCCACCAAGCACCTCAAAGACGCAACGGGACATAGACCAGATGCTGCAAACACCAGCGCCAGCCACAGCCCAGGCCCAACAGGCAGAAGATGGGGAATCTCACCACAACCAAGCTCCAACTGAAGCAGAGTGAACTACCCCACACAGGGCAGAGGAAACAGCCCTTGCAACTAAGGGAGACATACAAAATATGCTAGCTACCCTCCAACGAAACCTCCGACAAATGTGGGAAGTGGACCTGGCAGTACTTAAAACAGAGGTACAAACAGTGACAGCACGCACCCAAACTAATGAGGAGGACGTACTTGTCTTTAAACAAGGCCTGACTGCACTTAACGACCAGATGCAACAGCTGCAATCAACCCAAGCTACAATCCTTAACCAAGTCAGCCTACTGGATGACAGAGGCAGAAGGAAAAATATTAAAATCAGAGGAGTTCCAGAGACTCTATCCTTAGAAGAACTGCCGCACTTTATCAGATGACTGGTGTCCACCCTCATTCCAACAAGGCAGGCTAAACACTTTTCCTTTGACAGGGTCTTCAGAATAGCTAAATCCCTGCAAGCCCCTACCACAGCGCCACGTGACATCATCCTACGGTGCCATACTTTAACCGACAAAATGGGCCTGCTAGCCACCCTTAAAGGAAAAACACCATATGAGTTTGAATCCAGCCATATCTCCTTCTTTCAGGACTTAAGTAGTTCCACTCTGTTATGGCGCAAAGGAATGCAGCCCATCACCAAACTCCTCCAAACCGCAGGACTAACTTAGATGGTCGACTCCCAGATCGCTGTTGGTCGTCAAAGAGGGGAAAACATACAAGACTTCAGACCCAGCGGATGGCCCTGCCTTGCTGTCAGCATTGGGTCTCACTTCACAGGGGTTACACACAGGGACTATCCAACACTCACCCAAGAAACACTGAGGATATCTCCACTTTCGTGCCTGGAGAGGGAAGAAGCCCTGCATTCTGAATCCAAGCAAGCAAAACACAGTCCACAATGTTTATGTTTTTATCATGCCAAGTCACCCACATTCTATTCATTTTAGTTTAAAGATTATACTGTTGGAATAGGTTAATACATACAAACCAAGTCCTTATGGCGGTTGTTCTGCGCTCCGATGACATACCCCCGCCCCTCTAGTGCCCCAGGTTCAAAGGGTATAGTAAACAATGGAGTACTACACTCAACACCATGAGTCTAACTTATAATGGACACGTAGCCTCATTAAGTAGCCACAACGGGCCGAGACCTGCAACTGCAAAGACACTCATGCTCCGACTTACTCTTCACCTTCACATAGACGCCTTCTAACCAGACTAACACTCCGAATCAGCTTTGGGTTACAATAGGTCTCACTGTTACAGAGCGGCTTATGTTTTACAACAATTGTGTTAGTGTAATATATGTTATGTTCTTTTCCTTTTAATTTCCATATGCATCGCTGCAGCACTGATATACACCCTGTTCCAAATTATTATGCAAATTATATTTTTCTCATTTACCTAAATAATTAATGTAATTAACAGTCAGCATAATTCTCATGTTATCAACTATTAAGAGTACAATTCAAATTTTATTGAACAAACCTCCTAATGATAACAGTATTTTTTTTTAAACATAAACTTACAATGCACTGTTCCAAATTATTACACACAGTAAGTTTCAAAACACTTTATAGGTTGTAAAAAACTGAAAATTGTCATTTGTTGTGTTTGCAGCATATTTACTGAAATCAAAAGCTATTTCAATCAAACTTATAAGAACATTTTAACTTTTTAAACATTTTAACAGGTCACGTTACATTTTAACATAGGACCCCTTATTTGATAGCAGCTTCACAAGTCTTGTATCTAGTGAACTTGTGAGTTTTTGGATAGTTTCTGCTTGAATTTGTTTGCAAGATGTCAGAATAGCCTCCCAGAGCTGCTGTTTGGATGTAAACTGCCTCCCACCCTCACAGATATTTTGCTTGAGGATACTCCAAAGGTTCTCAATAGGATTGTGTCAGGGGAGGATGGAGGCCACACCATGACTTTCTCTTCTTTTATCCCCATAGCAGCCATTGATGCAGAGGTATTCTTTGCAGCATGAGATGGGGCATTGTCATGCATGAAGATGATTTTATTACAGAAAGTATAGTTCTTCCTTCTGTACCAGGGAATAAAGTGGTCAGTCCGAAACTCCACATACTTTGCAGAGGTCATCTTTACACCTTTGGGGACACTAAAGGGGCCGACCAGCTCTCTTCCCATGATTCCGGCACAAAACATGACTCCACCACCGCCTTGCTGACAATGTAGCCTTGTTGGAACAGGGTGGCCGTCCACCAACCATCCACTACTCCATCCATCTGGACCATCCAGGGTTGCACGGCACTCATCAGTGAACAGGACTGTTTGAAAATTAGTCTTCATGTATTCTTCTGCCCAATGCAGCCGTTTCTGCTTGTGAGCATTGGTTAGTGGTGGCCGAATAGAAGGTTTATGCACAGTTGCAAGACTCTGGAGGACTCTACACCTTGATGTCTGTGGGACTCCAGAGGCACCAGCAGCTTCAAATATCTGTTTGCTGCTA